GCGCTTCAAACAGTCGGACGCTGGGCTTCTGCTGACTTCAATGTGGAAGCTTAAAGTGGGTTGTTCCAGCAGCGAAACTAGACGCTCATTGGATAAATGCTGGGCTTTGTCCCGCCCAATGGAAGCCCAGCTTCACTGGAGTTCTATGGCGAGAGGGCGGTCCCGACTTTCTCCCGGACCGCAAGCTTCTGCATTCATGATTGGATGAGCTGTCTGAGGCGAAATCCTTTTTTGATTGACAGCTAAACAAGCGAATCAGCGATCTTGAAGAATAAAACATCTACCAGAGCATTTTCCAAGTCATTCATTCCGTTGTTCTTAACTGCTCCAGAGACTTTACCGATCCTCAGCGACTTTTGTCTTTGTTAAAAATGACTGCCGTTGTGTTTGGCGACTCTGTTCTGTTACATACCAATAAACAAATACAATTATGATGTAGGCCAGAAAAATGAGCTTCCCCTCCTTGAAAGACCAGCAGCTGCCACTGGTTCTTAACATGCTTCAGCACACGTTGTTTTTGAGCAGGTGGATAAATAGCATGGAGCTGTAAGAGTGACATCCTATTAGGAAGTAAGGTAGTAAATAAAACCACATCAGACATAGAAAGCCCACAAAAAAGATTAAACTTTCCTAACAAACAGCATAGAGCTGTAAGAGTGACGTCCCATTAGCCTCTTGCTAACGCATTTTGCCAGCTGTTTTGATATGTAGCATGTCAACCAGGAAACAACCAAATAGTAACAGGCTGAAAGAAGAATTTATGCATTCATGTCAATAATCGCAAAAAAAAAATAAAAAAAATGGGCATAAAGGAGCAGACACATACAATCGAACCGTTTTTTTTGTTTGTTTTGTTTTGTTTTTCACCTTTGCTTCAACATGACAAAAATTCAGACCTATTTTAAGTATCAACAGATAAGTGAAATGACCAAACTCGAGAGGAGAAACAAGGATAGGCTTTTTCAATAAGAGCTGCTTGACTTTTGAATGACCTCCTGAATGCAGGAAATATACATGCAGAGTCAGTGACATCTTTGAAACGATGTTTGTAACCCTGCTCATAGCCTGAAAATGTTGACAAATGGTTTAACATTAACATTTTTTTAACCAAGAGAATTCAAACCAAGAGACAAAATTAGAGAGAACAGCTGCTGCATGAATATCATCAACACCCACCACCGACTTCCTCTGCTGCTACTCACAGGGAATTATTCTGAACAGAGCTCACCCTGACTCTACCCCAAAATGCAAATATTCCAGGTGAAGTTGGGGGTGAAAAACTCACCGTCTCTAGTCACACGTACAGCTCACCCACAGGGTACTTGGGGGGATTTTTCTGGACCTTTGTGCATGCCCCAACTTTGTGAGTTTGAGCCATAAAGAATAAAGCACAGGTGACACCACTGTCTTCAAATAAAAGTCTGATTGAGCTGAAGCAGATGAGTCTCTTGGGTGGTAAATTACATTACAAAACATTCAGCTAATGAAAAAGTCACCTAAATCTCTTAGATGCATTGAGATCCGTCAGCCATATGATCTGATCTTTCTCTGGATTATAGCGCTACTTTGTCTTTGCATCTGCTTATCAGTGGGCAGATGTGAAGTGACCAGTGTTTCAGATTTTTAGGGTATAGATGAGATTTCTTTAAATTGTTTTCAGTTTAGAAAAATGAATAAATGAATGATTGGTTCAGCTTTTATTCCAAGTTTTATTGTTTTTTAAGTCTCTGTCACTGAATGATTCTAGCAGTCGACTAAAAAAAAATGCAACTATGTCAGATTTTCCACATTAACCAAGAGGAAATTTTTAGCGATGGGAGCTGTGCATAGGCATGACTCCTGCTGTGTTTACCAAAGACTAGACTTGAACAGTGACGGGGTAAAAATAAAAAGAAACCAGATAAAAGGAGTGACATGGGCGTACATTTGAAGTTAAGGCTGTAAAACTTACAATACAAGGACACAGACAACTCGTCTTATTTTTTTGCACAGCACCATCACCCCACAGTTCCTTCATCATAATGAACCACTGTCAAACAAGCCCAGAGCTCTTTTTTCATAGTCTCTTTCTATAAAACAATGTTATCACTGCAGGGTGTTGATCTGTGGAAACAAATCATCAATCACTGATTAAACACTTTCACATGTCATACCACATCAGTCCTCCACTCTAATGGATTCATTTACTCAACATCATGATTGTTTTATTGTATAATTTCCTTTGTTATGCAGGATAATGATCCAGACAGAATCAAAAGATACAGAGCGGTAAATCATCCATATTTTTGTCAGTTTGCAGGCACCACACACAGTAAAGATAAAGACTATAATCAGACTGTGTCTGTGGGCTAAAACACAGCATGCCTATCTCACTTTTTAACCCTTTCATTATTTACCATCATAAAACAACACAGGTATGTTGTGAAACAGCTTGATCATAAAATCCATGTTGATCCATCTGTGCTCTTTTTCAAATGAAGACACATAGAGACACATCCTCAAAATACACTGTGGACCGACTGGTGTCAATAAAATGTCCTTCAAGGGCATCAAGGCTTTTTTTTTTTTTTTAATCAAAGCCCTGAGTGGATATGTATCCACCTGAAACAGACCTGACTCTGTTACACTCTTTTAACTACCTCAAAGTTTTGTTCTCGAGCTCACCAGAAAACCATGTTATTTTCAAGCCGCCCCATAGCTTAGCTGCTTATCAAATCTCAGCCCTACTCAACTCAACCTAACCCAATTAACTCAACTCAACTAGACCAACTCAACACAATCCAACTCAATGGATTCAACTCACCTCAACTCAACTCAACTCAATTCAATTCAATTCAATTCAACACAACCCAACTTAATTAATTCAACTCAACACAAAACAAACCAACGCAACTCAACTCAACTAGACCATATTCAACTCAGCTCATGTCAAATTGACGTCAGCAAGCAAGTGCATCACAAGAGCCAGCAGACACTGTTTATAAGTTTGAGTCCCCACAGATCTGTGGATGTAACTAACTCAAAAGCAACACCTGCTGGGTTTGGACAGGTGGGGATAAGTGTGTTCAACATCATAAACAGTTACACATGAAGGACCTGGATGAAACAGAGACTGTATATACTATGGGCAACTTGGTTCTGCCTTCTGCACTATGTTGACACTGATTGAACATTTGAAACTCTCCTTAATTCTGTGTTTTTTCGCCTCTTCATTTACATAAAAATGTCTGTCTTTTGTTGGTATAGGATTTCATGCAAGATCATGCAGAGAGAGCTTGTGCTCATACCAGCACACTAAACAGCGTATCCCCCGGGTGAGTTACGCAATCTTTGTATGCCCATAGACTGTATCAAGTGTCAATCATAGAAAACATGAACCCCCTAATAGAAACGGAGCTGCACAGAAAAAAGACTGGGCTGTCACAGACTTGAGCACAAACCAATCTTACAATAACTACATGTCAACATCACAAGCAGGGGGGAGTATACAGTTATCTGTGTGATTAATTTCTAAAGTTTGTCCACAGCTCCATAAGGATGGCTGGCGAAGGCCTATACTGCAACCTGTCACCAGAGGGTGTTGTTCTCGGAGTGGCTTCACCCATTTAGGAGGCAGACGCTGTCCATTCTATATACAGTCAATGGACCAGACCTTATGATGTTACCTCTGAGCCACAGCTGCCTTCAAATGTTGCTCCGCTCTCATCTCACCTTTCCTCGGTCTGTCACTGCCTTTCCTTGGTGTTGTTTCATTTCCAAGGTTTCAATGAATATCCAGATTATATTGTTAATGGTGAAAATAATTATCTGATATTGTCACAGCTCTAGGTCAACCAGTGTTGGTTATTCAGGGCTGATACGAATCTTACAAAATAGTTAGGCCTCATTGCATATCAAATGTCCATCCATTTGAATTGCTTAGATTTAACATAAACAGGCCAATAAACTTAAAATGCTGCATATGTGTCAGTCAAATGTAAATGAAACAATTAAGATTTTGATTTATGTAATAATACTGATAAACCCAATGTGTTTAGACAAATAATTTATGTATTCATCATTGATAACTCCAATTTGTTTCTGTCTCATTAACTTTAACTAAATGAATCTTGGCTGATCTACAGCTCATCATATTTTAAACTATATTTCTACATTCTAACTGATGAAATCGAATTGTTTTCAGGATAACAGATTTACAAACTGTAACACCAAACTTCAAATTCTTTTTGCAAATCAAAACTGAAGCTTTCAACATTGCATACAAACGTGAACAGTTAACCAGAGAGCTTAAAGTAAAGTTAGGTCACAGTCAGGTGGTTTTGTGGACAGGACAATGAGTGAAACAGACCCAGAGGACAAAAACACACCCGCAACAGAGAAAAAGTAATGCATATTTAAGATAAATTTCATCAGTGATTGGTAAAATGAAAACCAAGCAATGTCAGTATAACTGTAATGATCTTTGGCACCCAGCTCTGGGCCTTGTGAGTATAACAGCTGAGCTGACATTCAGTATCATCTCTGAACTTTGAGAGTGATATTGCCAAAGAGTAAAGCATCAGGAGCTGATTTCTGCAAAGTGAAAGAGTAGATTATATCAAATATAATCCTACAGTTTATTATAATCCTTAAAGCTCACTTGTTTTCTTGTAATTGTTAGTTGTGTTGTTTTAATTGTTAAACACACAGCATTTCTCTTTAATTTATGAACTCTGCAGAAAATTAGGGGAAAATTCCTCAACAACAAAGTTTTCACAAAACTTTTACTCTTGAGGGGGGTAACGACTCCTGGTTAGGACCGACTTGGTAAAAAAAAGTGTCCTTGTGTATGTTTGAAGACCCTGCCCTCTGTGGAGCCACCTTGCTGTTCTTGTTGGGACAGGAGCAGTCTGTATAATGAACAGGTGGTCCCTGCAGCAGCTCTGCAAACAGCCCTGTGGATCTGTGGGGCTGCACAGCTCACAGACAGTCTGACTTGCTGGGACTCCTGCCAGTCAAACATGAAGATGCTGTGGCTCAGTCTTCTGACTCTTATGATGCTCAGCCAGACTCCTGTCACAGCCTTTCCTCTCCGGAGCTCCGACCTGCCTACACAAATCAATGCTGGACTGCCTGAAGCTGAGCAGAAGTTTGCAGAGGTACTGATATTTTTGTTTTACTGTAGTTTTATCTACAGGAATGTCACTCTAGCCAGCTTTACAGCTTCACTCCTTATACGTGAGTGCTTTATTCAGGCTTTTCAGGGATCTGTTGATCAGGTCAAAGCCCGAGTTACTCAGTAGTTGTTTTTTTTGTTTTGTTTTTCTGACTTGCTGATAGTTTTGTGTTTTATTTTAATTAAAATTACCCCATAGATACAGTAGTATAAGTCTTCAATGCATAGTAACACAAAGGTGGTTTTAGTGTAGGGACTTACTTCTTTAAGAGGAGGTTGGGTACTAAAGTAAAACAATGAATTATCATTATTGTATAAACATATATATTTATATAGTTTTTTTTTATATAGATGGGAGGTGAAAGAAGTATTTTTTTTCACTTTCAGATCCTCCACTTGTTCATCTTGAAAAACACAGCTCTCTCTTATTGTTTTGATAAGTTAGTAAATGAGGAAAATGTCAGTAACGCAGTAATTAATTTCTGCATTCTATACCTGAACCGGAGAAGCCGCAGAGATAGTGATCATTTATCATCCCTCTGATCGTCTGCCACCTGGCTTCAGTTGTAGTCTGATGCGATTCACTTCTGCAGAAGCACGAGCGGCAGACGTGATGTCTACAGGGGCAGAGTTTTATCTCATGGAAACATACAATAAAATCAAGAGATAGCAGCAGGCAGAATATGCGGGAATTCACACAATCAAGGGCACTGTCTGTAGTTATCACAGGAGTGATCGATATATTTATGAACACCAAGTGTGTGGAGAGAACAGTCAGCTTCCACGAAAACACTATTGATATTTTTTACATTACAGTCAAGGTGAAACTTTTTTTTTTTTAACATGATTGTTACTCAATTTTGTGTTGAAATAGCTGCTGAGAAAGTAAATAATTGTTTTACATGTTTTACAAGACATAAAGGTGGCTGTTTCCAGTTAAGCTGCTATAAAACAGCTTTTTTATACACCACATTACATGACATCACTTTAGGATCTTGTCTCCACTCAATGTGCACTCGAGGAAGGCTATAAAACCAACACCTATAAATCAAAGTAAGGGATATTGTCATCACTCTCTCTTGTTTGTCTCTCACTCTGTCTGTCTCTCTTTCTTACTTCAGCTTGTCAGCTCTAGAATAAAGCGAAAACGGAAATGTAGATGCACACAGAGAGTGGAGGGTAATTATGCACTGAAGTGACAATAATGACATAAAACGTTGTAAGTTTGCTGGTTCCTCTATAGTTCTACCTTTACCAATTAAAAGCAAGAACTACATTACTAAGTTTTCAACCTCTCGTCAGATTTTTCAAGCTGCTTAAATCAGCTGAGCTACTAATAATGATAAACTGATAATCTTAATATTTTCAAATCTAACAGGTAAAAAATAAAAAAAAACTGCCCTCTGATGGGGCGCTCACACCAGGTTTAAGTAAAATTATCTACTCGCTTAATGCTTAATTTGCGCGAATCTAGACGCTTGTATGAATAGTATTTACTTGCTTCATTCGTGCGTCAACTGTAAATACAAAAGTAATCCCTGCCAATTCAACCAGCGGGGTCAAGTGATAGACAAAGGTTTTTTACAATTTACTAGGTAATCCAACCTCCGTACTAATTTGCCAGAAAAGCCCTTTTTTATTTCTATTTCGGTAGTTAAAAAAAAAAGGTATCATATAATTCGGGACACTCACACACCAACATGATTAGTTTGTCCTCCATTTTAGATATCAGTGAACAACTGTCCGTTTTCATATGTCACCTGGCAACCTTCATGCTGATTGGTTATCGCGACCCGAATATCCACTCAGCTCCCGCCCAATCTGCGTCATTCACGCCACCAGAGTAGTACAAACGTCAAATCGCATCTTTGCAGTGACTTAACATGTAATTCAGTCACGCGAATTATTATACTGTTTAGTTAAATTGGTGTGTATGTGGCTTACAGCGCTGTTCGAGCCAGCCTCAAGTGGACACTTAAGGAACTGCAGATATTAACAACGTTAAGACCTTGCTTCTCAAGACCAGTGGTTATTCTTGGTTATTTCAAAGCAGGACATATTTATCACAACTGCAATTGATTTCAGCCAATCAGTGTGCTGCTTTTCATCGTCTTTAAGTTTTCTACATATTGAGGCCATGATGACATCGGGTAGATGTTCATCACTGATGAGAGGAAAACACCTGAATTAAATCCTACAAATCACATTTTTCCTCTCATGTTGACTTTCTTTCCTTTTTTTTCTAGAAGTCCATCATAATTTTGGTGTCTTACTGATGCACTTGTGTTGTTCCACAGCTGTGTAACCTGGATATATTGGATCTGTTTTTAATGCCAAGATGATGATCCACAAACATGTCCCTGTGATAGATTTATGTTGTGTAAATAGTTACAGAGCTGCAGAAATCCTCAAAGTCAGGGTCTGCAGTGTCTTCAGTGCTTTTGTGGCTGTTGTTGAGACCTTCAATTACATGAGTGCAGAACAGCTTCTTCACCATACTGTCATTAAAGGTTTGAAAAATGTCAGGAATGTTTACTGTAAAGACTGTAAGGCACGGCAAGAGACACTTTAATTTTGTACAACACTGAAAACCGAGAGGAAAACATGCTTTTTGAAACTTGGTAAAGAGGTCAGTCTCTTCCCAGACCACCTGAGAAGGACAGTGTAGGCGATGATAATCAACAAACAGTAACTTTTTATCCATTAGTGAGAATCACTATTTAGTTAATGCAGTAATGCAGCGTTTGTCACACCAATATGTGATATCATTCTCAGGAATATCTCCAGCACTTTTATAACTACAAGCCCAGGCCACAGAGACAGAAAAGGACTGCATACAAACATGTGGACACTGACTGGAACACTGACATGTGCGATAAGATCCAGGAGATGCAACGCTTCTTTGGTTTACCTCCGAGTGGGGAGTTGACCAGTGAGACCCTGGCCATGATGAAGAAGCCGCGCTGTGGTCTGTCAGATGTGGAACATTTTGAAGAGACGATCCGCTGGAAGAAGAACACGCTGAGCTACAGGTGAGAGGTGGTCATATACAGTACAGTGCAAATTGTGGTGATGGGACTCAATGGAAAAGCAAACATGTTGCATCAGGTTAAATAACAGCCTGTAACATTGGGGACTAGCTTATTATCTTCAGTCAGAGTGGTGCTGAACGCTGACAGACACATAGCTGCGTGAATACAATAGGAGGGCTTACAGGCTAGAGTTCAACAAGAATTATTCACCATATTCACTGTCCAATGCCCCCTATGCACAAAAACCTATAAAAACTGAGAACTCTACAGCAGATTTACAGGGATGCTTTTTATGACCTACAAAGAAAACAAACTCATCAGCAACAAGACAATCATCATTTTCAGTGGCTGAAATTGAAACATGGAGGCAGGTTTGAGGCTGAATGTTCAACACAACAAGTGCACCACAACAAGTATTACGAATGAGTGCCACATTTGACCCTTGAAAGGCAGCAGGAGGAGTGATTTTGCCCAAAAGCATTATGTACGCATGTAAAGGACAAGATTAGCCCAGAGTGGAGGGGTACCACTTGATCCATGTGGGTTTCATAGCTGACACAACAGGATTGCTCCTCACAAGAACTTCAAACTCAAAGTCAGCTGTATTTTTAAATCTTACTATGAACCCATCTGTACTATAGATGTTTATTACATTTTAAGCTTATAACTGTGCTTAACTATAGAAACATAACCTCTCCAGAGTGCTGCTCCCCATCACTGCTGGGAAGATTTTTAGCTCTAATGGCTTTATTATTTGAGAGACTGGATAGTGGATTTGGACAGTGGTAAGAGGGGATCAGCATGCAGCCGAAGGTGAGGGTAACAATTACAGACTGTATATTAAAATGGAAACATACACAAAAAGATTTAAAGCTCTCCCTCATGCTTGACTGCAGTAAAGATCATAGACTCTCGTCTATAGTTGTAAGTTTTGGGGTTTTGAAATGATGATTGACTGACAGCTCTGTCTACAAATGTAGGTCCTGCAGCTACACCTGCACCCTCTCTGTTTTTTCCGCTCTGCACTTAGCAAGTTCTCCGTAAATGTTGCAGAGGATGTATGACTTTGGGAGGCTTGGATTGAGTTTTTTAATCTAAAACAAGTGGAGAGAGAATTGGTCATCAGCAGCTGGGCACCGGCTTGCAGAAAAGGCCAGATTTATGCAATTTCTATAATGATGACACATTATTCCCTGGTATGGAGGCCTGACATCATGTTATCTGACTCCTATCAAAGCCAGGATCATGACCAAAAGAGCATCAACTATTGACAAAGCATTCATGGGAAAAGCATGACTAAATGCAGTCAAGCAGTCCAAGCTTGTATTGGCACTGCAATACAGGTGTTGTTTGGCTGTGGATTCACACTAATTAAACTCTTATCATGTATGTCACTGCAAAAAAAACAAGTGAAACAAACACATTTTTCATGTCCAATAAAAAAAAAAAAAAAGAGTTGGATTTAGTTGTAGATTCTTTCTTTGTCTCACAGGATTGCCGGCTACAACTTCCCCATACCCACCTCAAAGGTCCATAAAGTCTTTAGAGCAGCATGGAAGATCTGGTCTAATGTTGCACCCATAAAATTTCGTAAAAGGAGCAGGAAAGAGGCCGACATCGTTATCTCCTTCCACAACGGAGGTAAGCTCAAAAAGAGACATCAAACAGCAGCACAGTGGTCATCATTGATGTACAGTATGACATTAAAGTTTCATAAAGATGATGTTCAACTGCAGACCATAAGGACGGCTCACCTTTTGATGGTAAAGGAGGAATCCTGGCTCATGCCTTTCTGCCCGGCTCAGGGATTGGTGGAGACGTTCACTTTGATGCTGAGGAAGACTGGAGCTTTAATACTACAGGTAACAGAGTCACAAACCCTACATGATAAAACAAAACCCCAGAGCCATCATATATTGTGATTAAATTATGTTTGTGCAGGGTCTGCAAGCTTGCATTGTTAAAGTCTCTCCACACTGGGTATGTGTATTTTGGTATTCTTGGACCGTATTTCACCTGACTGAGCTAAAGCTGCAGCTCAACCTTACAGTGCATGCAAAAATACTGAGTGTCAAAGTTGTTTTGATATGAGTTCTCATGGCGGGCTGCACTGTTTTATTTGGGAACCTAGTATGACAAACCATGGGAAGCAGTGGTTATTTGCACAGACCTGTTTAGCAATAGGACTTCTCCTATTCCAATGAAGTCATCAAGTGTTGTCATAATTTAAGAGAAAAATGCTAGTTCCCAAGAGTTTGGTTGGATGTATCTCCACCACTATGATGAGGTGTGAATGTTTTTTTGACTGTGCAAAAAAAAAAAAAAAAAAAAGTTCATCCGGAAATGAACTCACCCATAACTGTACACTAAATTATGACCTCTTGAAACTGTTAAACTCTAAATCTACAGCAAATCCCATTTGAATTTTTGGCAAGGAAGGAAGATGCATAATATTTCTAAGAGCTACAATGTGAAGAAAAATCGCTGTGAACTTATCACCTTAACAGTTACTAATGTAGGAGAAAAATCTACCTCTTTGTGAATCCGTACGCTGAGCAACAGCAGCAGACCTGAAAACTTACTGGAGCAGGATTACAGCCTTTCTACTTCCTGTTTGTTTGCTCCAGGTTTCAACCTGTTTGCTGTAGCAGTCCATGAATTTGGTCACGCTCTCGGCCTTCCCCACTCGTCTGACCCTGGAGCGATCATGTACCCTGCCTACAACTTTGCCCCCACTCATGAGCTCCAGCTCTCCCTTCGTGATGTCAAAGATGTCCAACACATATACGGTAGGTTCAGAACAGGGATCATAAGTGATAGAAATACTGTATTTATAACCTTGAAACCTTATTTTTACCATTTACCGTTGTCACGTAAGTAAGAGGCAAGAGTCGCACATACATACTAGGGCAGTTTTTCAATAAAAACTTAGAAAGTTTCAGTTATATCAGATCACATTGTTGTGGTCTAAGAAAATAGACTCTAAACAGAATATCCTACATCTCATATGTAGTTTTTTTAATTAGCAAACAGAAGTAAATGCTCTACCTGGGAAGACATTGTCCCTTAATTTTTGTGGATTTGTGGTGTCCCTACATATGCAGGATTACTTTTTTCACTTAGTTTGAAATTAGTATGTGAATAACATGTGAAGGGATTAGATGTTTTTACAAGAATAACCCAGTTCACCTTAAGCATCTCTGTTTCCTGCAGGTATCAGCCCCAATTTTGCTTCACTTTTCTCCAAAAACCCTCCCCCAAAAACACCCAACAAATGTGATCCAGATTTGTCTTTTGATGCTGCCTCAGAGTTACAGCAGGAGGTCCTCTTTTTCAAAGACAGGTGAGTCAACTTATACCTGATTCTCCTTGTCAAAAAGGGGCAGCGGCTTAGCTTGGTTGGAAAAACAGGCGCCCCCTGTACTGAGACTACAGTCTTAGTTGCACTAATAGCAGGATGGATTAATTCTGGCATGATTTGGTGCACATGTGCAGTAAGTTGCCCACTGAAAATTGTAAGACTCAGGACAAAGAGAACTCTTCAGGTTGATGTGTGGTAACCAGGCATGCCTTGTTAGGAAAACAGTATTTAATGCATGCACAGGAAGCAACCAAACTGTTACTCCTGAAATACTTTTGCATTAACAAGGGATCATTGAAACCAAACTTTTCTTAGCACACTGACACTGAACATTTAGCTGTTCATGTTTCCTGTATATCTCTTAATGACAGAAGAGGCTGTATGAAGCTGAATGAAATAATTAAAAATTCAATTGAATGCAACTAAACTTGAAAGTTTAGCCATAGATAAATTAATAAACAAACATGTGAAGTGATTAATAAAGAAAATGATTATTTTACATTCATCTGTTCCAGAAAAGCCTGGGTTTTTGTAGTTACTTCATAGTACATCGAACAATTGAGTAGCCAAAATGTGAACTGTTTTAACTCTCTTCATTTTCAGGTTTATGTGGCGCAAACATCCAAAGTTTGATGAGACAGGAATCACCCTGATCAGCAGTCTGTGGCCGGAATACGTACCCCCTTACCTGGATGCTGTCTATGAGAATATGGAAAAAAACTTTGTTTTATTCTTCAAAGGCAAGACCATGTAAAGTCTGCACATGATTTTTATCATGCAGTCTGTTTTGTACTGGCTTTTCTAATATAAATGTCTAAATAAGAAGTGAATTACATTGTATAAGTGACTTTTTGTTTGTTGTAGGCCATCAGTACTGGGTTTTGAGGCAGCTAAAACTCCAGGAGGGGTTTCCGAGAAACATCTCAGACTTTGGCTTCCCCTCCAGGATAAAATCTGTAGATGCTGCTCTTCACTTCAGGAATGAACGCTCCACTGTTTTCTTCACAGGCCACGAGTGTTGGAGGTAGGCCTATTTGAGACCCAGTTTCCCAGCTTTTCCACTTGTTTTTTTTTCTTTTTATGCCAAGCCTGTATGGCACTAGGATGATTTTTCTCTAAAAGGAAAGCATGTCGAGCAGTGCCACAAATCAAAAAAGTGAAAAAAGACAAGATGTTAGACCGCTAAAATCTCTTGTTCTCCCATTCACAAGTCTAGCCCAGTCTCACAGTCAATTTCACAATATCCAGAGAAAAACCGCACACAGAATCCCCTATTTAGTCACTTATTTTCCGTTTTTGGTGTCAGTAAGCAGATTTTTGGTGTAATACTGAATAACTGACTTCCTCTATGAGTAAAGGCAGCATGACTTACTGTCACTGGGACTCTTATTCAGTGTGGGTTCTCAAGTAAATAAACATGATGACTCTGCTGCTATACAAATGTTTTCCTCGCCTTGTATCTGTGTCCTGGAGCAAGATTCACAGCTTCGTTATGTTTTCTTTGTGTACAATATGAAGGTACAACGAGCTGGAGAGGAAAATGGAAGGATCACCAATGCCCATAGAAGCACAGTGGCCAGGGGTTCCAACTCCAGTAGATGCAGCTGTTTTCTATGAAGGTAGTTTCATTGGTTTCATTTAAAAAACTGTTATAACCTGCAAAATTTGCCACATCTGTCACAAATCGACTCCAGCGTTCAGTGATGTCAGGATGAGAGCTCACAGAGCAGCTCTGAGCAGCACAGAGTGCAGATGCTAACTGTTAGTGGTAATCTCAGTCACAATTCAATGAAAAACTGGAGCAAGTTGCATTAAGATAACCTGTGATTAAGTTTAATCCAAATCTAACATTGTTTTTATTTTCCCAGTATTTATCTTCTCCATGATAGTAATGAAAGAGAACCCTGGCCAACAATTTAAAGCCTTGATTCATTTGTCAGACATGTCGTGGTCATAACAGACATAATATTCTTTATTGTACATCTCCAGTACCATGACAGTTAGTTAGCCGTGTAAAAAGTTGGGCAGGAAAACAGATTTTGGCACTTAGTTTATCATGTAAACCTATTGTTTTATTGAAAATACAGTGAACACAGCATCTTGCATTTCATTGTTTCGAGTTAAATTTTTAATTGGATGGCAGTAAAAAGTTTCTTATTGGAACAACAAAACACTGGAAGAGCTGTGTAATACAAAAGAAAAGTTCATTATAAATTTGATTTTTGCAACATGTGTCTAAAAGAGTCCTGCAAGATTAAAACCTGGAGGTACCCTTCCTCTTAAGATTAATTGGCAGCAGGTTAGTAACATGACTGGGTATAAAATGGGCGCTGCAGAGAGGGTGAATATCTCAGAGGTGAAGATGAGGAGAGATCCACTACTCTGTGAGAAACTGTGTGAGCAAGTAGTTCTACATTTCAGAATACAGCTACAGATTTTGAGGATTTCATCATCTACAGTACATGATATCACTGAAAGATCCAATAAATGTAGGTTAATCTTTCTACATGTAGTAAAAGGCAGAAAAAAAAACTGGAGACGTGATATTTGTAGGTCATAATACATTTGACGAAAACATGCCTAGGTAGTGTAAACTTCTGCATGGGCTCAAAATCACTTCAAAAACCATTGTCTGTGAACACAGTTTGTTGTAACATCCATAAATGCAGGTTGAAACCATGTAAAGAGGAAATATACCAGATACAAACATGAGCCAAACATACTAGTGTTGTTGTTTTCACAAATACAAGCATTTTTAAATCCCAGATGTCTTCAATTATCAGCTGACAAAACTCAAGTTAAAACAATTTGGTTATTATTGTCTGCTTTCCGTAATTTCTGCACAGACTTTTATAGCTTCAATTAATCTTTACTGGACATTGAAAACCAAGATAATGTCCATTTTATGTAATACCATATTAAATCTTTTGTCCTGACAGGATTTGTGCACTTCTTCAAGGGAAATATTCACTACAAATTTGACCCAAACTCAAAACGTGTGGTCTCCACGGGCCCCCTCAATGACCAGCTGGACTGCATTAAGACAGAGGACAATGAAATACTGGCTGAGAGAGGATGAGAGAGAGACAACACTCCTTACTGGCTGCTGATGACATGACTTCCTTTTTTCTGCTGTTTGTATACATGCAGTGTTTCTCCACTGTGCAACAGCAATAACCACAATCTACCTGTAATATCTGTGTGGGAGCGGATGAATAAATGGGGAAGTGTCTAAAAGTGTTTCATCAGTGTGTAATACATGTTGTAATAATGGCATTTACTAATTTTCTTTTTAAATCAAAGTTTGGTTTTGTTGTATATTATTGTATGCTGACTTTTGTGTGTGTTTGAAGTTAATGTGAAAGTATTTTTGTATGATTTTTTTAAAATGTCTGTTTGCTTTTGTTCATTTATATGTTTTTTTTATAAGACATGATAAGATATGTTGATGCTTTTTTTTTTGTACATAAAAAACAGTTGATTTCAATATTCTGAGGAAACCTGAAACATAAATTCACTTGTATGCTGAAAATGTTATCTATGCTGCAATGCACTCTGGGTAGTAACATCAATACTTCTCCCTGTTATCTGTTAAAGGTGATTACACTAATGTCCCACCTGTAGAGTAGCTTTGCATAATTTACAACTAATAAAAATACTTGTTTTTTCTTGCACCAGCAATATTCAGCTTCATTTTGGCTTCTTTTCCATTAATACACAGTTGGACACAGCTAGTGGGTGTTACTTTTTATACAGCTTTGCAGCCACAAAATGACTGGAAAGTTTTGCCTCTGAAGTGAGCTGTTGGCAGAGCAGGCTCCTGATTACATGCCAGGAATGGTTGAATTTTCTATAATTAAGGACTGTGGCAAAATATCAGTTTTGACGATAACTGTCTTTGTAAAACATTAAAAACATTGATATTATGCTAAGAATAAGAATACAGTCATACTGTAACTACTGTGGACGTGGTTGCCTCTTGTCATAAAATTTAGGGCAAACAAGGAATTAGCATCCGACTGAAGCAGCTCTCTGGGAAATAAATTAGCTCTTTTAAAGGTGACATTTAAAAATTAGTCATGAACCCACAATCAGTGTAAGAGCTTGTGCCTCTTTGGTGACTAATCAATAATCATTATTCAATAAAAATGTTCCTTCAACCATTTTCATTATGTTCTGTAACTTCAGTCGACTGAAGGTAAAAGCATAGTTTGACATTACAGAAAATGGAGCAACTTTAATGCAAGAAGGAAAAAAACTCAAGATGAAAGCAGGACAAACAATCGTTTAAGTTGTTAATGACGTACTGGCCTCTGTTTATAAAGAAGTCATCAGTGAAGAAGCGAGCACAGACAGCTGTGTTGCTGCTGTTTTCTATTTTTATTTTTTTGGTGCCTTCATCATTGGGAAGTACAAAATTGCTGTAGTTTTTCTTCACATAAAACAGACCACTTGTGAGAAACCCGCTGGGACAAAATGAATCAACAAAGTACAGAGTGGAAAAGGCAGAGAAAACCGAGCAGTGGAGCAGACTTCCCAGTTTCAGGGTGAGATCAGGTCGAGGCCTGAAAAACATAACCAGAGAGACACCACCATCTGTGTTAGGTCATACAACTTTTTCAAGGTTTATTATAAATATCTGTTTCAAAATAACATGTTTAAGTATTAAAATGAGTAATAGATATAAAAAATGCTGGCACAGGGTGTAAAACAATGTGTCCTGGCTGATTCAGCCTGAAGTGAATGGCTCTGCACCTGGACAGACCAGGCATTTACAAATGTAGCTTCTTAAATCTTTCATTGTTTCCATTGTGATCCAGACAGACTAATTTCTGTATTTTTACACTTTTTCACCAGCACCACACACAGTTTTTAAAAAGGCTCATTAGATGACACCTTTCGAGAAAAACACAAGAGGAAAAGAACAGACCAGCTTTGGCAGAGCAACATTTGACATCACTACCCAAACTTCAAAGCAGTGTGAATAAAAGCAGCTGCTGAGTAAATTGATTTCTTATATTTTCTCAAAATCCTGAAACTTGCTGTGTTTTTGCATTGGAAAATAAAGTTGTGTAATCTCATGTCACTTTATATGAAAGCCATCAAATATATACTGTATATGACTTTGCATTTTTTAAACACGTGTTTCTGTCCTTTTACCCGACTTTCACGTACACAAAGTTGAGACAGACGTCTTGCATGATTGAACCAATGCATTGTTGCTTCTTTTGTTGCATCACTTAAGTTCTGTCAGGGTGTCTGCTTTTACAGCTTTTGATCAATCTGTCTGAGACGACACAATGCGGCAGACGTCACTCATCTGTTGTGTATAGTGTGTTGTAACAGTGACTAAAATGTGGCTTTCCACTAATTGGTTCTGGCTAATAACAGACCCATCTGGATGGAAAATAACCACTGTGTCTGACTCATTAAGCTCTGATTTCAAGTGAAAGACCTTTCAATTTCCAATAAGCTTAATGTCCATGTAAATACAGCAGAAGTGAAGGTACAAATGATATTAATGTTCCAAGATAATTAATCTAAAAATGTTTAAAAATCTAAAAACTCAAGCCAATAATCACATTAACACAGACATTTTGTGACATGATTTGTTGAACAAAGTGCTCATTTATATCAAGAATTATGTCTTTGAGCTATATAAGCACTTAACCTGGCAGACCTTTTCATTTAAAATATTTGGCATTAGATCTTTTGTTCATGATAACATGACACAACACGTCTGAGTCTGGTGGCAAGGAACAAAACTATTTTACCCGAGGCAACGACAGCATTAGAGCTACAGAAGAGACACTGTTGGTCTGAGGTCACAGGCACGTCAGCGGCATGAAAAATCCCAAGGACAGGAGAATACCTGAATTAAAAACAAAAAGAAAAAGCAAGACTTTCAGACACTTTAAAAAATGTAATTAATGCTGCAAAGTTTTCAAAAGCTGTGAGGCTTAGCGTGATAAATGTCTGTAACTAAAGTAAACCACTGATAAAGGAAAAAGTTTCCCACTAAAAAGACAGTGTGGCTCAATATGGACTTCTATTTAAGCACCATAAAATCAGGGTTATGTAGAGTATGTTACCTGTTTCTAGAGGTTTTCAGTTTATTTGTTTTTATTGTATCGTCTTAAGACTGCTGCTGTGCAGAACTTGAGGCTATTGTTCGTTTGGACGCCCCCTGTGGGCAAAGATGTGCATCTGCTCAACTGTCTGATCTTGTATTGCCAAGGTTATATATTCTGACAGGAAATCTTTTAATTGTCAAATGTATCAGTCCCTGTGAATATTTGCTGTTGACAGTGGAGAAAATGTTTCTTAAGCTTTCTGCTGGATTAAAAGTCTGACCCCTGCCCTCTAACAGAAGTTTCAGACATTTAAAATGGCAGAACAGTAATTGTCAGCCTGGTACCTGATGGTCTTGTTTGCCTTTTTAGAGCAACATCACTGTCTTAAAAATTCTTCAAAAGTTCTTAAGTTTAATCTGATTTGAAGTATTGACATGTTCAAACTTATTTAATGGAACACTAAAAAGACAAAGCAAGCTTTTCTGGTGCAAAACTAAAATGTCTACATGTGTCTGAACAATTGAAACTAAAGGTAAAAATTCCTCTGCAGTAAGCTGAAATAATACCAACATTTTATTTGTATCATACAAAGACATTTGTTTCCAACTTTAATATTTCAGAGATCACAATCTACACATTTATTTTACAGTATGTCTAAAAAGAAATCCAAAACACTGGAAAATCTGATCCCAACTTACATCTAAGTCTGTTTCCTTAAATAAATAACAGAAGTTATATTTATGCCACCAGCGTGGGAATTAAAAAACTTTTGTATTCCAGCAAAACATGCCATAAATCAGACACAGCCTTTAAAAAAGTGGACAAAACACACAAACACATTTAAACTATCAAACAGGTCTATTAAGTAGCTGTTCTGAGGCTTTTAGCAAAATCACACAACAGATGATTTTTCAGCATAGCATCAGTTTCTGCAGTTAATAAAAATTGTGGATTTTATTGTCACATTTCAAATCAACCTGGAACTAAGTAACATTAAAAAGATTATTTAAATCTTTTTAGTTTGTTAAAACTGATCATTATTGTTAAAACTATTTCTGCAAGTGTGAAAAGAAATAGTTGCAGTCGTACATTCAAGGTAACATCACTTCCTCAAAATCTTCCAAATGATAGTATTAGGCCACGATAATTACAGTGTCTTTGTGTGGGAAACTTTTTTTTTGGATGAGCAATAATAGCGGTACTTCCTGTCATACCCATAAAAGGAGAATTGAGTCACCTTGTTGAGGATGTAGTTGCACAACACGCCCTGCTCTCAGCCTTTAAAACAGCTGCCTTCAGGACAGAGACATCAGAAACCCATCCGACGAAAAACATGGAGATTCATAAACTATGCATTCTACTAAGCCTGGCTGCAGCTGCTTGCTGTGTGCCGATTCCTGAGATCACAGTGCAGGACGAGACTTTGGCAGAGGTATGTATGCTTTCTTTAACTCTTAATTTATGTTTTCTGACTATTCTGCATGTGGAAATGTTGCTGTTGTAGGGGTCTTGACTGTTACCCTCATACAGGCACAGAAAGAAGTCTATTTGATGCATATTTGAGGGTCCAATTCTTGTCCTTTCTTGCAGAACTACCTGAAGAAATTCTTCAACCTCACAGAGGAGACGGGTCCAACCATCAGACGAGGACTCAGCCCCCTGACAAAGAAGCTGAGTGAGATGCAGAGATTCTTCGGTCTGCAGATCACCGGGACTCTTGATACAGACACAATTGCAATGATGAAGAAGCCCCGCTGTGGTGTTCCAGATGGAAAAGTCGCCAGTTTCAGCACCTTTGTTGGTGAACCCAAGTGGCAGAAGAACAGCCTCACCTACAGGTACATGAAATGAGAAGAGAGACGACAATGAATGGGTGTTTTTTTTTTTTTTTTTTTAATGAGTTTATCTATAATTATTCTTTTCTTTCTGTCCCACAGAATTGTGAACTACACACCTGACATGTCTAGAGCAGAGATTGACGACTCCATTGAGAAAGCTCTGCAGGTTTGGGCCAAAGTCACTCCTCTGAGATTCACGAGACTCTACAGCGGCGAAGCTGACATCATGATCTCCTTTGGCACCAGATGTGAGTCTAATATTACTTCTCACACACATCCCCAGTCATATACTGTCAAACTGTGGGTGAAGTTGATTGGTTTTATTCCAAAGATCTTGACATGCTAGCTGTAGCCTATTAGTTTAAAAGTGAAGAAAGGGATTTAAATCTGCATTTTTCATCAGACTAAACTAGTTACCAGTCATGTTTATGCAAAGTCTGACTGTATGCAGATCAGCAAGAAGATAATCATATCTCTCAGTTCATTACCGCAGTCATGTTTTTCTAACTACTGTAAAATTCAGAATACAAGTCCCAGTAGTATTTGAGACTTTGTTTGTTCAAAGGGTTTTTGGAAAGGCAGTCCATTTTTTAAGATGCTGACAAAGGATTTACAAGTTAGTCTTATACTCTGAGTCCTTTTGGCATTACACAGCATGACTTTATTTATGTCATGAATGTTTTGAATTATTGCTCCTTTCATGGGATGCTTGTTTTGCTCAGCTGATTAAGGCGGAACCCTAGCTTAAGGTGGAAGCTAGTCAAAGGATCAAGTCCTGGTTTTGGCATGATTTGATGCTCATGATTTTAGGCTGGCAGGTCTAATAAAGGCTACACAATATATCATTAAATCAAACAGGCTATCGTGGCTGCATTTAGAGTGGGATAGACTAAAGCTGCGTGGGATTAAAAAATTCAAAACAGAACAGCGTGACAGTTAAATGATAAACGCATCATAATGCATTTTCCCTCTCTGAACCAAATATCTTCACCTTTGGCTCTAAAGAACAATATGCCAACAGTTCATGGTCATGTTTTGATGCTTGGTTCACATCAGGATTTACCCACTGAAAAGAAGACTTGCATTAAAACTGCAAATTTGAATAACTTCTTTGAGGCGCAAAGTTGCTGTTCAGGCTTCTCTCTTTTTTGGACAGCCTCTCAATATCAACACTGACCTGACTCTAAAAGCTCTGATTTGATATCTCACACGTTTCTTCAACAGCTTATTTGATCTTTTGTGCAAAACTTGACATGAGTATCTTTTTTTTTTCCCAAATAGCACACGGAGATTATTACCCCTTTGATGGTCCTGATGGCACCCTGGCCCACGCCTTCGCCCCGTCCCCTGGTATTGGTGGAGATGCTCATTTTGATGATGATGAGACCTTTACTTTCCGCTCAACTACAGGTCAGTTTGATCTTCCTGTTTCCTTCATGTCTCTCTTGTTTCTACCCTAGAGCTTCATCTAAACTTGAATTTGGTGTTTTCTTCTTCAGGTTACGTTCTCTTCATGGTGGCCGCCCATGAGTTCGGTCATTCTCTGGGTATGTCTCACTCTGATGATCCTGGTGCTCTCATGTACCCCGTCTACACCTACAAAAACCCTGACACCTTTGTGCTGCCCCGTGACGACGTCAATGGAATCCAGCATCTCTACGGTGAGTACTGACTGGATCATCATGAAAAACTTTTCAAAAATCCTTGAAAAACTTACGCGGAATCGCTTCTCTTGTCACTCCACTCAATGAGATGCCTCTTTTATCAAACCCTTAGGTAAAAACCCAGACATAGACCCTTATAATCCTGATCCTGAGCCCCCCACCACTCCTGATGCTTGTGATTCCACCCTGGTTTTGGACGCTGTTGCCACCCTGCGAGGAGAGATGCTCTTCTTCAAGGGCAGGTAATGTAGAAACCCAGTTAACTTGAACATTACCACTGACAGACTCTTTCATTGAGATCTGGTTTTAAATCAAACTCTCATTCTTCTGTTTTCAGCTTTTTCTGGCGCAGCTACATCCAGAGCCCCACACCTCAGCAAAGTCTCATCACAAACTTCTGGCCCAATGCTCCCAGCAACATCGACGCTGCTTATGAAAGCGATGAGTCTGACAATGTCCTGCTTTTCAAAGGTATTTTATTTGTTCCCTTTACAGCTCTGAATCTGGCCTTATCTCTAAAGCATTATTATTCATCTTTGCATGAGTGTAATAAAATGTCTCCTTAATTTCCAAACAGGTCGTAAAGTGTGGGCTTTCAGCGGCTATGATCTTGTGAAAGGCTATCCTAAATCTATTTCTAGTTTTGGTCTGCCTGAAAGTGTGAAGAAAATTGACGCCGCCCTCTATGATTCAGAATCTGACAAGACTCTCTTCTTTGTGGGCAGCAAGTACTACAGGTATGTGCAAATAGAGTAATGTAAGATCAGTGCAGGGGCTTGGTTTGGGAGTGATAGTGTATTCAATAATTTCTTATTACTTTTGTTTCTTCAGCTATGACGAGGCTAAACAGACAATGGATTCAGGATTCCCCAAGAATGTGGATCAGGCCTTCTCTGGCCTGACTGGGAAGGTGACGGCAGCTTTCCAGTACAGAGGTGAGAAGCACTTAGATTGAATCTGTATTTTATATATACTTAAAGACATGTTTGCACAAAAACTTACACTGCTCTCCTCTATTCTGCAGGTTTCACTTACATCTACAGTGGACCCTACATGTTTGAGTACAGCCTGAGGTCCGGCAGGTTGTACCGTGTGCTGAGAAACAACTACTTCCTGCGCTGCACCAAATAGTGAGCCAGTTCAGCAGAGGAGGTGTTCATGTAGCCCCTTCTAAATGAGAATGAAGGCATTATATTTATAATGTGTGATAATATATTTAATGCCATTACAGAGCTATTTGACCTATTTCCTTCTTAAGAACAGCACCTTTCATATTTTTTATGACCTTTAAGTATTACATTATTGGTATCCATAATAATTTAACTGTTCTATGTATTTTATTTATCAGATTTTATCCTTGACGATTTCTTTTGCTGTTTTTCTCACTGTTTGAGTTACAGTATGTAGCATAATTTAGCACTGGTTCACTTGAACATGTTGAATTGCACTGATTTGATAACTGCTGTGACAAGAAGACAATGAATGTATGTGTCTGGCCCTATTGATTATTAATAAAAACCTGGTTAAAGAAACATTTAAATTTTCTCCTCGTTATTTTGTATTTATTTAGAGTTTCTACATGAATGGGAGTGATATTTGTTGCAGCATCTGTGATGAGTTCAAAAAAACAAAACAAACTTGAACATTTAAAGCTCCTGTAAGTAACTTGGCTTTGTGTCAGCTTTGGCGCCCCCTTTGGACAAGCAGTGTTTGCAAATGTGGTTATGCATGGGGGATGACTTTTGACAAAAAAAAAAATCTAATCCTGCTAACTTTTGATAGTCAAAAGTATAATTTATTGTGAATACCTTAAATGGAAATTATATATATTTTAAATTGAGCTGGTATTTAGCTGCTCAGCTGACACTCACCCCTTAGCATCAATTTCAGGCCTTAAATATTACCATACAAAAATGATCGGTCTTGTGGTCGATGGTCTTGTTTCTTTTCTAATATAGTAAAAAGAGGTTAAATTCTGTTCAATCTTTTTTATTAACACCTAAAAATTTCCTCACAAGAGCTTCAAACAGATTCCAAATTTAAAAACAAGACATTCACACAAAGCTCAGTTATGGAGGATTACGTTGGCTCTATGTGGCCCTAAGCCTTACACTTCAAAGTGAGCCCAACATACCCAAGGCAACTTGAAAACATGGTTTTGCTTTTTTGAAGTGGTGATGATCCAGGTATTTGTTAGTAGTAGGCTAGTAGGAACAGCGGGTGCCAGCCTGCTCGGCTCTTTTGTTGAGAAACCATCTGTAGAACCTGTCTGTCTGAGGCTACAGACTGGCTGAGCTCTCATACTTCATTTGATAGCGATGATTTTAACAAACACAAATGTCGGTGTGTCTGCTCTGGAGCTTCACAACATTAAATAAAATAATAATTTCCTTTCTATGATGGTTGCTGTTTAAATTTAATCCTGAGAAGTCATGTGAGGTGAACTGACAATACAGAAAAACATACTGTATACCTCAGAAGAATAATATCAAACAAGCCCCCAAGTTGTGTCAGTGTGAAGTACTAAACAATATGGTGGGAGAAATCAAAGCTTTTCAATATCATTATTCCTATTCTGTGACCTTTCTCAAATATTTGTGTCACTGACCTTCAGGGCCACCCTAGAGTGACATGGGACTTTAATCACTGAGACCAAGACATGTCAACTTCAGTTTAGACTTGATTAGTTTCTAAGACTGCACTTGAAGTTTGGTTCAGTTTTTACTTTCTGAAAATGTTCAAATGACTTTAGTTTTTATGAGGCACATGTCAGGGGAAGACTCTCTCAATTCAAAGATTGTGTGAAAAAACTGGAAATATAAACTTATTTGATTATTTGCCTTGCCAGAGCGGTTGAAGTTTAAATTAACTATATGGCATTAATACAACAATAATCCAATAAAAACAAATGCCCAGGAGTAGATAAGAGAGGGAATAAGCAAGACAACCACTATTACTGTGAACACATTTTGTTTGAGAGGGGTCCAGTTCAAGACAGAGATGCACAAAGTCCTTGACCATCAGACCCTAATATGGTTTCTTCATGTTATTTATAAGGTATTTTGACAGAAAGGAATAAAGAGAACCCCCTTAAATATAAGCAGATGACCTTTGCCCTCACAAAGGGACAATACTGTTATTACCATCTAATCCATATGTGTGCATTTTGTCAACAGAAGCACTTCTCAGAGTAATATAATACACATATTACAGTATTTCTCATTGGCTCAGAGGAGCATCGTAGCATCTTTCAGGTCATTATTTTAGTCAGCCGGTTAACAGCTTTTCTAGAGTAAGCTTGCACCATTTTCATGCACACACACACACACACACACGTATGCATGCACACACACGCATGCATGCACACACACACACACACACACACACACACACACACACACACACACACACAAAGACATTAATTTTTCATAAATCCATTATTTATTTATTTTTTGTTAGAGGTTGTAAACATCTCAGCAGAGCATTTTTAGCCAGCAGATATAGAGTGGTTGTATGAATGCATGTGTAAACCTGGAATTATTGGGTTACACAATATTACTGACAACACTCAAGACTTTTATACTGGGAACCAATATATATACCAATATACATCACCATCCATTTATTCATAGCAGGAAAAAGCTTATTAACCAGCCTTTAAAAACAGACCACAGAATAGATCTGTTGCTAATGACTCCAGAAAAGATAATACTTAACATCTACTTCAGATTGTTTTAGAAAGCCTGCGGTATGAACTCGATGGTGTTGGCCCATGCTAGAAAGTAAGAGACAATATCAGCCACTGCTACATCAAAAGCAATAGGTCCAGTTTAATCATATAGTAAGCTTAAAATAAAGCAATGTAGGAAAATACAGATTTAAAAAAAATGAGTGCATTACAAATGGATTTTCTTGAATATGTGAGATTTATGGTATTTTTAAGCTGAAGTTTTACTGACACACTGAGTCAGAAACATTTCTGTGAAAGAGAATTATTTGCATGCAATAAGTTTTACATATATATATATATATATATATATATATATATATATATATATATATATATATATATATATGTATAGTATAAATCTTTTCTGTATAAGTTTGCCAAAGTTTATGACAGGCAGAGCACTCATACCCTCTGTTTCATGAACATCCATGAAAAACTATGTGAGGGAGAGCATCAGCAAAGTCTCCTGGGGTACAGAACAGAGCAGGTGTCAGTGACAATGCATATGGCCCTGGTAAAACCAGACACAGCATTAAAAGAGAAGCTAGGGTGGAAATACTGTAGGTTGGAGAGCAATCAGCAGAGGGAGCAGGAGGAGACAGCAGAAGAAGTTTTAAGTAGTTTAAATAGTAGATAAAAATAAAACGCTAAGTGAATGATGGGTAGAGGGCTGAGCTGCCAGCTGATGTTGGAGGTGTAAATATCAGCTGATGTTCTGCGGGCTGTGTTGATTTTATGGCCTGCCTGAACTGATGCTTTGCAAACTTTACTGGGTTAGGTTTAAAATATGTACAATATTATGTGGTTAAGACACCAATATGTGACATTTATTTTGTTTAACATTGCATGCAACAGTTTTATTAGTTGTTTGCATAAGAGGACTACATGAACTATAAGAACATCACAGGTACCATGTAGATACATGCATAACCCAACATACCTTCTGTTACTCCTGCTATTTTTGAGTTACACTGCTACGCTTATAGGTGCTGTGCATTAACTGTGTGTATTTCTGCAACTGTGTGTTGTTGGTGACACCATACCTACAGATAGAGCCTTAACATTAGCCACAGCTTCAAATCTGCATTAAAAAGCATCTCATCTAGGACTCATCTATGAAGGAGTTCACTAAAGATGACCTTATGACCTGTTGGCTGTTTGTTACTATTTTTACTAGATTTATTCAGTCCATCTGCAAAACATATAAATCAAAAACACAATAATGGTTGTGAGATAGAAAATAAAGAAAACTCTGTTGACTTTTTGGCTCAATCTGGTCCAGTAGCCAATCTCTTCTCCTCTCGTGTGGCTGCTCAACACAGACAATGGTGCCATCCCCTCCTTCTCGCCATCATAGGACCTCTCTAACAGCTGGCTGCTGCTAGCCTGAAAAGATATGATAAACTGTGGTCAGACATACTAGTTATGTGATAACAGCTACTATTTATGTGTCATTGTTCATTTATAAGGCCATACACTACATCTAAAGGTAGGACAGCTAACACTGTTACTGTGTCTTTTGTGGCTGATTCTACTAAATCATGTTCCCACAGCTATCTTCTGCTGATGTCACACTTTGACTTTTAAACCAGCTATTTCTGGTTAAAAGCTGCCACCACGTACCACATCTTTACCATCATCTTGAGCTCTGTTCCTTGCTGACACACTTTTTGGGACACACAGTGGCCATCTGATGTTAATCCAGTCTGAATTGGAATCTAAAAAATCTGAAGCGATATTTTCTCTGCAGCTCCTCCTGCCTTTTTTCCAGGTTAAAAATAAAGAAGGCTGCACTGGACATTGTTAACGAAAGTTTTGACAGATTTTTAGCAGCAAATTCATCTGGATCATTTTATTTCTCCAGGTGAAGACTCATTCACAGAGAGAGCAAACAAAAATCCATCAACAGATCCAGGTGCATCAGAGTGACCAGATGAATGACGTGCTTTGCAGCATGTGCTAAGGAACATTTTCTATCTTCTAAACTGGATAATTATTTCATTTAATAAAGATGTCAGTGGTCATACAAAAACCTCTGTGAATGAAATTTTGTCTGTGATGCTCAAGCAATATCTATTCATTTCATCGTTTTCAGCCACTCTACAGATCTGAAAATATTACAGGGGAATATTTTTGCAAGTGAAGTGATTGAAGGTGCAACTTTGTCCAGACCGCTTTTGGCATCGGAAGCAGTTCTGAAGACATCCCTCCAGCAGACACGTCACAGTGAAGTTCATGAACATCTGGAACGATTCATTAGACATGTTAGTGAATGATTAAAAATCAATTTATACATCTAATGTCACTGCGGGGCATGGCATTTACAAAGACAGTTTTAATCCGAGCAGTCTGTCTACGCCTATTCCAGTTCAGATCCTGTGGGCAGGTGTGTTACTGTGAACAGAGCAGAGCTCAACCCCTCTACTTTCAACATTTAACTTACTGTCCACCTATTGAGCCTCTAAAGGGGAGAAAATACTGAGGCAATCCCTCTGAACTGCAAATGAGAAAACAAACTTTCTGAATTAACAGATGCATAGACATTTACCCATGAGGCACAGCTGTGCAACTGCATCATTTTTGCAAAAATTTAGAACAATTTGAGCAATTTACTTAACTAAGTTCACAGACGTTTGTGCATAAACTGCTCAGCCCTGTTTGGACTGAGACGTTTTTTCTAAAGTTGTGATTTTAACAAAAAGTTGATGATTTTTGACAGTCAAGTGTCTCATTATAACCAAGACTGCTTCTTCCACTGCACATCACATAGTTTCAGGCACTAAAAATAATGTTGTAAGAATGGTCCACATTTGGATATAATGAGAAAACATCAATTTGAATTGCAAACTATTTCACAAAGGTCAAAAAACTCCTCATAAGAGTTCAAAGCAGCACGAATACTGCTAGTAGTAGTACTACTATGAATACCTTCAACGGATGCTACAGGATATTGATTCTATTACTTCAGTGTTGGTGCACATTATCCCTATGATGGTCAAGCAACTATATTCCTGGTTATCTGAGTGACCAGTTCTGCCTATCTAGTTTAGGCCTACAGGCTGGCAGCCAAGGCAGCCGAAGAGACTCCACAGTAACCATATGAGTGCCATGATAAAGATCCAGGATTAAGTGGTTTCTCCTTACGTACTCACACGCTGCTTGTATTGCTCTCTCCTCCTTATGAGTGAAAAGTGAAAACTCCTCCAAAGTGAAAAGAACTTGCAAACTAACCCTACTAAGAGTAGTGTATTTAAGAGTGAATCTTACCTTTGAAACAGTTAAGGTGGCAGACTTTGTCTTTTTTTTTCACACAGTTCTCACCCGGGCTTTGGTCTTTGTTTGCAGAATCTTTCTCAATCAGGTACATCACGAAAATGGTCTCCAGGAGGCTCAGCATCATCAGACCAAAGATACCAACACAGTAGATGGCTAAAGGTGACAGACTGCAGTATTAATGTCGACAGAAAGCAATAGTCACAGAGTGTGTGCTGTTATTGAGGGGGAATTTAAAAAAGGAGGGCAGTTAAGGTGCTTTCTACTAATATATGTGCATGGGGGCAAGACTTCTGCCAATCCATGCACTCCTAAATGCAATTCTAAGACTTTAAGAAATGCATTTTATTGTGTTGGACATTACAAGTATCACTAATTTATTGACAAATCTATGGACACTATACACATATGTGAGTAGAAATGAGGCTTTACACCTGTAAGACATTCACTTTGTTCTAATGTAAGTGTGTCCTCACTACAATAAACACTTTACGGTTTTGATCCGATTGGTAGCGAGCTGAGACGACCTCTTTGAGGCAACCTCCACTTGTTTTGTTCCACCCATAGACTGTATATACTATGGACAAGTTGGTTTTGCCTTCCGTCATTATATGAATTTGAAGCCAAATTGCTCTCGGTATTTCGGGGATTTTCTCAACTTCCTGAAATCACCGGCTCAGCTCGGCTCAAACAGCGTATCCCTCGGGTGAGCTACACAATCTTCGTACACCCATAGGCTGTATCAAGTGTCAATCATTGAAAACATGAACCCCCTAATAACTTTTAAAATTAGAGCTGTACAGAAAAAAGAGGACTTGAGCACAAACCAATCTTACAATAACTACATGTTAACATCACAACAAGGGATGAGAAAAATTTATATTCTGTGCAATAAATTTCTAAATTTTGTCCACAGCTCCATAGGGATTTATGACCTATACTGCAGACCATCACTAGAGGGTGCTGTTCTCACAGTGGCTTTACCCAGCGAGGAGGCAGACAGCGTCCATTCTATATACAGTCTATGATTTTATGTCAGAGTGGGAAGCAAGACGGCCCCCTGTTTGCAAGTATTTGTCGTCTTTTCTATTCTTACCAATGAGTGGTATCCTGTCTGAAGAAGAAGGCAGGATTTCATTCAGGATCAGCTGCATTACTGTGACAGCGAGCAGCACAGTGACCTGGAAGCCGAGCTTTTCACCACAGGTATCTGACATCATGAAGGAGGCGAGATCCAGACCCAGGAACATCAGGATAGGTAGTAAGAAGTTGACCATATAGAGTAAGTATCGCCTCTTCATGTTGATCTGTGAAATTATATTGAAAGATTAATAGATACTTCTTTATGTTCAACAATGTCTGGACATGAGTAGCTTTGGCTATTGCCAATCCTGTTAAAATGTCTTAAAAAAAAACCTGGAACCTTCATATTCAAGTGTAAAATGTTTATAGGTTTCATTTGCAGGACCAGCCCAGGACCAGATTCTTACAAGTGCCATCTACTATGCTGTGAATGGTGGAGAATTATGGCCTGTTAATGTTACGTTAAACCTCAATAAGGATTTATTCCCAAATCAAGAAAAGTTTCAAATCAAGAAAAGTTTCTTGATTTCACAAGAAAAAAATCCAGAATCATAGACTCATCCTGAAGTTCAGAAGCGCTCAGCTTCAGAGCTTTTCATGCCATGAGGGACAATTTGAGGGGGTAGATATGAGCCGCAGACAAAGACAAATGTCTCCAAAAAGTCTCAATTCAAATGGCTCACTCATTTAAACAGTTTTTGTCAGCAGAGAGACAGGGCTTTTTTGTCTGAAAAGCAGTTTATCACTAAATCGGCCATTGACTGTGTTAGCTTGCTGATGTTGCTACAGACACAAGATTGAAACCCATGAACAAGAATATGGTTCAAAGTGATCAAATTTACCAGACAGGTGACAAAAACACTCATTTCTTTTAAATTATTGGTTAAAGGCAAAAAGCAACCATCACAGTACTTAGATGGAGATGGAGTAGACTGTGTGGTATTGTTATGATAAAGGTTAGACTATCTATACATACAACCTCTGACTTTTAGCCAGCTCCAGGACAGACGCTGGGTACTGTAGACGTGCTGAAATACTTACTGTGTAAGTAACCATGCGTTGAGTGATTTCAAAATTGTCCTCAGTCATCTCGTTAGATGTAATGTTGATGAAAATCCAGTCCGACTGGGTGTGCATTATCTGTTTGGACAGTGCTGTGGTGCTGTTTTGTTCAGCATATTTAACAACCTTTACTTGCTTCTCTGAAATGACAGATAATTTAGTTAAGTTAAGGTTCCCCTGCTCCACAGCAAAGAAAAAACAAGTGGTGAAATATTATTCAACAAATAGACACTAAAACCCAAGAATGTGGGTATAAATAAGCAACTTTCTAAAACTTATTGACATAGGTCACCAGGTTACCTGGACTAGCATTTAAATATATTTACCTGTTTTTTTTTGTTTGTTTGTTTGGTTTTTTTTACTGATCACCCTCCCATGTTTCACCTCCTCTTGTTGAGCCATAATCTTACCCTGCTGACATCTGACAATATAATGAACATGTATATTCACATCATACATGCACATGTATGATATTTACTTAATCGTACATCAGCATAAGAAAACAGGCAGATACTGCACCAACACTCCACTGACAGAGTCTTCTGTCACAGTGCTAAAACAAAAACCCTCAAATAAACAGAACCCATAAGAGGCTCCACCCTGTGGTGCTATTTGATACTGCAGGCACATCACACCTATATTTTGTTGCAGCAGGGTGTGGCTCTTGTAACAAACACAGACATCAACATGTAATTAACACTTATCTCTACATTATCTTTTAATCAACAAAATCATCTTTGGATCAAATCTTAGTGCTGGCTGTTTACAAATTTACAATGTGACTCTTTAAAATCAAATGTGAGACTTGTAGGACCCAAATAGAGTGAAATACCTTTTTTTTCCACAGCAGTATAAATTGCATTAATTACAATTGTGCGCTTTTTAAATGATGTCTACCCTTGTCATCCTGGAGCCAAATCTCAATATTTCTTATTTTCTTTGCTTTCTTCTTTCTTTTGTTAGTGGTTTGGGAATACATACGGGAAAAGTCTGCCTAAATGCTGTATTTGTAATACGACCAAGCAACTTATAACATGATGGACAGTGTTACATGCCCACGCCGTTACCTAACCTTGGTTCTTTTTTCAACTATTGTTACTTCCTTCATCCCCTTTTCACATCTTTTGTTACGTAACAGACAGTGTAGACTGTATTATGAACTTTATCCGTCTAAATGTTTAAAACTCAGAGGAGAAAGCTCAACTTTTTCATGTGCTTCATTTGTCAGGATCAATTTAAGGTTTAACAAGATTTTCAAGGATAGGAATTAGGTAATCAGCAGGATGATGTATAGTGAGCTGGTGGTTATGTGAAAGAAAAAGAAAAAAAAAACACTTCAGGGTGAAATGTAACTCCCGTTCCCATCAGGATGTTGTCACATCCTGTTGCAAAACCACAGGCTGAGATGAGCCCTACATGGATCTCAATACACCATCCTTCAGCCCAGCCCCAACCAGGAAACTAAGAATGTGTTTTATACAAAGAATAGAAATTGGAGGCAAAACAAAACAAAAAAAACAAAAACAAAAAGAAAAACGTTTAAACAAAGTCACCTGCCCTGTCTGTGTCTGGGGGTCACCTCTTCAATAAATCATTATATCTAATATCATTACATTTACTCACTATGTATTTTATTGTTTCTTTCTTTTTAACTATTAGTTTCCCTGTTTTCCATTTTGTTTTCATTAATCTCATCCTGCTTCTGCCAAATCAACAAATAATTTATAGTGTCTTTATTTTTTACTCCCACACTACAACCCAAGAGACAAACCTTAGTTCATCACCTCATATCCCCATCCTCACTCCAGGTTTTTAGTTCCCTTTTATCAATTCATATAGACATTCAGTTTAAAGTTAGCACTTTGTATGTCTTATACCAAGTTATGATAAACTCTAGCAAACACAAAATTGTAAAACTCATCCCACTCTTACCGTCAAATATAATGGACTTGAAGGTGAGGCTGCAGCTCTGGGTGTCGAAGGGGAACTTGTAAACTTTCATAACGCAGGTAGTGACCAGCACCATGTTGTTCCTCTTTAGGACCCATCCATTATAATTAACGTGCACAAAAGGACTTTCAGTGTCCTTACTCTTCTCTGTCCTGCAAGGAAAAAAAAAAAAAAAAACTATGTTGGCACCTATCAACATGTTAGTGTTTCAGTGAGGTGTGGTCAGTCAAAAAGCTGGTGCTGATTTGTTAGGCATACAGGTAGGGCAATTTGAGCTTATATCCAATTGTTTTCCTTTTTAAAGAAATAAGGCCTGAGTTCTGGAAAATTACCAGCCAAACTAGCTGACAGAAAGAAAAGAAAAACATAACCGCATTGCCTCAGTGGCTTCAGAAATCATAAAAAGGCTTATATTTAAATTCACACTAGAAATATCAAATGCTAAAATCAAAATATATATCTTGCTAGCAAGGCTAGGTTACAAGGAATTAACATAATTTGGGTACAAGCTTTGCTAGTGTGGATTTGTGATTTTCTGCACACTGGCATGTATTAAATCAGAGTGCTCTATCTGTGAATTAGCATAGTGATGTTGTCTTGATTATTTATTTATGTAATTGTTTCTTGTAATTTGGGTTATTGTTCTATCTACATTTTTCTATAACAGAGGTGGATTTCATCCGGTGAAAGCCTGTACATTCACTGGAGCTTACCTCTCCTCTATAGTTATATCCGGCTGCCATAATAGTTTTGTTGGAATAGCTACTGATGTGATGTTACAGAATTGATTAGGATCCCAGCGGATTTGATAATGTTTCCAAATCTACAGAGAAAAACCAGGGGAAAATATTAAAACAAACTAAAACAAAAAACTAAAACCGCCAAATATGGTGTTAAAGTGGCAATTAATTCATTTAAAGTCGACTCACCATATCAAGCCAAACATAAACGTTAAATTTCTGTTCCTTTTCTTGCTGTGGAGGAAAACATGTGAAGAACATTTCCAGATCTGGTGTTACAAAAAAATCATTTACAAATATGCCTGCATCAGCAGGAGGGTGGGAAAGGGAAAGTAAGGGATTAAATACTAAAAATACGTGCTTAAGAAACAGTTGTTGATAATGAGTGAGGGATAATGTATGATGGGTGGGTAAGATAAGACAAGATCAGAAAAACTTTATTGATCCCGTAAGGGAAATTCAGTATGGTATAATATATATTAAGTGGTTATGCAAGCAATAGATCACCGTGCATTATCTTGTGTATTACCTCAACTGCAGGTACATACGACTCGATTTGGACGATACCATATTATTTATCTTTTTAATCGAGCTACTGAATATAAATGTACTCCATCACTCACCACCTGCAGAATGGCATACAGTATTAAATCCAGATAGACTTTGGTGGGTGTTAGGTGGTTTTTGGCAGGCCGGGTCATGGCAAACTGGTCCTTGTTTTGATCCAGCTTCAGGTACGTTATAATATCCCATGTGCTCTTATTACACGCAACTAGAGTAAAAACAACATCAAGAACAAGAGTATGTCAGCAATAAAGGAATGAGAGGGAAATTGACAAAAACTTCAGCAAAATATCAAAATGACAAAGCAAGGTGTTAAAATGTGCTGTTCCTGCCATAGATATGACAGGATGTTAAGCAACTAACAATGGTCAGCTATGGTAAGTTAGCTGAAGCCACATTTGTCGATGAGAGATTTTACAAAGCTTCAACTTTTTTTTAACAAGTGTTCAAGAAAAGACCAAAGTGTACACCCGAAAAACTGTTTTAAAAATGTAAAAATTCTCACTTTTTTATTGTTGGGCTTTGAAATCTCAGTTTGACCATGCTCTTTTTCTCTCATTAAAGACATTGTTTTGGTCATTTTTCTCATCTCTTTTCTGTATAGTCCCTCTGGAAAAGAATCTATCCTTAAAAGATCTCTAAAAGTGGTTTACAACTTATAATATTTTATATTTTATATTGTATTTATATGTATAATATTTAAACATTTATAAAATTGCTGACTTCTAGTAGGTTTCTAGAATGATGTACCCATCAGCCTCGCCCATGTATTCCTGTTTGATGGTGAACATTGCATCACCACAGTAACAGTGTTTCATGTAGATGAGATTGACAAAATAAAGACTTGGGTCCAGACCCTGACGAGCCCAGGCAAATTTTATGTAACAACAATGAGTGTGATTTGATGATATATTTTTTAAATGTCATGGCTTTTTCAGTCTGTTACTGAACACTAAAAAAATTAAAACATCCACAGTTCTTCTTAAAAACTGAACATCTTCTGTGTCAAGCTTTTCAGGGTCACAGCTCCACAAAGAGTACTCAAGGACTTCAACACTTTAAATTTTGACAGTTTCTTTTGCATACTCACCTTCCTCCAACATGTAGTCACCCAAACTGTTCTCCAGCTCATCCAGTGTTTTTGCTAAGTCAGATGTACTCCCAACTGAGAAAATAAATAAAAAATATATATATATTTGAGTTCAGGTTTTCATATTTTTGGTTTGAATAAATTGCATTGTCTTAAATTTCAAGAGATCTGATGGACTCATATTGCTAATCATCAGAAAGAAAAAATATTTGAAAGTGAGTGAAAACGGTTAATCTATTATTCAATTATTTTAAAGTTGAGGTTCAAGGTGTAATAAGATTAGTGTTAGCGAACACTCACAAAAGTTACCACTCCTGCTGGCATCCTGTAATGACATTTGGAATTTATTACAAACATTAAACTTTCTTTTCACTGGCTTTCTAATTCAGAAATCTTTGATCAAATTCTAGTGAGAACTGCATGAAAGGCACTTTCACATCTAATTTAAGTCAGAGTGAAGAGGTTAAACTGGCACAACAATGAGAGTGATTGATATTTTTTGGATCCTTGAGTTTATGAGCATTACAAAGAAGAGGCCATCTACCTGTATTTTAATGGGATGGCAACCAAATTTCTGCTGTCAACTCAATAACCAAAATGAACATCATCTGAAATAGATGAAGAGAAAACAAACACTGCCCAAGATAGACGAAGAGAAAACAAATTACCATCTGGAGAGCCCAGGGTCTGAAAGCTTGTGACTTATTTCATTTTTCTGGGAAATAATGGTTTTCACAAACAATCAGGGCAAACACTGAACAGATGAAAGAATTTATCTTAATATATCTTTTTGCTTTTACATCATTTTATGTCTATTTCGTTTTAAATGATGTTGTCTTTTTGATTTTAAATTGTTTAAATGTCTCATTAATTTTTTTTATGTTTTTCGTTGCATCTGTAAACCACTTTGAATCGCCTTGTGTATGAATCGTGCTATACAAATCAACTTGCCTTCCCTTGCCTGATTTCATTAACAAAATAATAGCCATAAACATTCATCGATGATCGTTACCATGAGACGATGATTAGCTAAAATAGATCACTGATAATGAAAAACTTCCAGGATCGTGTTTTCTTTTTTTCTCATTAAAAGCAAAACTGTTTGAGAAAGACCAAAACATTCAAAATACATCATAGTTACCAAGCTGCACACTCACAACGGTACAGTGCATTTCTCCAACATACAGGGCTCTATTTTCGTGCCTCCCTGGAGATGTGCTGCAGGCGCAGCATAAGTCAGGTCCGCCGCGCCGACAAGGCGTTCCCAAGCACAATTTCGGTATTTTGCCGAGCGGCGCAGCCCGGCATAAGTATCCCCCCTCCCTAACTCAGCTCCTCCCAGCGGCGTAAGTCGTAGGGAGGGAGGAGAGAGGGTGGAGAGTGGATTTAACACAGCCAAGACCTGTATTGACTAATAACATCAGCTCCTCTCCTCGCCTTTAAATCCGCCACCGGCGAGGTGTATTATTATTTTCGTGAAGTAGTCAAAGAGATCAAGACATGTCTGAAGACAGTAATGCCACACGATGGCAACAAAAGGCAGCCCTTCAACAAGTGTCGCTGTAAGCGCTGCAGAGGGCGTCCTTCACACACTCTCATATGAGCACAGATGGATTTGGTGTGTTGGACCCACTGGTAAGACAAACACCCTTTTCCACAAATAAAGACACTCATATAAAGTTGCTCATATTCAAACCTCACATGACAAAGGTGGGTTGAGCGCACAGATCACATCATAAATTCCAAAAATGGCATTAAAATCGGAACCATCTGTGCGTAAATGACGCATCACGCTCCGTGGCCTGGCTCTTTCTTTCATAGATGTTGGCATATAAAATAAATTTGGCTCACAAAACTGAATATTATAATATCCGCATGTCGGCTTAAAGTAGATAACGCATCTGAGCACTGAAACAAATCATCTGTTCAGCCGCCGCAGCAGGACGGAGAGAGGATGAAAAGAAGATGAATTATATATCTTGTTAACTTCATCATGTGTGTTTATTTACTAGATATTTAATTTAATTTAATGCGGTTTCAGCTGTGTTGATTCGGTCAGGTTGAGTGTCCAAACGTATGCCAAACTCGCTCATCAGATCAGATATAGATCAGAATATATCTATATAGATCCAGATGTATGTGCTGACTCAGATTAATAGTTGTTGATGATTATTTATTGCACTGAAATGTGCCTGACACTGTGGAAACCTGCTGGTGAAAATACTACTAGACCAGCTGCGCTCCGCCTGCGCTAAAAGTTGACAAGGTTTGAATCGGCGAGCTTTCAGCACACTTTATACGCCACCGGCGAGCATGAAAATGTCACTGCGCCCACTGATTCTGTCGACACCTCCCTCTGCCACGCCACCACACCCAGCTCGGCGGACCTCAGTGCGCCTCAGTTCACGAAAATACCAAACTGGCTGTATGCCGGGCTCCGCCAGACGAAAATACCACTGCGCGGGGTCCGCCACCCTCCGCCGCCTCACCGGTGGACACGAAAATAGAGCCCACTGAGTTAGCTTAGGGCTGCAGCATCAATTCTGACAATGACACTATTTAAAACAAGTTCTCCATCATCCGCTCTGCCTCTGTGCTTTTCTTCTTTTTATTATCTGTTCCCTTTGTAGAAAACAAAGGGCTGAACTGGGATAAAACAAACTTTGTTGTATCTCAGTTTTTAGGTAGCTACATTATATACCAAATTCAAGGCATTCATCCACTCTACATTACCGAAGATAAAGCTTCAATGAGAACAGTGAGTGTTGTTTCTGGAATGTAGAAAGGATCATATGTAACTGTACAACCTTCTTCTAAATAACTATGAAAGGTCGGCAGGGAAAGCACAGCAGTGTTGCATAGATGGGGGAGTCTTAACTTACATTCAGCAAAGGTAGGAATCTGAACACTGTTTCAGCTTTGATACAGATTTCTAAATGATTTGTTGAATAAGTTAAAGACAAGAAAAAATTTGACAAAGTGTTATATGATATTAAATGTTATATAACATAATGTTTCCACTTTTCAACAAGTAAAATGAGACTAAAACCACAAAGAGCAAAAGTGACTAAAATGTGAGTAAAACCAAAAGACATTTTGCTTCAAAGATCCAAAATAGCTGCAAAAATGTACACTGTTTTACATGTTTGTTATTGTTAATCACTCAACAGAATATTTACTTAAATTAAAAAAAAAGACATAGTATAAATTAAACTGTAGACCTCTGTTATTGCATGCATCACATCAAATTTTGCTGTACTTACCTGTGAGGAGTGACAGACAGAGGATCCCTGTGAACATCATAACTACAGATGGTCTGCACCGTCCAAGAGTATTCTCTCCTTTCTGTGTTGCTGCTCAGTGTGGTGCAGAAGTTATATCCATGCCTTAAATAGGCTTCATAACAACTGATACTCACACAATGCAACAAATCTGCCAGGAAGTGCAATACCCCTTAAACAATTAGCGGCCTGTGGTAAGATCAATTTAGGCTACTCTCAATAGGAAGCCAGTGATTTCCCAGGAAAAGAATTCAGGGAGAGAGCTGACAGGACATATCATACATCAAGAAAAATTACCAAAAAAATTTCTGATAAGTCACAACAAATAGTAAATTAATAACAGGTCTGATTTGTAGACTATGAAAATATTGTTTAGATTTAGGTGACAGCTTAAAAACATTAAAAATACTCCCACAGTTCTTACACATCATTTTTCTCAAATTTATTAAGTATCCTAATCTTGTTTCTTGTACTTATAATATAGTAGTGTACTTACCAAAAGGTTTGTTTTCTGGTTCAGTACAGTTAAGCACAGTAAATCCTAATATTGTACAGTAAATCCTAATATTTGCACATCAGACTGTACCCTAACCTGTCGCTTCATGCAGACAGTAAAATGGTAAGTATGTCAAAAGATGAGTTGGTTCAGACAGCCACAGTGAGCAGCACCTTAAAAAAAGGCAATAGGAACTCTAAATATACTTTTTAATAATGAAAAAAAATGAAAAAATATACTATGACTGTACCTCTGAAATGCTTTTCAAAACAAAAGCCTGATTCCTTTTCCAGTGGTGAGAATCCCTCGTTTTCACAAAATACTTTTATTGTGAAATTGTGTACAGGACTGTTATTTCGTCAATGCTGAATGTGCAAAGCTCTATATGCATGGTTAAAGTCAACAACCCTCAGCATAAATGCTGCTGGTGATTGGGATCATGCCGTTTTTTTTTTTTAATTAATTTATTAATTTTTTTAGACCATTTGACTCAAGAATTGTGCCTTTCGGCCTCCAAACATCTCTTCTTGTGTGTTTTCGATATTAATTCTGCATTCCAGTTGTACTCGGAAGTCGGGATTTCCGAGCTCCGAGTCGGAAATTCATCTTGAAGTCGGATTTCTGACTCGGAAAGTCGGACGATCCTCACCAACCTCATAATCCAAGATGGCAGCGCAGTGCATCAACAGTAAGGAGTAACAGTGAAAGCTTTCATAATGCATTATTCATTAGCACTTCTGTTTTGTTTTTGTGACATTAAATATGTGGTATATGCTGTACTGCCCAACGTCTAACTGTGAACATGGTGCTATGGTGTTTGTCAGAGTCAAGTACAGCATTATGCATTGTTAACCACTGGTATAGCTAACAACAACTTACAACAACTGACCACGGCTAACAACAGCTGACAACTGTAAACAACGGCTAACAACAGGCGTCCATCTTGGTTTTCCGACTTGTTTACTGGAACTGGAACTTGGGGGTAACCTCATTCCCAGCTCTGACATCTGACTTCCGAGGTAAATGGATCCCAAATAGTAGCTTATCAGAATATTCTGCTTAAATGAATAGCTGATGATCAGGTAACTTAAAAAATCAGGTAAATACTGGTTTATTAGTGTGCATTTTCACACACTCATGATCAGATCAGTGTGCGTGGCACCCCAACAAAGGGTGTCAAAAATGTAGAACAGTTATCTCACTCATCTTTACCTTTTCTTACTTTTGACTGATGCATATGTTTCTTTACCATATGAGACTAAACTGCATGGTTGATGTATGGCATCATAAATATGTTTGGGAAAATCTCTGGTTACAAAATAACATCTAATCCTCTATTGTCTTACTCCATGAAGAAGACAGACAGAACCCTGGTTCCTTTTTTGAGTTAAAGCTTTCAGAGAGTTTTACTTATCTTGGCATTAACATTAGCCAGCATGCAAAAATTTAGCTATTTATTATTGGCCGGTCTTGGAGGCCATATTACAAACTATAGATATCTAGTTGAACTTATGTTTGTTATTGGAAGCTTATCAGGCTTTTCCGATGTTTTTTCATTTTTTATTTTAATAGACAGACAAATTAGCCTCTGACAGATAGGGCCTAAAGCATTTCAGGATAGTACCTTTAAGAGTTCTTAGAGTGATGAAAGTATCTGGTGGTTAACAGTATTGAACGCAGCGGTCATGTTTAATAGCTCAAGTGCAGAAGAGTTCCTGGAGTTAATAGTTTTAAAGAGATCACTTAAAACTCCCGAAGGTGCTGTAAACTTGTATGGAACTCTGAAGAAATGCCTAAAATTAAGGTTTAGCAGCTGGATGAAGACTGCTTTATCTCAAAATTTAGACCACAGAAGACACGCAGTCCAAGAAAACCAAACGGTCTCATATACAGTCTGAATTAGGGCTGTCTAAATATAACAGTATTCTAGACTGTTTCAGCCCCGTCCAGAAAGATTTAGCACTGGCATTCAAAGATTTACAGTAAATCTAAAAACATCATTAGAGCATGTGTTTCCTCAGGTCAAGCAATCAAATATTCATGCTTTTACACTGTCCCTTCATAGTTTACATCCAGGGCTACAACACATTGGCAGGAACTGGAGGTTGCTTACACTTATAAATAAAAGGGTGTTTACCATGTAGGAAACAAGGAAACCTAAACACAAGACAGAAAAAAAAAAAATCAAAGTAGAAGCACGCTGTTTATCATGTGCAGACCACTGTAAGTAAGCGTTGAGAGAATTTGTATCTGCAAGTTGAGTCTCTATCTTTCACTGTAGCCTCTTAAAATCCATCAACAAAGCCTTACGTTTAGCATGGATCCACCTGAGCTAAAGTACCGTACAGAGGGTGAGGTATGCACCCACAAGCAGGGGCATGTCCAGACCTTTTTGACTGGGGTGGTCCAACCTCAGCACTGGCACTGCTGGGGTGGCATAAGGTATATGAGCCCACACACCACTAAATAGCATTTATCACTGCACCTGTGTTGTAAGACTGGACATATAGTTCATTTTAATCTTTTATGTCTCTGACAAGGCAAGAAAAACAAGTAAGATGTAGTTTTGGGTTTAAATTTTTGGGGTCCTGTCTGCAGAAGTATCCTATGTCTTAAAAAAAAGTAAACTGAAACTTCATCCTTAAAAACTGATCAAAACTAAACTGGAAATGACACGCAAAACAAAATAAAAATAAAATCTAATGAAAATTGAAAATAATTATGAACTTAAGATTGAAAAAAGATTTCCTCTCATTGCCTCTTGTATTGAATAACAACAAAAAATAAATAAAAAATAAAAAAAATATGGGGGGGGGGGGGGGTAGACAGGAGTAGGCTCATGTTATTCATGGGGCTGGGCGTGTTCAAGGAAAAGTAATTTTGACATCATAAAATTCATGGAAGCACATATATTTTAACATTTTTATGTTTTCAGACTTTTTCCTGAAATATTTATGTTTTTACAATTTGTTTGTGTTCCCAAACATTTATTGTATTTCATTTTATATTTATTTATTGCCCTCCTGAAATATTTGTGCCATTGACCTTCATGGCCACCGTAGAACTCCGAAGTCCAGTCTCTCCTGCAGCCCAAACTCTAAATATACAGACTGAGATGAGGGACGTGTGAGCAGGTCACTTCTATAAGTCAAGAGTAAGTATCCTGGCATCCACACTGGACCCCTACAACAACAACAACAGTTGAAAAAAAGAATCAGAAACAAGACACAAGGGTGGATTTGAGACCTGGTACTTGAGAAGGGTGTCTTTGGGACCAAAGATGAACATTGGGGGCCAATGCTGTGTTTCCACTGAGTTACAGTATGTGGATGGTGTCCAAAGATCCATAAACAAACAGACACTGCCTCTCTTGAAGAAAACAGCCTCCATAAATGGTGAATAGAAGTTTTCCACTTTTTTTTTATCTGATATGATCTCTCTGGACAATCAAATGGGCAACTAAATGGAAGGAAATAATCTGAAACCTGTTAGCTCAAACCACATCAAATCTCATAATGAGCTGGTCACTGATAAATCATAATACAGAGAGGTGAAAAAATCAGTACCATCTGCATGTTAAATAATGTTGTAATAGTTCATGTAAAAATGAGAAAAGAAGACAAAAGAGATTTGAAAAAATCGGCTCTCAAATATCCTCTGATTCATGTAGAAGTGGCCTAAGAATTATGCTTCATTTCCACTTATGTTGAGTAGCTGTGTCAACCACAAATCCATTCACTCTTACAGTAATCTCCATTATACTGCTGTGCTTGCAAAACGTTACTCAGATTCATGTTGTAAATCTAAGTGATCTCATTCTGCTGAAATATGGTGTGAAATCATAAACAGCCTGAATATCTACATCAGTTTGACATTAAATATAATCAGGTTTAGTAGTTACCAGATGAAATGAACCTCTCTTCTATAACTACTGCGAGATTCTTTGGTTTCTGTCCTTCAAGAAATGAACTTTCTTGCATTGGACTCTTTCATTCATTTATTCATGGATCGACAGACTAGGCAGTAGTTATGCTGATAAAGGCTGTGAGTTGATGATAATGACAATGATGGGCGCTAATGGTTATTGTTCTTGTTGTTATTATTGTATTTCTCAAAGTTGTGATGTTACTTTGAGTATTCTCACTGCCCTGTCTGTTATTATTCTGTGTATGTTAGTATTTAGTTTTATCTTATTGCTGTTTCATCACTCTAAATTTCTCTGTCTTGCCTCCCTCTGTTTGTGTTTTCTCTTTTATTTGCCTTTTGTTTTCCTCTCTGTGTTTTCTTTAAAGCACTGTAGATAAGATGTGTTGTGTGTAAAATGCTCTTTAAATAAAGTTTATTTGATTTGATTGATTCAAATTTCTTACTCATTATTTTATTCAATTCTTATCAAATGCATTGAATTTAATTTAATCTAATCTCATATCTGATCTCAGTCTGGTAGGAACTGTAGTCTCACTGGACATGAATGTGCATTTAGGTGAACTCATGAACTTAGGCTGTTTTAGGCTTACCAAAAGTACATCTGTGATCGTGAGGTAGTTACACTATCTAAAGTGTAACTTAGATACTATCTAGGCACCTTCTTTAAACTGATCCAAGATTTGAAGGCCTTTTTAACCTTGATTTAATGAAAAAACACATAGTAGGCACTTGAAAAGTTCATACCAGGGGTGTTTTTTCCAACTTTTTTTTTTTCACCCCAAAAGGATATCCAGAGGTTACTTTTTCACTCTATATCCATTGGTGGGGCATCCAGAGGGCACTTTTTAAAACTTAATAACTGGAAGGGTGTCTAGAGGGCACTTTCACATTGCATCCACTGTTAGAGCATCCTGAAGGCAAAGCAGCGAAAGGATACAGACAGGGCTCTGTTTACTGTATATACCCACTAGAAAGTCATCTAGACAACACTTTTCATTACCCACTTAAAGGTCTTTGCACTTTACAAATGTTTTACAAATGAAATGTTATCTATATGGCACTTTGATCAACTGTATCTACCTTTTGTTAAGGTATAAAAGACATTATTTATGTCGTATCTAAGAAGAGAGTATGCAGAGGGCATGACTTAGTGCTTCATTTACAGTAAAGGCGGCCAGAAAACCTTTTTTAAATTATAAGTATACTTGGAATGGCATATAAAATGACTGGGCTCTATTTAACACTATGTCCACTTGACGGGTAAAACAGGGGCACTTTCACACTATATCCACGGCAAGGTACTCTACAGGGCACTTTCTAAAACATTTTATCAACTGCAAGGGTACCTAAGGTGCTCTGTTTTCACATTTGTTCTGCTATGAGAATCTTCATTTGGCAGAAATATACATTTCACAATGAAAACGGTAGTGCTCCTCCTAGTTTTATGAATGTATAGATTTGGAAACAGGGACCACAATGTAGTTTTCCACTAACACTGTCCTACAGGGGGATACATAAATCAATGAGCACACACAATATAATAGATTCTTATTCATATCTGATGTTAAAAATAATCTATTTGGTTAAAGGATATACCACGAACTAAAAACATGACTAGGTGTTTTGAATGCAGATCTGTAAATATGTAATAAAATCAAGACACTTTATTATTATTTTAAAAATGTGCGAAACCTCTTAAGTGATACTGCTTTAGTTTAAAAAGTGACTCATGACCATAAACCAAATTTTTACAGCTGTTGTAAAGTGGTGGGCGTGTAAAGTTATAGTGTGTTGAGCAATCTGTGGCTTCTCCAAATACTCCACTACATGTCAGAAAAGCCCTGCTTAGGACGTGACACAGCCTGTCTGTGTTTGTTCACAAAGCATATCTCTGTTTTGTCAGCAGGAACAGCAGCCTATAAGGGTCAGCAAGGACAAGAGAAGCTTCTGATTTCAGGCAGACTGCTTTAAAAAAACCTGAAGAATAATGTCACAGTATCACGCAAAATATATGTTGAAGAAAAAGTTATAAAAAGCTAAAAGAAATGTGTAATTCCCAGGTGTAGCTTTAGTAGCTCCTCTTCAATTTAGCTCAGAGAGGCTGTGAGTATGAGGCAATGAAAACAAATACCAGCATCCTTTTGATGCACAGTAATGGGAGTGTTTGGGGGAGTTCAGAATGAATAACCCTATACAGTTCCTCATCCCTTATCTAAGTCTTAAATCTGTCACTCTGATATAAAAATGCCATGTGTCATATCATGATAATTATATCATTCATATATCACGTTTGGGGGAATTTTGTTGTTGCTGTCTAAGCAATCATCCCCAATCTTTCTTTTCATCCGTGTAAGGAAATCTTGAGTCACAGAGCCAAAGGTATAGTTGCTCAACACGCCCACTCCTCAATACTTCCACCTCCTAGCCTATATAACAGCTGACTTTAGCACAGAGACTCAGACGCATCCAACGAGGAAGCATGAGGTCATACAGTCTGTGCATCATAACAAGCCTGGCTCTCACAGTGTACTGTGCTCCAGCATCTCCAGTCACAGCGCAGGATGAAAGTCTTGCAGAAGTAAGTTTGTTTTACCTAGTCATGTGTTTGTTCTTATTATTGCATTTAAGTTGTGCTTGATCCAGAAGGTAAATCCAGTATGTCTACTATTTAATGCATCTTCATTGTCTTCTTTTGCAGAGTTACCTGAAGAATTTCTTCAACCTCACTAACGAGTCACGTCGCGGTATTGGACGAGGGGTCAGTCCAGTCACAAAGAAGCTGAGTGAAATGCAGAGGTTCTTTGGCCTCCGAATCACCGGCTCCCTGGATGAGGACACAATAACGATGATGAAAAAGCCCCGCTGTGGCGTTCCTGATGGAAAAATCGCTCGCTTCTCCACCTTTGGAGGTGACCCCAAGTGGCAGAAGAACAGCCTCACCTACAGGTACATTAACACAAAACTAATGTTCTTTTTATTTGATTTACCACCCTAGCCAGAACATATTCATTAAAATGTTTCATTTTTATGCTGATGATAAAGTTGTATATACTTTCCTATTGATTGCATTCAACAACCTACTGGCTGCTTTTGATGCCAACCAATCTTTGTAAACTAGTTAATCTTCAACTCTAACAGCAAAGTGAAAAATAGTTTCTGACTATTGACTGTTTCCCAAAATATGAAAACCTGAATTTTCATCTGCTACATATTAAAACCTGACAAAACACTGGAAGTGAAATTGAGTCAACATGAACGCTATTTTCCTTTTGTGGTCAGAAAAAAAAACTGAGCTGCTGTTTAGTTTATAACTGATGGTAATGTTTTTTATTTGCATGTTACTTTATATACTTTAAAAATATCGGACACAATGTACCATGATGCAATAGCATTTGTGTCAAGTGTAGCTTGTTGTGTACTTCACTGTGTCGCCTTTGACAGAGTAGGTCTTTTTTCCTCTTAAAACAAAAGAACAGAGCATCAAACTTTTTATTAGCTTTTCTTATTTATGTTTGTTTTTTTTTCTTTTCTTTTACTGAGCACTAAAGCTGTCAGTGACTGTAACCTTTGGTCTTCTGGGCAAACTTTGGTATTCCTCTGACAGTCTTCGGTTGTTCCCTCGCCCTCTTCTGAGCTACAGAGTCATCTAAGATCTAGGGTCATCTAATCAGTGTTTGAGGCTGAATGCTGAAGATCTGTTGACTGATGAAATGATTACTTGTTGTTGTCTGCTGTCCTGGCCAGAACTTTTGTATCTTAATGGGAATACTCCTAGCAGAATGTTATCTGGTAATCTTATCTTTTTATCCCACAGGATAGTGAACTACACACCTGACATGTCTAGAGCAGAAATTGATAACTCCATAGACAAAGCGCTGCAGGTTTGGGCCAAGGTCACCCCCCTGAGATTCTCGAGACTCTACAGCGGCACAGCTGACATCATGATCTCTTTTGGCAGCAGATGTGAGTCTAAAATAACTTCAGTCATAAAAGATTAACTCAATTTGTTTTTAGGAAACAGTAAACCTTCTGTAATCTAAGGATACTCTATTATGAGTTGCAGTCCTACAATTTTAGGGATACTCTGGTGAAAGTAGAGAACATAAATGTACCAGAAGTTATTATTTAAAAAAAGGGGTAACCCTCTTAAAGGTGTTTTATTAGAATATTATCATTACATGTATTATTTTAATATTACATATGAGCAATTAGAGGTATATAAACTGATATTAACTGATTGACTAGATTAAGTAGAAAATTAAAAGTCATTGAAATAAGGTATTCTATCAAAATTAAGTCAAGCTTACTTTAAAAGATGGGCCTTACTTTGTATCTTAACCTCAGGTAAAAATCTATCAAATCCTGTCATGACAACAGATTTGCTTATGTTCAGCTTTTGTTTTTATTGAGTATGTATCTAAAACAGCTCCTATAGGCGCCTGCAGCCGAGCAGCTGGGGTTTCCTGTTGTTCATATTTGAGTGACATTTATCCTTTAATGACAGGCACTCTACCTTAACCACATTTTCAACACAGTTACATAATGTGTATCCTTAAAGAAAGTAAGGAGACAACAATCTTTCCACGACTGACGTGCTGCTGCTTGCAGTCAACTCTGAGCCAAATTTTTCTGGTGGCTGTTTTCTCTGCATGATGTTGTAAAGGCTGTGTTTATCTGAACGGAGGTCTGAAGCTTTGATATCCCGCAGGGCCTCCAGCAATATACAGCTCACTACACATGCTTTCATTGTGTCTTTTGAACAGACTTGTCGAATGTCTTTTTTTTATCATCTGATAAAGTTATGTTCTCTTTAACAGCACATGGAGATTATTACCCCTTTGATGGTCCTGATGGAACCCTGGCCCACGCCTTCGCCCCAGCCTATGGCATTGGAGGAGATGCTCACTTTGATGACGATGAGACCTTCACTTTCCGCTCAAACAGCGGTAGGTTGTAGAGGTACCTGTTCTCTAGAAGGGCAGTTTGAAGCAGTTAAAGCAGACTGGTGTTATTATTTTCACAGCCATAGAAAGAAGATGTAACCACAGCTTTATGACAGGGTGTGTGTCTAGCATGCCACAAAAATGTATTGCATTTGTTAATACATTAATACACTGATACTGAAAGCCCTGATCCTGACCTGTGAAATTTGTAACCATTGGACTAAAATGTCATACTATATGCTGTCAATTTTGAAATTAAAATCCACTGTCATCTCTCTTGTCTGTGACTGCATCTATTTCAGGTTACGTCCTCTTCATGGTGGCCGCCCATGAGTTTGGTCACTCCCTGGGTTTGTCTCACTCTGATGATCCTGGTGCTCTCATGTACCCTGTGTACACCTACAGAAACCCTGATACCTTTGTGCTGCCCCGTGATGACGTCAATGGAATCCAGCATCTCTATGGTGAGTATAAAATTTGTACAAAAAAACTTCAATTCCCCCAAAGTCATCCAACTCTTCTGCAATGAGACCCTCATCTTATAAACCCTCTTAGGTTCAAATCCAGACAAGGACCCTACTCAGCCTGAAACAACGCCCCCCACCACCCCTGACTCCTGTGATTCAACCATGGTGTTAGACGCTGTCACCACCCTGAGAGGAGAGATGCTCTTCTTTAAGGACAGGTACGAGACATACAGATTGTTAAAACGGCAAAAACAATCATACATAGTCAAGCTTCTGTGTGCAACAGGTGTTTTCTTGTATGTTTTCAGCTTCTTCTGGCGCAGCTACCCCCAAAGCTACACACCTCAGCAAAGTCTGATCACAAACTTTTGGCCCAGTGCTCCCTCTAGCATCGATGCTGCTTATGAAAACCGACGTTCAGACAGGATCTTCCTCTTTAGAAGTAGGTTTTAACCATATCTATCTAGAAAATCAATCTGGTATACCGTTTAAGAGTTAATCTATCAATCTGTATATTTTCTCCTCCTCAGATCGTAGAGTGTGGGCTTTCAGGGGCTACACTCCTGTTCGTGGCTATCCTAAAAAACTGTCCACCTTTGGTTTCCCAAGAAGTGTACGAAAAATTGATGCAGCCCTCCATGACGCTGACTCCAGCAAGACTCTGTTCTTCGTGGGCAACAATTACTACAGGTATGTTCCAAGAGTTATATAAATTTGAGGTATTGTGCACCCTTAACTGTTACTCTATTAACCTGTATACTGCCTACATATCTACAGTTATGATGAGACCAAAGAGACCATGGATCGCGATTCTCCCAAACGTGTGGATCAAACCTTTTACGGCCTTGACAACAAGGTTACTGCTGCTTTCCAGTACAGAGGTGAGAAACATTTAAAGCTGATCTAAACTTTATGAACAACAAGGATACACTGGTAAATGAAATTATTTGAAGATGAAGATGAGTCTCTTTCTCATATGTCCAGTAAACATGAGGCTAAAGTCCAGCAAAGTTAAGATTTCCTTGACATAAGGAAAGAAAATAAAAGGGAAACTATCAGCATGCAGCCTTGTTTTATCTAATGAAAATATAACAGTTAACATTTAGTTTGTACTCATCCACGATCCCATTGTCCACCATGTTCACATTAATTAAACAGTTTTTGCAAGATTTCCAGTATTTAGACAGGACCATAGAATGGACACCGTCTGCCACCTCGCTGGGTGACAAGGAGGCCGCCTCGAGAACAGCACCCTCTGGTGACGGGCTGCAGTATAGGTCATACATCCCGCCTCCTCCAGCAATCCCTATGGAGCTGTGGACAAACTTTATAAATTAATTACACAGAATAAATTTCTTTCTCCCCCTTGGTTTCAATGTTGACATGTAGTTACTGTAAGACTGGTTTGTGCTCAAGTCCTCTTTTTTCTGTACAGCTCCATTTTTAGAAGTTGTTAAGGGGTTCATGTTTTCTATGATTGACATTTGATACAGCATATGGGTGTAAGAAGATTGCATAGTTCACCCAAGGGATACACTGTTTGAGCAGAGTGTCATCACAGGGACTCTCAGGGACTCTCCCGCTGAATGCGTACAATGCTGCTGCCCAAGTGGTGGTTCCAGAAAGTGGAGAAAATACAGAGAGCAATTCGGCTTCAAGTTCGTATAATGACAGAAGGCAGAACCAAGTTGTCCATAGTATTTACAGTCTATGATCCGGACCCATGAGATGAGCACTGATCTCATTCCACTCACTCATTCTCAACAGGGTAATATCTAAATAAAGCATGCAGAAACTAACATTCACTCTCTGTTTTGCAGGTTTTACGTACATCTACAGTGGACCTTACATGTTTGAGTACGATCTGAGGAGCGGGAGGTTGTACCGTGTGCTGAGAAACAGCTACTTTCTGCGCTGCAATAACTACTAGACACTTTTCTACTGTAAAAAAGTTAATGTGACTGCTTTGATGAGAATGAATGTAGTGATGACAGTGTTGAAATAACATGTTATATTTTTAATGAAATTCTATTTTCTAATATTTATTTCTATTACTTATTTCTAGAGTTGTAAACACAGTGGGTTAAGATAAATACATTTTATACTCTTTTTAAACATTGCCTGTATCTCTTTGTCGCAATGATGTTCTTTTGGATTCTTTCAGCCTCCCTTGATTTTCATTAAAAAAATGAATGTAAGATTTCAGACGTAAACTTTCGACTCAGCAAGCGTTTTTGCTCTTATCGTACTGGGCCTTGTACAGTTTGTAATAAAAGATTAAATTTCCTACAGACTGGTCTACTCTGGTTTGTTCAAGTATCGCAGCTATCAGCTCCTGTGAACCATTAATATGTACCACAGAAATGTCCTATGAACATGTGTAGTTCAGCACTAACTTTGTTTGTCAATGAACACCAGATGCGTCTTAGTATTAAATGCAAAAAGATACGTTTTCATGCCAAGTTGGCTTGAGCAATGGCATGTTGTCAGTGAAATTACAGTTGTCTTTTTGCTCTGTTGAGTGATAAACCTTACGTAAGTCTTCTGCTCACCTGGTTATTAGCCTGCATTTTAGAAAATTGATATATAACACCTGTGTCAGATACTGTGAAAAAGCAAACCAACACAGGGAATCTTCCCAAGAGGATCAATAAAGTTCTTTATGATCTAATCTAATCTAATCTAATCTAATCTAATCTGATCTCATCTGATATTTTAATCTAATCTGATCTGATCTGATCTAATCTAATCTAATCTTATCTAATCTTATCTAAACAATGACCAATGCCAACCAGATTGTTATTCTCATCTTGTTTAAGTCTGTCATGTCAACAGTATGCTACTGGGTATTTAGAATCTTCACCCAATCCTAAATAGCAATGCCAATGGACAGTGTTATAAGATACAAGAGTGAAATGTGCAGCAAGCAGGGTCTGAGTGAGTTTAATCCGAAATCATTCAGATATTCACATTTAGGTCTTTATCAGGAGACAGAGGCAAACAAAAGGAATGATTTTACCTTAATTACAGGAAGACACACTGTGTTTGAAAGTGGAGGAAAACTACAGAAATCATGTAGACTAATAAATAAGCATTGACTTGACAGCAAAACAGAAAAACAGAGAGGGTCTGAAATTTTTTTGTGTAACTTTATCTGATAAATAAATAGTTTATGGTTTATGTCCATCATGTCAATGCAGTCTCATTTTACTCCTACTAGTAACCTCACTTTACCTCCACTGGCTCCCCCACCTGTACCACCCCACTCCCACTCTCACTACAACACCTCCTGTCCTGCCTTTTATACAGGCTTGTTCATGTTCAGACTGTTGCAGGAATGTCTTACTGCCCCATCATGCACTTTTACTGCTCATTACCTCACAATAACAAGGAAAAGTACAGATTAAGGAAATAACCAAATACTCCATCCCCAGCCCTCCATCAGAGCAGATCCTGGAAAGACGAGTGGCTAAAGTTGGTCGTTCTGTGCAGGACAGGGAAAGGAATCATGGAGTGTGCTATTGCTGTGATTATAGTTGTGATAGTGGCACAGTGTGGAGCTGTGCCACTGGCTTCACCCAGTCAAGAGGAGCTCTCTAAAGCTCAGGTAAACACGAGGCTGAATGGATGTTATATAACTTTCTGTTTTTCTGTGTAATTCTATAAGATGTATACACCATCAGTGAAGCCAAACAAAAAAGCTGTGCTCATTTAAAACCGTGTAACATAAGAAGATATGTTTAGAGAAACTATATATAACACCATAAGAAGTGTTTGATTCTACTTTATGAGCTGTCAGTATGAGTTAACAGTTGATAATCTGGGTTAATATTATTCAGAACTGTAGTTTCAAGCTATGTATCATAAAATTCTGCAAAACCTAGACACACAGACAATGTAGATCCTTTCTGCATATCTTTTAGTCTGGAGGTATGCATGCCTGTGTTGACTGTTTAACCTTATCCTTGGTGCAGCACTAAAGACAAGATTATCAAATGTTCAGTGAGCAGCATGTGTTTTTAGTTAATAAAGGTGAACAAGATTTTCACAACATATTTCTATGCCGCATGTTCCAAAAATGTTTCTCCGTATGCATTTGCATGCAGAAAAATAGTTGAAAAAAGTGGTGTTACTAAGATAGTCCATACTGTACCAATAACAGAAAATGTTTTAGCTGCTGTGAAAATCTGGAGCTGTGTTTCAGAGGTTTCAGGAGACCCAGATGTCCATGCAACACAATGTCATCAGCTAACATGTCCAAATAAATTCATAAATATCTGTTGGATGATGGATTCAAAAGCAAAGACATAAAGGCAGATGGAATAAAGGAAACTGGGCTCTTGAACACACTTCAAGGTGCTGTGAGAAACTTTCAGTTTGTACCAACTTTGGCGCCCCCTTTGGACAATATTGTCCTTACTCTTCTTGTTCTCTACTTCTTTAAGTCGTACTTTTGGACCTATAATCTCATCCTCTTGATTTTTGACAGTTAAATGTATCATTTATCATGAATGTTTATAGGGAAAAAGCAAAAACAGGGCTGTTTGTCCAGCTGCTTGGCTGACACCTACCCCCTCACACCAGCTTCAGGTGTTATCAAATTGGATAATTATATTTTTAATCTTGTTGCTGGTGGTCTTTTTGTGTGTTTGACATCATGAAAAGACAGGAAAATGGATTTCATTGCAGTTCATGATTATCAAAAAAAAAGAAAAAGCCTCTTCATAGGCGCTTTAATTTGTCAGAGTTAATGTGTTCAGGGTTCAGAGAAAGCTGATTGATTTCCATTTCTGCTTGTTGTATAACAGAAAAGGTGAATCACTGAACAGCACAAACAAACAACATAGTTTTGGTGCATAAATCAGTCAGTAATTGGCGTTCTTTCATCCTGCCACTAGCAGTAAACATCTGTTTTGATGCTGAGCAAAGTTCAAGTAAGTTTCCACATATGGAGGATACTATGGAGAGTGTTCTAGAGAGCTGATACTTCAGAGGATTTTCTGCATTTCACTTGCAGCATTTTGGCTAACACTAACTCTGGTCACTTGTCTGTTCCCTCAACACTAGAAACATACAAAACCAATCTGTTTTTTAAAAAGTTTCTTTATTGCAGAAGAATTTTTGATTCTGTAGAGACCTCTTAGAGCTGCTTCATAGTCAGGAGGAAACAAGTAAAAACCTGCAGAAAGAGTCAGGACATCCTCAGGCTTTAAGGAGTGCGCATTTTATTACAGCACATATTAATTCCTGCCCTGCCTGATGCCCATTGGGCCAATAAATCAGTTCCAACCCAATTCCTCTGTTTATTTATTATTTTTTATTTCATTTTATAAGGTTTAAAATTGAACAGATTCGGTAGACAGCAATATTTAATGTTTTCCATTTTTCCACCTTGCATTGATCAGGTAATATAAATTGGAAAATAATTGGACCCATTTAAGGACAGGACTGTATGTAGAGAAAAAACACACGCACAACTGAAGATCATTACAGTATTTTAGTTGTTTTTTACCAGAGAGGTTGTGGGTTTTGTGTTTGCCAAATGTGCAAATGTGTTTTACGTGAATATGGGTTTTCAGAGACAATGATGTTTTTTTTTTTTTAATTCCATCTTTATTGTTATTCACATTTATTCATGTCACTTGAGCTCAGAACAGTCATAATAACATGACTTCACCCTGATATTTTTGCATTAAAGTGTTAATTATTTGTATAGATTTTAAATACTTAGCCAGGGGAAAAAACTTCCCAACTTGTTATGTTTCCCTCATGAATAAATTGTTGTTCAGGCCAATAGTTACAACCATGTGCTTAATCACAACCATTTTTACTGGGTGAGCCAAAGTAGAACAAGACCGGATTTGAGATGATTAGAGACACTTATAAATTTATGGTTTAGTTGGTCTGGAATTAAATTATGGCATTTGTCACAAGATACTGTAATTTCTGGTGAACATATAAAAGTTTATAGAAACACATTTAAGGAAGGGAAAAGTTAGCTCAGCAATTGCACTGTTGTAAATGAACACAGCTCTGATACAGCTTTAGATTCAACAGTCACTGGTGTGACTCATACCACAAAAAATACAAACAGATATGATAAAAAATGAAAGGCTTCAGATCCAGTGAAGGAAAGGCAAAGACAATGCACTTAGAAAAAGTTGAGAAAACTTTAATTGAACAAATACAAACCAGAAAAAAAGTCCAGAGTGTTGTCAGATTTGTGTGTTTGAGTGTTGTTGACAGCACCTCTTAGACATTTATGTTGACAGGGGTGTAATTATTGTGCCTTGAATGGGAATCTGTACAGGACAGTTGAGCATTATTTGTCACTTTTCTCTGCCCAGGCATATCTGTCTCGGTTTTTCTCTGATGTTGGTGTCAGTGCCCCGAACACTGTCTGGAGAAGCTCTCTGGACTCTTTTGATGAGACTCTGAGAAAAATGCAGAAGTATTTTGGGCTGGAGGAGACTGGACAGCTTGACTCAAACACCATAGAAGTGATGGCTCGGCCACGCTGTGGCTTCACAGACGTGCCCAGATACGGACATTTTGAGGGGCGACCCAAGTGGCACAAGCGTTTGATCACATACAGGTACTAGACAAAGCCTGCATGTAAAAAAAAATAAAAATCAGTTCTTGCAGAAATAAAACATCTTGGAGCTCATGTCTAATTTCTTCTTTAATAATTTCCACTCCCACATTGTCCTAGGATAACTGAATACTCTCCAGATTTGAGTCAAAGTGATGTGGACACCACTATTGCCAAGGCTTTTAAAGTCTACAGCGACGTCATTCCTTTGGATTTCAAAAAGATCGACAGTGGCACGGCTGACATCATGATCAAGTTCAAGGCTCGAGGTATTTACCTGCTTTCAGTGCCTTTGAAAAAAATGATTGATCCAGTTCAAACTAAGTCTCTTTTTCTCTCAACACCAGACCATGGAGATTTTGCTCCATTTGACGGGCAGGGTGGAGTCTTGGCTCATGCGTTCTCTCCTGGTGAAGGTAATGGAGGTGACGCCCATTTTGATGAAGATGAAACCTGGACTCTGACCTCATCAGGTACGTTGATTTTTGGGCAGCTCCACAGGTATGGTCTGGAGTGTTTGGGGCCTTTTGAATTCTATGGCAACCATTGGTGACGTCTCAAAATCCTTAACTATGATTGGCTCTTTGCCTCGTTGATGACAGGGCTCACATTGGAATCAGATCAGCATCAAAGTATGGCTGTTTTTGTCTATTTAGACCCATATTTTCATTTTAAGTTTCTGAGTAAATAACAGAAAGAGTCCCAGGACCTTTGTGTGCTATGGTTAAAAAAAGACTCAAGAATCGCTGTTGCACTGGTCCCTTTACTTTCACCTGTCTACACTCCCTCGTAGAATTGTGTAGGTGCAGATCTACTTCTGCCTGAAGTTTGTTTGAGCAGCTTTTGTGATGTTACTCTGGAAATTTTAAATTTTAAAAATGAATCCTTCCATTTTCATTCAGATAATGTTTCAGGACAGGGTGGCTTGTAGTATTGTCCACAATTCAAAAAGTACCTTTCACCTGACTCCCATAGGTATATAATCACAGGCCCTCTTCAAATGCACGAGCACATATAAACAAAGATAAGGATCTTAGATTTTTCTAAGAATAGAACCTTATTCTAGGAAGACTTTTATTGTTGTACCATTATGAGTTCAATCTCAAATCCCTGTCCTATTTCTTTTTTCCTCTTTTTATGTTTTATGTTGTTGTCATATAAAGAGGTCTTTGTTTATGATGTGATAAAATCCTACAGCTGGTTTAGTACCCATACTAACTGTATCCGTGTTTATCTGCAGGAGCAAATCTGTTCCTTGTGGCAGCACATGAGTTTGGACACGCTATGGGATTAGCCCACTCTCAGGACCAAACCGCCCTGATGTTTCCTACCTACCAGTATGTAAACACGGACAATTACAGGCTTCCTGATGATGACCGATTGGGAGTCCAGGCTACCTATGGTGAGAGCTGATATTGATTTAAAGACTGACTGGTTCACTATAACAGTCTATCTAAAGATACTTTAATTTTTATTCCCTAAAGGAGCTAGAGAGACAGCCATACCTGACCCAAATCCACAGCCCACTAAAAAACCTGTGCCAAAACCTGTACCTGAACCTGAACCTGAACCAGATCCTGAGCCTACATCTGAGCCTCCTCCAGATCGGTGCAACAGGTACCTGATCTTTGACGCAGCAACCACCATTGATGGAAACCTCCACTTCTTCAAAGACGGGTGAGACTTTCATTTACTACAACATGATAATATGAGATTTAAATCTAAGAGTGCCAAATAAAGGTAGCCAGGGGAAAAATAAATGTTATGTCATGTTAAAAACTTTAATGTTAAAATCATAGTTTTTATCAAATATTTGTCTGATATTATCATAAAACTTTGTGTTTCTTGTTTTTTTTCTGTCAGGCATTTCTGGAGTAGAGGCAGCAACTGGGACGGCATCACTTTGAAGAAAATTGACTCTGTGTGGCCGGGAATAAAAAGAGTCGATGCGGCTTATGAGTACAAGCCAGACAACACTGTCATCTTCTTTGAAGGTAGACACTTAGACAGGTTGATGAGCTCCACTGGCTTTTTGTAAAAGACTTTTTGTACTAAAAGTTTTTGAATAAAAGTTATGAATAAATGCTAATGATGACAGATAGACAGATGTCAGAAAAACACTCAGTGATTGAGAAAGGATTTATCTACTATTTTCAAAAAAGAATTTCTTGGACAAATTGATGCTTTTTCATACATTTTACATCATCAAAAATGTGTGAAAATCCATAAATAACACTAAATCAGGTTATAAATCAGATATTCATCTCTGAAATTCTTTGTTTGTATAATAACTCTGCCTTTTCAGGGGATCATTACTGGGGGATCAGAGGAAACACTGTCCTCCCTGGTTATCCTAAACCTATCAGCGACTTTGGCTTCCCTCGATACATCACCAAGGTGGATGCTGCCGTCTATGTGCCATTCATCAGCAAGACCCTCCTCTTTGTGAGGGGCAAATACTGGAGGTGAGACATCTTGAGCACGTCAAACTAAAAAGAAAGACACAACACGCAATGATTGACACCTCCTTCTCTCACACTTTTAGCTACAATGAAAGGAGGGGCAGAATGGATGGTGGGTACCCAAAACGAATCAACAAAGAGTTTCGTGGGATTGGCCTTAGTGTAGATGCTGCTTTCGCCAACAAAGGTGAGCCATGAGCACTTTTCACCCATTTCTGGGTATTTATACGTCTCTCTCAGCATAAAATTTACCATCAGTTAATGTTGTAGTCTCCAAGAGATACAAGACAGTTTTGCAAGTTACTTTAATCACATGATCATTCAGTAAACACATTGTGAACATTGTGTGGGAGAAAAAGGGCAGCCACTAAACAGAAACAGATCAGACTTTCATTTTAAAAATCATCAAGGAGAAGTAACTATTTATTATTTCATGCCTGAGATCCAAAATGTGGGTTTCTGTAATGAAGTTCCATCATTATAAGACCATTGAACTGTGTCTCAGACTGTGTTTTTTGTATTACAAGAGAAACAGCGTGAAAACCCACTGAGAGTTTTTCATGTACACAGCCACGTTTGGCTTAGCTGTCACTCATGGCCACCATCCTCACCCCATTATGTCTCTGTTATCACCTCTGAGGGAAGATTTTTGACTTTGCCTCAACATTAAGCCTCTGAATGTTACCTCTCGTGGGGTTTCTTGAGTCAAAAAACACCCCCTCAACCCCTCACATCTTCAATTTGAGATTACATGACTTTTCCCCTTAAATGACGCAGTCATTAAATAAAGTGACGCACTGATTGTCTTTGTTTGTATTTCCATGTGAGCTGTATACTAGCAGGGTACAACGGTCACGCTAATGGTCATTTTGACCCAGCAGTCATAAAAGCATCCAAACACTACAGGAGAACCCCACCTGCAGGCACACACACACACACACACACACACACACACACAGTGATGAAAGTGGGACAGACGTCAAACATTGTAGTTTGGGTGCATCTTCCCCCCTTTGTGACGCCACATGTGTTCAGAGTTCAAAGAGTTTAGAGGTCAAATAAATAAAATTTCAGGTGATATAAATATTTCTTAATAGCATTGTTCATAAGGGAACAGTCAGTTCTCTATCTGCTAGAGTTATGAGCACACATTTAATGTTATTATTATCATTATTATTATTATTATTATTATTATTATTATATTTAACTTTGTATGTTTTTGGTCATTTTGCAGATGAAGTTTTCAATAAGTGGCAAAGTACCACCATGATAAGGAAATATAATGTTCATGTTGTTACTGGAATGGAAAGGTTTGTAATAATTAAAAGTCACACCTAGAAAAATAACAGTTAAAACAGTGATTATCACAAAAAACTCTACCTTTATAAATATAACAATTATGACTGCTTTGTTGTACCAGAAATAAACAGCGTCCATTTAATGAATTAATATTTTTTTCCCTGCACAGAGGGAAAACACAGATACTCACAAAGTTTGTCAAAAATAAAGTTATTTGTTCATTTAAACTAGTTCTGGTGTAAAATTCAGTTGGACTGCTGTATTTTAAAGGGTCAGCCAAAGCCTGTAATCTTTAGCCCAAAAAAAGGTGTGCAGAAAACAAGGGCAACATGTGTGTATGTCTTGCCTTGCAATGGCATTTGATGGAGTGTACAATTAGAGCAATAGTTAAAAATTAATCCCTCTGAAGGAAAATACTGAGCTCTTGTTTGGCATGATACCAATGATGACTCTGTCATTTCAGGTTACCTGTACTTCTCATCTGGATTCAGACAGACTGAGTACCACTACAATCGCAGACGCGTGATACGCACTCTGTTAAACAGTGGGTGGATGGACTGCAAGTGAGGACGCAAAGACCATACACCAATAAACACACCCATGCATGCAAACATACACACACATAATAACAGCTTATTTTACAAACTAACCATCTGTGTTGCTTTGGAGGGTTTTCTGTGGATAAAATGACATCATTTGAGACAAACTATCCTGTAATAATTCTGTAGGCATCGATTACTTGCTAACATTGGCTTATTCTTCCTTGCATGCATCAACCTGGTTAAATAAAGTGCATATTTTAACAAAGACTCCAAATGCGCCTGAGTTTGTGTGAAGTTGACTGTAGCCTGTAAAAGGGAGTAATTTATTTCTTTATTATAATAACAGTTATTATTGTGTTATGCATAAATGATATGCACAGATTTACAGACTTGCAAACCACCAGTAATTGGTCAACAAAGACCAGAGACCAAAACTGAAGTGTCAAATGAAGAAATATCTTTTTGGGGTAATCTGGAAACAAAACTTATAAGTTTTGAAATTAAAAAGCTTTGTCAGTCACTCAACATTTGTGAACCAAACCTTACCAGGATCTTGGACATATATTTAATTTTTCAGACAAGTTTTCAACTTATATACAAAATAAGATTTTTTTATCCTTGCCTCATTTCATACACATTGTCTAAAGAAATAGCATCCACAGGTAGAAACTGTTACACCAGCCTCACTTTGAATCTGGCATTTCTGGCCTGCATAATCCTGATAGGGATTATCGGTCACAAAGGGATTTCATTTGGACATAGAACTGGATACACATCAGTAGGATATGGTCTCTGGATCGCCATAAAAGCTTTGTAGTCATTTTAAATGTATATGTCTCTCTGGTGAGGACAACAATTTCCAAAATGTTGATGTAATAGACTACATCGTGGAAGATTTATATTTTTTATAGTAGATAGTATATAGTTATAGTGGATATCTATCTTGTTTCAACTTTGGAACACGTAGTACCGTGAATTCATTGGCAAAACTCCAAGAACCACAATGCACAGCGAAAGTAGACGTCAGGGGAACAGCCTCTCGCCGTGATTGGCTGATGTATTTACCCCTCCGCTGCATGGCTGAAGGTGAAGCGGCTGGTGGAGTGTGAGTCACAGTCATAGACTGTATATAAGTCTATGGTCACAGTCCTGCCTACTGCCGAAAATGTCATCCAGTGGACTTTTAAACATGCAAGCTCAAATCTGTAAACGCCTGGTAAGTCTTGACGTTTCAAATATCTGTTTTAGTTCTTTGTATAATCGTTTCGTTGCATCGTAAACGAGTTTTAGTGGCACTCTTGCTAGCTGTAAACACAAGGCCTTGCTATATCAGCTGCTCTTATCAACTACATTGTGAGTGTTGGCCGCCCTTGACCAAACAGAAGTGAGAACACCTGATACCTCCCGCAGGTGTTTCAGCTGTTCAGAAAAGCACGTTTTAGTGCTTAGTGACGTTTTTTCACAATGGCGTAATGATGATGCCTGTTACTGACTAAAATACTCGGGGACAGCACAGCTAGCTTGACAAGACTGGTGTAAAGTCTAAAGGGACTATGTTTACATGTGAGTTATTTGGTACAATGTCAAAACCCCATGTGAAAGAGATAGGTTAATGCCTTTATGTGCAAAATTAGAACGACTCATTTTCTGCTGCCCTCTGCGTCCTTGCATGAACATTTTGACCCTGATTTTTTCTTTTGTTTCTAATTAAAGACCTTAAATCTCAACATTTAAGCTGATGTAGTATGATCCACATGTTTTGACATATAAATATTTTGATGTTTCTTTGCACATTTTCCATTCAGTTCAGAGTTTTGATTTGTGTTATTCATGTTACTACTTAAATGTTTGACTGTAATGATTTCCATATGGCTGTGTTTGCATTCACTGTAGTATCCTCTGTAGATGAGGTTGAGTATTCAGGTTGTGTCCTGTATCTACATTTTATAGCTCAGTAGATATTCTTTGTCTCTGCTGAACAAAGGGATTAAAAAGGTAAGAGTTCAAAAGACAAGTTCACTCAGGAGAACAGACTCCCGGGGCCAGCTACATTAAACTCCCGGGGCCAGCTACATTAAACATCACATTTACGAAATCTGATATGTTCCTGTTCCTTTGGGGTTTTTCTGTTTATATTTCATCCGTGTATAAAATAATGCATATTACTTTATTAAGCGTCTAACTTGCCATTAAATGTGTTGTTTGCACAAAGATCAGTCAGTTTTTAGTAGAGTTTTTGAAAGAAAGTTGAGAAACATTTAAAAAGCAGGCCAGGAAGCGGTATTGCTGTACAGTATTGCCAAATGTAAACTTGAAAAACCCTGAATTACTTCAAAAATTGTTCTGTGTTAGGTCTAAAACCTGCCCAAATACCTGAAAACATATAAAGAAGAGAAAGACGATGGTATTTACTCGAGGAGAATGGACAGAGGTAGTATCAGGTACAATCTCAAAACCACTCTGAAGGTATTTCTTTCCGGTCTCTTTTATTTAGAGTTGTCCCTGGTAACACAATGTTACTAAAGGATGGGGGAAAAATATGTGCAGCAACGTAAGCACTCTCATAAATAAAGCATAATTATGAACAACAGAAAATATGTGTGGGTCAAGGCAACATTGTTGCATCAAAGGAGCTCCTCCTGATGGGAGCAGATCCTCCTCATTACTTCCCACGATTCACAGTGGAGGTTACATCACCCACACACACACCTGCTGATAGGAGAAACGAGGTCACAGAAAAATGAAGAAACACTCATGTGCTGTGTAATAAAGCTATTGGAGAGAGAAGTTAGAAAACACTCTTATATGATGTGTAACAAGAGGTCAAAACAGTTCATACTTGTAGTAAACTTTTACATAAGAATGTGAGAAAAAAATGATAACTTCTATATACATTTATACACATTATTCTGACATTCTGCTTTTGATTATTTTGTCTTTCTAGGCTCACAAATACCTTTCAAGGACATACTCCTCTCGTCCTACGCTCAATGTAAGTACATCATTAGATTTTTCCTCTTCTTATCTCAGTCAATAACGGGACTTGCTGTAATACTGGATTTAATGTGTGCTTTTCAGGAAGTCGTCATCGTCAGCGCAGTCCGCACTCCAATGGGCTCCTTCAAAGGCAGCCTGGCAGCAGTTCCAGCCACCAAACTGGGCTCCATCGCCATCAAAGGAGCCATAGACAAAGCTGGTGCAGTATTATTCTAACCTGATATGAGGATTTTGGATGTGTTTAGCAATCAAGCTCATACACTAGATGTACTTGATGACCTCAGATTTCTCCTGCTGTCTCTGTGCAGCTTACTGTGTACACTAAGTGAGTGAATGAGGGTTTCTTCTGTGCAGGAATTGCTCCAGAGGAGGTGAAGGAGGTCTACATGGGAAATGTACTTCAGGCAGGAGAAGGACAGGCACCCACCAGACAGGCCTTGCTAGGAGCAGGTAAGACCACAGTATTGTATTTTAGTTTTCATTCTTAACAATGACAAACCAGTAATGACAGCTAGCATACTACAACTCTCATGTGCCTTGCTATGAATTTTTGACCAGATATTCTTTGTTACTGCAGTTATTTCTTAATAACACATTTTCCTATCCAAATCATAGCACATCAAATCTAAAACATGTTACTGGCAAAGATAACCATGAATCCTAGAATATTAAATGCATGGAAAATGTAATTATGCATGACCTTTTATTTTTATTTGTATTTATGATAGTGACCAACTTAATCTGTGAGGTTTAGCATTACAGTGTCAACAAGCTCTGAGAAATAAACAAGTGAACTAAGCAAACTTATCTTGGTTTAAAACTCATCCCTAATACTTTTTAAATCTTTCAATGATAGCTCAGTATAGTTCAGTAATAGATGCACAATAGTAGTTATTAGTTTGGCATAGTTTCAGTATCAGCAGATGAAAACCCTAAGAAGTTAATTATTGATATCAGCAGATATAAATAATTCTGCTGATATGATTACATATAAGCATGAAAGTCAGTTTCTGTGAACATTATGACTGTATGTAGCAACTTTGAAGTGTCATTAACAGACTGCAAATGTATCGCTAAATGCCTTTTATTTGAACAAAAGAATAAATTTATAGGAAAATTAAACAAATAGACCTTTACAGAAAGAGAAATAATTTCTGCAAGAGAGACTCAATGTTCTTCAAAATATAAAAAAGGTGTTTATTTAGCGGCATTGATGTCAATATCTGCCAATATTGATTAAGAATATTGGCAAAAATCTGACACCCATAGTATCAACTCTCATCTTAGAAATGACAAGTTTTTAATAAAGGTACAGAGAGCTCCAATTTCACTACCTATCTGTCATGGACATACTGATACTGGCTAATAAATATGAACACCAGTGTCACTGTCTATAGAGGTCTTTTATGGTGTTACAGTCTACATCTTATATTTTTGGTAAATGTTTGTGATGTTTTGTAATGTACAGCCCTGCTCTGTTATGTGTCTTCAGGCTTGACTCTTGGCACTCCAGCAACAACCATCAACAAAGTCTGTGCCTCTGGGATGAAGTCCATCATGATGGCGGCTCAGAGTCTGATGTGTGGACACCAGGTAGAGTTAGCTTCGCACTGCTGCTCCTCAGCTTTTAAGGAGATGGTTAAGCAGTTAAATTGTACTTAACGTACAAAACAGGAATCTGATTCCTTTTATTCTGTTATGACCTGAAACAACCGTCATTTACTCTGAGATCTCCGATAACTTGTGAGCTATAACAGTTTGGTTGGTGGGAACTTTGCCTTGATTCCACAAATCCTTCAGATCTTTAGTGTCTTCAGTCATGAAACCACTGACTGATTAGTAACACTAAAATTACACAACTAATCCAGTTCATATCTAAAGAACGAGGTGTTCATAGATGAGGGATTCAGGTTAAACAGTACACTTTAGGCTGAGGTTGTAGCTGTGGATAAGAGTGTGTGTCTGTGTGTGTTTCCAGGATGTGATGGTGGCAGGAGGCATGGAGAGCATGTCAAACGTCCCCTATGTGATGACCAGAGAGACCCCGACTTATGGAGGAGTGAAGATGGAAGACCTCATCGTGAAGGATGGGCTCACTGATGTCTACAACAAATTTCACATGGTACCTTTAGACCACCTGGTCATCCTCACCCTCTCTGACAGCTTTAGACTTCATTTATTTTTACAGACAATTAAGTTTAAAAGGACTGAAACGTATTTTGAAGATCTCAGGCTTGGCTAAAAGGAGCCATTACCAATCAGGATGAAGTTATAAGTCTATAAGCTAATCTAAGTCTATACTTGAAGCTACTGAGATGCTTGACCCAGAGTAACCTCGTCGACGCGCCATGCTACTGGTTTCTTACTCTACCGTGAGTCTTTGATGATCAGTGACAGTCCGGACGCTGTTCCTCAGATGCAGTGGACAAAAATTCATTGTGATGAACATAACCAAAATCCATTTTGCAAATGACATCAAGCAACACTGAACAAACAAAGAAAAACACTGGTATTTAGCGCCACAGTGGTCAAAAACCTTTTGCCCTTCCGGGTCAATCACCTGCCCACAGCAGTGACATGACTACCTTTATTCCTGAGCCCCAGATAACAGGACAGCCCCACCTAAGGCATACACAGTGAACTGAACTCATTTTAGGTTATCACTTCAACATATTTGGCTCCTACAATAAGAATCAATAATGCAAGAAAACATGGTGTAGCGTTAAAGGATTTTAAAATTTTTTGATAGTAAAGACCATAAATGTCATATAGATGTTTGCTCATAAATCAAGGTTGTCAAAATATTAGATTTTTTTTTCTCGATACCTCGTGTTTCAAGTGAAACATCAGCCATTATATTTATCAAAAGCTTATAGGGAAAAAAATATCCATACACACATTTTCAACCAGTAGCTGCAAATAAAAGTGAGAGAGCGAACAGAGGCCTACGCTCGATCGAAATGGAGATGAAGCGAAGAGAGAGGGCGTCAACAAATTAAATGATGTGGTGAAGCTGAAAGAGGAGATTTAGTTTCCTGTTTGTTTTACGGGAGCTTATAAATGTATTCATCCCTCCACACCAACATGAGTGATGGTTCAGGGTAGGACTGTTACAATACTAGATTTTTACCTCTTGATTATCGCAAGACACTCTGGTTGCAGACCTCCACTGTCAGGACCCACTCCACTGAGCGGACCCGAAGTGACTCTTTTTTTTCTCACGCGCTCCAGTTTGTTTTTGCTGTCAAGATAGTCAGGAGATCTGTATATGAGTCCAAAAGTGCAGGAGGCGACATTTTCAATGATAAATGCTTTAAAAGCAAAGAACAGTCAGCAGTTGGAGTGTAGATACATTACGCCTTCACACATATTTAGGTGTTTAAACAGATTTATTTTTGCTGTTGCTGATTAAATCCAAATACAAGTAAAATAATTATTTGATTTAAGTAGGTGATCATGACCATAGAAGTACATTAAGTTTGTATTTTTTATCAGTAAAATAACCTTTGAAGTGGTCATCCCGTTTTGTGTTTTCTCTTTGTTGAACACATGAATACACAAAATAATCATTAACATTATTTCTTGGGGCTTTATTGTGTATATAGAAAGTATATTCACACGAGACAAAAAATACATACTTCCTGATCAAATCGCTTTTAATTTGAAAGGCTTTCAGTGGAGCGGGTCCTCACAGTGGAGGTCTGCAAAGAAGGGTCCTGACAGTGGTGGTCTGCAGCCAGACCCCTCTCGATTATCGTGTCTGTAAATACCATAAAAAAAGATTTTATCAAAATATTAATGAAAATGTAAAATTAAAATAACACATTGAGTCAAATTGGAGAAAGGAAAGATGAGGATGGAGCAGTACATGACTTCTTAAACTAAACTCGAAAACAATGAACTGAAAGTGTACGTCATCTGCTTCTAATAACATCCACATTTATGATTTATCATTAGCTCTGTGACAAAAACTGCTCTGAAGAAGACATTTCCTCACTACATGATTGCTTGTCCTGATTTTATTGTCCCATTTTTTTTTTTTCCTGCATGAAGGTTTCTTTATTTACTTCATTTTAAACAGTTCCTTCTTTTAGAAGTATCAGCTACTTCTGGTAGATTGTGAGTTACGGAAAATGAACAGAGCTGAAAGATTGGTTAGAGAGTATAAATGTTTGATGAGTGAGCAGAAGAGGCAGAAGCTCTAACTTTGGTTTTTGAGTTCCTATTAAATCATCAGTTCCTTAAAGTGCTGAATCAGATCTTAGAGAGCAGCATGCAAGATTACTCACTGACTGTTGTTGTATCAAGTATCAATATTAAGAATTTTTTTAGATAACGTTTATTGTCAATATATAGGTTTATTTCAAAGGTTTGAGTATATACATTTTATTTTGGTTATACATTGTTTTATAAAAAATAAAATTAAAAAAAGGATCATTGTTGCAGAAATGACAGTGAGTCAAGTTTTGGTCTTGATCCTTGACAATCCTTGATCAAATTTAAGAGGGTTCTGGATCATTTTCAACCTCTTTAGTGTGTAAATTTAACGCAAAATGACTTATTTTTTGCAAATATCCAATTTGTAGCTGGTGCAGGCCTTGCCAAATATAACAGAACTGTCAGTAGATGAGGATAAATGCTGGCTCTGAATGTTTCCTGAGGGCTGTTGATTCAGTTCTCATATTTAAAAAACACAAACGAACCTAAATGACCTCAAAGCCTCTTGCTTTGTTGCCGGATGTACTTATGGCATTGATACAAAAACAGTTAGGACCCGATGCATAGGCTGACCACTGAAACCACTGCTTAATGGTCCTGAAATATGGTGCATACAGCAGCTCTTCTGAGCTGATGCCGTAGTTTAAACCCCAGAAATACTGATCCATAGTTTTAATGTGCCTTTTCTCACCACTCGCTTATAAAGGGATATTCAAATGTGATGTAATGATTAATTACCTGACAAAGTGAAGCCATAGCTGTTAGTCATAGATGAGTAATGTACATTTCAACAGCACAGTACAAAGCCTTTACTAACATAGACAGGAGATGTTTAAAATCTTCTTTGTGAACTTTTGCAGCACAAAATGCAATTTTGTCAGTTTCACATTTGACTTCTTTTGATTTGCTCGTGTCTCTAACAGGGAAATTGTGCAGAAAACACGGCAAAGAACTGCAGCATCAGCAGAGAGGAGCAGGACACGTACGCCATCGGCTCGTACAGCCGCAGCAAAGCAGCATATGAGGCCGGTGTACTGGCAAAGGAGATCGTACCAGTGAGCATCCCCCAGAGAGGTACAGCCAGGGACTCCCAGCCACAGTCTGTCCTTCACTGTATATTGATCACAACAGATCTAACACTGATGTGTGTCACTTTTAGGCAAACCTGACCTGGTTGTGTCCGAGGATGAGGAGTGGAGGAGGGTGGACTTCAGCAAAGTTCCCAAACTGAGGGCAGTGTTTCAGAAAGAGAACGGTAATCACTCAATTAACATGATTTTTAATTATGATTCAGCCTTTTTATTCTAACGGGCACATGTGCAAACAAAACAGACAAATCAAACATGGTGCTGATCATTTAAATTTACAAAAATAGGAAACAGAAATTTGACCCTGAAATAAAATGCAGATAAGAACTTTGTTATTGATGAGAACTGAGTATTTTCAGCTTTTTCTGCTCGTATGTACCTTGAAACTGCTGATGTATGACAAATGTCAATCTAATATTATTATTCTGTTACTATGTAACTTTTTCTGGTCATTGTCAAAGTAAGTTTATAAATGAAGGAAATACTGTATTGCAGAATTCCCCATAGGGTTGGGCAGTGTGTTTTTTTCCCCCTGTAAATTCAATTTTGCAAAGAAAATGCCAGACCAGCCTGGCTTCAGTCACTGCAGTTACGAATAATATATATATAAATATATATATATATATATTTATATATATATATATATATATATATATATATATATATATGAATTCACAGCAGCATAACAGTTTAAAGAAAATATAATATGACAATATAAAAACAAACCATAAAGACTCTCCAGACAACCAATTGTCCCCCTCCTCTTCCTCCGTTTACTCAGTACTGCCACTGATCTCTGTGTCCGCCATGACCATCACCAGTGAAGCTGTTTCTTTTTATTAAAACTATGCTGAGCAGTCTGCTGGACATGCTAGTGATTATAGGGAGTGCACCCAAACCTGACCAATCAAACGGAGCAAACAAACTTAGCACGACACGCTGGCGAATATACGGACACGCTCCCAAATGGATGCACTCCGGCTTTCCTGTTAGCGAGCACAGACAACTGCATACTGACTCAGAGAGATTCAGCAGACATCTGCTCTCTCTCTGGTATAAACGGTACAGCAAAATTTTTACCCGAAGACACTTTAATACCATCACACGGTGTATATACCATCATACCACCCAACACTAGTTCCCCACCTTTTAACTGCACTGAGTCTCTCTCATTCATCTGACTCGTCTGTGGGGCGGGGAAGTTCTTGCACACTACATGACAGCCCTCTACTTCTATTGTGTCAAGATCTACAAATTCCTAATTGTAGATCTTGATCAAAGTTGTTCTTCTTTGCTACGGTCAACATGTCTTTCAGTCTTTCATTGTTCATTGTCCTGACAGAGTTCTTTAGTCAATATGGTGATAAAGTTCGCTCAAGAATTGTGTGTTTCTAATGTTTAATGAGTGTTGTTTGTCTGTTTATTTTCCAGGCACAGTAACGGCAGCAAACGCCAGCACACTGAACGATGGAGCTGCAGCTCTTGTTTTAATGACAGCAGACGCTGCAAAGAGACTCAATGTCACTCCACTGGCCAGAGTTGTGTGTAAGCTTCACAGACACAGAATAAAGCACACTGAGCTGTTTGCAGAGATACAATGAAATTCAAGGTTTCAAAACAAAACAAGCCTAAAAACATGATGTATTTCCACCTGCTTTACTTGAGGTTTAAGTATTTTAAAGCCGCGCGTTTAAACACACCACTCTAAATAGTGGCATTCCTCCTCCGTTATATAAAGCTGTTCTTCATACCAGATTGTTCTGTTTGTATTGCTTAGTTGAATGATGAAATGAAAGAGTAATTATCTTGTATTCTTTGTGTATTGTAGCTTTTGCTGATGCTGCAGTTGCACCCATTGATTTCCCTATCGCTCCTGCATACGCTGTGCCAAAGGTCAGTATGAGTTTTTATTAAGTCGATCATTTTTTTTTTCACTCTCCAAACCCGAGTCCTTCATCTTTGGTCTTCATTGGTAGAAGAATGTACTGATGGATGGATAAAACCGAGTAGAGCGGTGTGTTTTCCTCTCCTCTTTATGTGCCGAAAATGGAATTGGAGCTTCAGGGTTTCAGCTGTGCAAACAGCGACATCTGGTGGATGGTTTAACTTATAGCTGCTCTTGAAATCTGAAGCATAAACAAAGGAGGTTGTTTCCATAAAGACTACATAAGACATGATCACGAGACAATAACATGACTTACAGCTGTAGTTTAGACCCATTATCGTTGTAAACTTGTGGTGGTTTATGGAAAATTGGTCTCCAAAGACCCCGACAACAAGGCCTACACCATACCATAGACTTTCAATATCAAACCTTTTAACAGACTAAAATCTGACACTCTTATTTTATATTTTGTAACATACCAAAAAGTCTGCTCATCATGCACCATCATCACCATCTGCAGGACTTGAGCTTGTACCTGTCGATAATTTCCCATCATGCTCCTGATTGAAATACATGAGAAAATCACTGAATCGCAATTTTGAGCCTTTTATGTTTTTGACCAAAAACATAGCAGAGTTGTCATTAGGGGGCCAAAATGCCCCTGAGGAGGACCTTCTTTTTTCCCCTCTTTGAGCTAAAAATATACTACAGTGTGCCTAAAAAAGTGATTTACAACTGTTCAGCCTGAGATGAATGACCACCAACACCAAGCGATAAGGTGAGAGAAACTCCTCAGACTCCCATGACGTCATTCAGAAAGTGCACAAGTTGTCTGAAATTGCTGAATTCAGCTTTATGTAAGGCTGTCATCAGTTGAATATTAGCCTTCTGTAAATTATTAAGTGTATTTCACTTGCAGGAGTGTCAGTGTAGAAACTTCACATTGATAGTCCAACTTACTTGCTTACTTATCCTCTTCGTCCCGGTTGGGGCATAAGGCCGCAATCATACACTGCCTGTCTTGTGCTTTGGCCTGTGCTTCGTCCCAGGAAAGACCCATCTCCTTCAGCTCCATTATCACCGTCCTTCACCAGGTGTTCTTTGGCCTGCCTCTCTTTCTTTTCCCAATTGGGGTCCACCTCAGGTCAACTTAAGGTAGCCTTTCATTGGGCATCCTCAGCACATGTCCGAGCCATCTTAACCTGTGTTTCTTTATCTCAAGGGACATATGCAAGCTGCCTGTCTTTTTGTAGAGTTCTTCATTTATGATCCTATTTGGCCAAAAGATGTTACAGATTCTCCGTAAGCAGCTGTTGTGGAAGACGTCAACCTTTCTCATATCCTGGTTTGTTACCCTCCAGCACTCAGAGCTATACAGCAGGACAGCCTTAACATTGCTGTTGTAGATCCTGATCTTGGCTTTGAGGTTATATTGTTTGGACTTCCAGATGTTGCGACGTTGGCTGAAAGCACCTCTTGCTTTGAGACGTGCCTTAATGTCTTTTTGCGTCCTACTTTCACTACTTATAAGGCTTCCAAGGTGTGTGAAGTCTTCCACACATTCCAACGCCTCTCCACTGATGGTGATTGGAGGTGTCGTTGGGGTGTTGATGCACATAGTCTAAAGGTAGAGGAAATGTTTTGTTTAGTTTCCTTTGTCGATCTTTTAAGTTTATCCTTGTATCGGCTCTGATGCTGATGATTGGGATCAACTCAGGACAGGTCTTATAGTCAGAGGTCTATACTCTCAAGTGGTTACCCCAAGAATCTTCTGGTTATGTGTCTTCACTGACCTTGACAAAGGAGGCTGTGCTAAAGGGTCCAGTGAAGCTCCATTGCCTGTGTGGTTATTATAGAAAAGAGTGACTTAAGGATAAATAGTGAATGAATGTAAAATAAAAGTATGTCTGATATTTTCTAAAGATAAATAAATGAAGCCCTATCCTGAACCTCACTGAACTCTGTGTTTCTGTGTCTGTCAGGTCCTGGAGGCAGCAGGGCTGAAGAAGGAGGACATTGACATGTGGGAGATCAACGAGGCCTTCAGCGTGGTCGTCCTCGCCAACATTAAGATGTTGGACATCGATCCTGCCAAGGTCAATGTGAATGGAGGCGCTGTGTCTCTGGGACATCCCATTGGGTAAGCTGCTGCTAAGAAGGACTCTCATATCATGGTATCTTTTTTAACAGAAAGACATGAGCTCTGATGAAGAATGAAGGCGTCCTTTCTTTTTTCATCTAAGTTAACCTTTTTAACTTGGTACAGCAGATCAAACACAGTTAAAACCTACTAAGCTGCACAAAAAAAAAAAAAGTGCATTGAATTATCATAGAGGATTGTTGCTTGGAAGATCCTGGTGTTCAAAGTCAATCACAGCAAACTTTGTAACAGCTACAGCAAAAGTTACATAAGTGAGACTACCGATTTTTTTGTGAAGAGCGCACACGTGATGTCACCGATGGTGGGAGAGATAAAAAGCACGTGAACAGCTGTGTTCAGAGTGTCTGCTGTAGCAAAGCCAAAAACCTCCATCTCTGATGTAATGTAGGGAACTGTAATATTATGTCAATAAATCCACAGACTGGAGCCAGGACAGTTACAGGGAGTGAGTAGTGGAGGTACTATCTGTTAAGGTGGTTATGAATGTCATCAAACCCACTGTTAGACTACGTTTACACGTGCCCGGCTATTTTCATAAACAGACATTTCACTCTCTGTTTACAAAAAAAGGCTGCATGCACACCAGTACGTTTTTCAGAAAAGTTTTTGTTTACACGAACCCGTGTATACATCCGGAAATTTACACACCACTCCTCCGGCAGAACCACATTTTTGAAGTTCTCCCACCAGACAGCAGTGTGCCCAGGTTGGACCAAAAACCGACGAGGCTGGCGGTGACGCAGATTCCCTCTGTCGTAGGGAGAAGTTGCTGCAATATTGCCAACCTTTGGGCACTCAGTCGTCTCTGCTCCTCTACATAGTACAGCACCTGCATTTTCAAATGCAAACACATTCAAAGGGATTGCACCAGCCTAAATATGACTGCTATTCTGCATGCATCCATGATCACCGTAGATTATAAACATAGACTGTAGACTGTAAACGTTGCATTTACTCAAGTTTCCTGCGCACAATCTGCCCCTGGCTACCCAAATCTGTTTTTCTTTGTTTACATGCAAGCATGCAAAAGGAGTTTTTCAAAATCTCCATTCTGGCCGGAGTTTTTAAGAAGCACAGTTTTTAGGGGCGTTTTTCGTCTAAGCGAAGGGTGCAAACAATGGTTTAGGTCTCCGTTTTTAGAAAATAACCGGGTACGTATAAACAGAGCCTTTGTCTTAAATAAAATAAACTGTTCAAGTCCAGAGGATCATCTGTAAAGTAATAAACGAATCATGTTATTAAATGACAATACATGCTTGCTCTTAATCTCCTCCAGGTTGTGTTTAACAGAACTGAACTTGAATATTTTTCTAAATTTTGATGTTAAATCTTATAATTTGTGTGTTGCTGTTCTAGATGAATTCTGCAAAAGCACCTTTGTTTTTGCATAAAAAAAGTATCAAAACTGTTTTTACTGGTAAATATGTGATAAGTTTTCATATCTTCATCAGTTCTGACCAAGCTTATTGACATGCAAACCCTTTAATTTGAGGATGTTCTGATCTATGAGGTTCGTGCCAAGACTCCATGAATTTCTATCACAGAAGTCAGAAACTCTGAGACAGGATTGGTTAATTGTTTTTGTTGCAGAATTTGAAGTCTTTAAACAAGTAACCTCAGCCTTCTTTGTTTTTTTGTAGAGTGTGGTTATTTGTACATGCAGATGATTTTGAGTTATGTCAGATTATAGCTGTAACTTAACCTTCATGTCTCTCCTCCTGTCAGGATGTCCGGTGCGAGGATTGTGGGTCACATGGTCCACAACTTGAAGTCAGGACAGTACGGGCTGGCAGGAATCTGTAACGGAGGTGGAGGAGCTTCATCTATTCTGATCCAGAAACTGTAGAAAGACTTGATTGTAACTGTTTCTCCTCCTCATACACTCTTTTGTTAGTCTGTGTGTGAAGTAGCTGTCAGCTCTGACTGATTGAGACCTCTGTACACGCTCTCTTTTTACTGTGAAGAAAACTCGATATCTGTTACATCTTTAACGCCAGTGGCCTTAATCAAACAGCTCAGTCAGACTCGACTCCCTCAACGTCATCACACTAAGGTTTAAAACACTCCTTCGTTTGAAACATTGTGCAAAAATAAGATGAATATTTGACTCTGCGTTGAAGTGGTTGAATAAATAGTTTTTATGAAAGGACTCATTAGGAGGTGTGGCTTCTTCTTGGACTGTTATCAAACATCTGACCTACAATAAGTTTAGCACTTTGGTTCATATTTGTGCTTATTGATAACATTTTTCAGACTGTTTACTTTTAACATTTATCATCATGTGTTATGAAACCACTGTCATTTTTACAGTTATCAGGTCAGCCACTTGATGCTACACCTTTCTTTGTTACTGTAAAATTGCTAGTTCATATTCCAGTATGAAACACATCAGAGCAAAGTTTAAGTTTGAAAAACTGTGGAGTTGAATTTCAGCCATTCATGTATCAAGATGAGTTTGGAAACCCAGAAAGAGTCAATAAAAAGTCTGTTTCCAGACTTTTTGCCCCAATTCTGTTCATCACTCACATGCTTAGAAACTACATGTCTGAATCTGAATCAAAATGTCCTCAAATATGTCGCTGTTGGAGCTTTTGTGAGTTTAACACTAATTGCATGTCAGAAAAGTAAACAGACTGATAAATGGTGGCCTAACACCTGGTTTCTGTGGATACAGTGAATAAACACAGATGCAGAGTCATCATGATGATGGACTTACTAAGCTTTTCTCAACTCACATTTGGCGTGAATAAGAAAGCAATGATCATATATTATTAATCAAAATGACTGAAAAATAACACCTGTATAAAAAGAACTACAGCTGGGAGAAAAAAATCAATCCTGCATAGTATCGCAATATTTTGTCTAGTGATATATCGTATCGTCTCATTGACCAAGTATCAATTTTTGCAAATTAATTGTTAATATGAAGTCAAATCTATGATAATAGAAAAATAAAATCAGCTGTTTGTCCAGTGAGGTTGGCAGAGGTGACATCATAGAGCAGGAGAAAGTTAGTACGACAAATATATAAATAAGGTTTGTAAGATGTGCTACATGAAAATGAAATACAGCCTAAAAGACAAACATAAAGAAAAGACAAATGCTAAATTAACCAAACAGTTGAAAAAAAATGTATATCTCAATATATTTTATCGCAATACTCACTGTACTGCAAAATGTTAAAAATCGCAATATTATCGTGTCGTGGCCCAAGTATTGTGATAATATCGTATCGTGGGGCCACTGGTGATTTCCACCCCTAATACGAACCAAGTTAGCTTCTTTCGACTTAACCGGAGAAGCACCAGAAGGAAAAGATAAACTGTGTTTGTCATTTTGAGTTAGTTTATAGAATACAGAGCACAGTATCTCCACTGAATTACACTTACTCCCCTTATTTGTGTCAGACAGATTCAAACAGGCTTTTATAAAGAGGACAGGAAGAGCAGTGGGGTAAATATTCACACTTTTTGCTGTTATACTTATTCCTGGATATTTAAATGTAATACGTGTGTATTAGGTAACAGCTGGGTCTCGTTGCTTGTATAAATAGAAAAAAGTAAACACTAATCCTCAATGGCTTTGTTCCCTTTCAGAGTGATTCTATCTCTGATGGCATTTTTTTAATTATTTATTTATTTTTTATTGCAATAATGCAAATCTTTGAGTTCTCCTCAGAGTTTTGCGTCCATATTTATTTAACTATATTCAAAGTTCAAGCGTCAATATGGGGACATGATGTTCTTTGGTCTCTGACTGGACATCATTCATGTTTTCCCTCTTCCTGCCGGTTAACTCACTTTAACATGGAGTTAAAGATTAACAGAGTCCTTTGGTCTGGAGTATTTTGAGGCCCACTTGTGCGTTTGTTTGAGTGTTACTGATTAAACTCAGCAGACTTTAAGAGGGACAATAATGTGCACAAAGTGGAGACTAACTCTAATATGCTATTCACTTCAGCTCAGTCTTTTCCATACTCTCAGGCCCAGGTGTGTCAACAAGCCGAGACTACACGTCACCTGGTTATATTCCTCCTCTACGTCACACTGATCATCTGACACAGGAAGGGCACCACTGTCATATAAATCAGTTTCAGGAAATTGATATTGAGTGTATGATAAACTTTTATTACCTTGTTTCTCTAGAAATTATTGATGTGCCAGTTAAAGCTCCTATCAGGGGTTTTTGGCTGATCATTAAGGAGACAGCAAATAAAAATTGCTGTCCCCTTATGACCTAAAAAAACAAACAAACAAGACCATCAACCAAAAGACAGGCTTTTTCTGTACAGTCATTCCTAATGTCTAAATCACTGGCAGGGGAAGGTGGGAGACTTAGTGTTGCTGATACAGCATGTTTTTATATGTTTATGCCCAAAATAGGAGTCGAATTGAACATGTGGCTGGCAATTCCTCACAGGAGCTGTAACCTTCCTCCTGTGTTAGCTTTTACTACACACCCACTATGTTAACGGGTCAGTTTCGACCTGTGTCTTGAATCAGTTGCAAATTACACTAAAAACAACTCTCTATCATCCAATTTGGTTCTCATCTCGAGGTCATCTTGTTAGGTTTCATGATCCATGAAAATATTGCTGATAACATTTTTTGTTGTGGGCCTCTGGGCCTTTCTTTGTCAGTATACACCTCACACAGACATCTATACTGAATTGATCTCACATGCCTGGACATGTCCAGAATTGTTTTTTGTGCAGGGAAAAACCAGGCAAAATGAGAATTTCCTAAATCTCACATGATTGGAAGAGGATCTCACTGTCAGTGTGGTGCCTGACAGTGCACATATGATTGTAGTTTTTGCTCTAATTATTAGATTAAAATCTAACCAGGTCAGCAGTGACCCTAACACGACAAGTGCCATAATTTTAATAAGAACATTTTATAATTTAGTCAATTTAATTTTCATTTATTTATTTATTTTTTTATGTTGAAATACTAATAAAAAATAACACTGGAGGAGCTTTAAGTGAAAAAGAGGGTTTTGATTCAGGATAAATTCTTTTATTGAATAACTGCAGTAATAAATGGAAATCTGCGAAATCTTGTGTAGCAAAATGATATTTCACATCACATTCATGCAGGTGTTTGCTCTTTAAGTGTTTGACCATCGCACAGCAGGAACCTTTCAGTGACTTCAGGGTGAGGAGACAGGCTTTTATTATTGGGATGAACGTCCTAATACATGTTAATACATTGAGTTCAAACCAGTCTGACCTGAAACATGAGATAATGACGCATGGGAACCACATTATTTTAGCATAATGGTTAAACATAAGGGGGAGCTAGTTATATAATTTCAAACTTCAGACTAAAACTCATTGTACCCACTTCTGAGAGAGAAGAATGAGTTTGGCCTCCATCGATACAGCTGTTTGCTCATGTCAAGTGTTGAGTAAATTCAACACGGGCTGGCTTGTGTGCAGGGTGGGGAAGGTGTGGCCATGGCTGATGATTACATGGAGGAATGGAGAGAACAGGATACAGACAGGAAAACAGAGAGAGAGAGAGAGAGAGAGAGCAGAAGGAGAGGCAGGCTCAGCAAGCGTCCGGCATATCTTGGAGGATTTTAGTCTCATAATTTAGTAAAAAAGTGGATACAAGTTTTGACTTGACATTAGCTCTGACTCAGGTAAGCCTTTTTATTGTTAAATTTAACTTTAATTTGAGAAACATAAAGCCGGTTTCAGTATTTTGTTTGTATTGCTAAGAGCTACTCCTGATATGTAGTTAGTATGGATTTGATTTCACTTCTTGTGATCTGAAAGTGGTCCATGTAACTTTTGGGCTCTAAAATGCTCCTTTATATGAGTCTTGTACTCAGGCCAAGCCAGAGGATGTGAATCTTAAAACTGCTTCTCCTTCATTTATTTTAAAGGTTTCAGTCAGATTGTCATTTCTTTCAGGTTTGACATCCTCCTTTTCCAGGCAGTGTAACCACAGTCATCATGACTAACAATCGGGTAAGTTCAGTTTCACCGAAGAAAGTGACTTTTTCATGTTTTTGAAACACTTTTTTTTTTTTTTTGTAGATTTTTACCTCAAACATTAAAACTGTAGATGACACTTTGTAAATCCCAATGAGTGCATTAGACAATCCTTTTGAGTGGTTATGAACATTAATAACATTGTTAATAGTGTTAAAAGCAGTGAAAATAATGCCTTTGAGAGTATAAATGACAACGCTTCATATCTGATTGCAAAATAAAGAACAGTGTCTTTTGAATTCTGGGTTTTATAACACTTTATAACTCCAGTTACTTTATCCGGTTATGAAGATCAGCGAGAACTCACTCAGTTAAACTGTCTATGGTTCTCACATGGAAAAACGTGTTATTCATACTTACAACAGGCTCTAGCATGATGTTGAGCTCTTTAAAGTGAAATATTAACTCAAATACACAATAAAGAAATCAACGCAGCGTTTTAAGACAGTGGAGCTAGCTGGATAAAACACTTGTAAGGTAAATTATAAAATCACTCCTAACTTTGTACATTTGCCATGGTGACATATAGCTGTAACAGTCTTCAAAGGTACACCTGGATCAGCTGAAACGATGACAGAAAAATAAATAAATAACCAAATTAATGAATAATTAAGCTGTCAAAGGCCTCAAGTCTTAGCTACACTTTATAAACGTTGGAAAAAAAAAAAGTATTTCCAATAAAAGGCTGTTCAAAAGATTGCATATTATGTTGAAATAAAACAGATGTTTTAAATACAAAATGGTCTTACGGAGTTGTTTGGTTTAAACTCTGAATGAGTTATGTCTTTTACAACTTGATAAAGCTGAGGAAGTTATAATGTGTTTTAAAACCCAGAATTCAAAAGACGCTTTTGTTAGTCTTGCATTAAGGTATAATGTTTTTTAAACCATACTTTTATTAAACATGATATTCACAGCTTATAACACTTCGTAAATATTTCTATAAGCAGTTATGAATGCTTAAAATCACTTAAAAAAATTATTTAAAAGCCTTTTGAATAGGGCTTTATAAAAGTATTAGCTTCATATACAGAGTTGGCAAACTATTGTTTTTGTGGTAAAGGAAGTTTGTTACCATCTTTTTCCTTTTAAAAAATGTTCATATTTGCAACTATTTTTTGCACCTTCAGGCTCATATCCCCACCTATGACAACATCGGGTTTCAGCACGAGGAAGTGAGACCCCCTCCATACAACCAGCAGCAAGGTATTTACCCTACCATGCCACAGGGGACCCCATCCTATGTCGCTGTTACTCCAAGTCCCGTCATCAACACACACCAGACTGTCACACCTGCAATACCTGCAACACCGCAGCACACAGGACAAAGGAAAGGTAGAGAAATGTTTGATTTGACCAGCCTTTTGTGGAGTGATTTTGAGAAAAATGTGGGTAAATACTGATTTGGAGACAAAAAAGAGAAATAACCGCTGACATAAAGGAGTGGATATTTCAGTGGATCTTTACCTACCTATCTGCAGTATCCGCAAAGGCTAATATTTGCATGTTACTCAGATATGAATCTTTGTCCATTTGCATTTGATTTTGTTATGTAAAAAAATAACTCTAAATAGCTTCATCCGTGACTCTTTTGTGTCTCACCGTGCAGATAAAAAGAAATGTCACTGGAAATACATGCTGTGTGCGACTCTGTGTGTACTGCTCATCCTGGGAGTGGCCGCCCTCTTGCTCTGGTACTTCTGTAAGTTAATGTGGAGAACTTAAAACCCTCATGAGGAGTTTTTCAGCAGCTGTGAAACAGCGAGGTTAATAATGAAGCCTCCTTATGAGCTGTAGCAGCAAAAAAGGACCACCACCAAGTCCGACTTTTGTTGTATGGTAAAACTTTATTCCTTAGGAAGGCTGGGGGGCTCTGTAAAATGTTGAAAATTTAATAGTTTGCAAACTATTTGAACCCAATATTTAAAGTAAAAAATGGCAAGGAAAAGATGTTAAGTAACAAAACAAGAAGAAGTTTGAATATGATGGTGGCAACACATTTTTCAAAAGTTGGGACTGGGGCATACTGATCACTATGTTTCATTATCAGCGCTTCTTTTACCATCACTCTGTAAATGTTTTGGAGTCAAGAAGACCAGTTCCTGGAGTTTTGACAGTGAACTGTGGTCCTAGTCTTGTCTGATATAGGGTATCATATGCTCAACTGTTCAGGTTGTCTTTCTCATACTTTTTGGGTGGTCGTACACCAAATGTTTACAGTAAGTCAGGACAGCGGGCAGTCCAGTTTAGCACCTGGACTCTTTTACAACTGAGCCATGCTGCTGTAATAAACGCAGGATGTGGGATTTGTTCCTCAAGAGATTTTTTTTTTTTTAAACATCAGGAAAAATTTATTTTGTTGTCCTCCTCCCAACTTTTTTTTGTGTGTGTTGTTGGATTAAGACTAAAATGACTATATTTTTCACAAAAAGGAAACAAAAATTTTTTTCAACATTTGATAAGCTGTCTTTGTACTATTTTAAATTACATATTGAAGTTCAATGATTCACTAACTATCAAAATCTGTTGTCAAAATTTTTATACAGTTTATCATGATTTTTGTATTGGGGTTATAGTTTAATGTCTAAAACTGCTACACAGGTGTTGAGCTAGACAAATGACGGCACACTCAAGATACAGCCTTTTTCTACCAGCAAATGCTACATGGTTGAGATATTATTTTCTTGACATTCACATAATAAGATCAGCTGAGCTACATACCAATATTTTGACACTAGGGGACTGAGATCAACAACAGCTAAAAGTTTCTCACAGTGGCTTAAAAATTTCTTCTCACCTTTATTAGTTTGTACTTTTTGGCTCAATCTAATGATGTCTCTGCAGATTCCTCTGAATGTTTGATACATGATTTTTATTTATGTGAATGATTTTCAGTATATTACCAGTGTTTGCTGGGGAGATCGTGCAGGACTGGAGGGAAGTGTCTCAGCCTGTCTCAGTGGTGTGACGGCGTTCAAGACTGTCCTCATGGAGAAGATGAAGCTCGATGCTGTAAGACATTTCTTAATTTCTAAACATCAATTAACAACGTACTGTTTGTGGCTCAATACTTTCAACCTTTCTTCCAGTTCGTCTTCATGGGACAAACTTCATGCTGGAAAGTTTCTCCTCAGACAGTCAAAAGTGGATGCCGGTGTGTGCTGAAAACTGGAACAATAACTATGGGCAGGCTGTGTGTGAACACATGGGATACAACAGGTGATGACTGTCTTCTTACCATCATGATTATTTGGGTCCAAACTAAGAGAAGAAGCAGTCACAGTACATGTAAATGAATTTTATATGATCTAAAATGAAGTCAGTAAAGAAAAGAAGGAAATGATGACTAAAAAAGGGTCACGGAGGAGGTTATCCAGTCTAACACTTTGAAATGTTACAACTTCATTTAGCTTCAAGTGATTTACATCTGAGAGCAGGTGGTATAAGTAAAGATCTACACAGCATCGACCATATCTGAGCTGTTAAATGATTCATTCAAAAACAAAATGCATGTTGGTGTATTTAATCTACAGATAAAAATGTTCATCATAATAAATCCACTCTTTTTTATTGTGTCCACCTTACAGGCAGCAGTATGTTTCCTTCTCTGAAACCAGTGCAGGACCTTCAGCCGCTGATGGATACATGAAGCTGAAGTCTGGGAGTTCACACAGCTCACTCCTCACGTCACAGCTCACCCACAGGTAACATTATAGGATGTGATTAACCACTGCAATTTGGGATAAAACCTATAATGTTCACGAGCTCATATGTGTTATAAATAGACAAATTTTCAAGTTTTTCCTGGAGCAGCACCTGTTACTGTCTGCAGCTCAGCCAGTCTAACAAAGCACCTGTGTTGGACTCTTCTTTTAAAATCAATATAAATCAATGGAGTGCTAATCTTTTTCATCACAGGGTCTTTAACCAATCTGTCCTCACTTTTCTGACCTTTCTCAGCATTCATGCATAGCTAACATAGCTGTTCCCTTTCCCCCCCTTTAACCAAATAGTTCTATCACAGGTCTCTCACACAGAATAACAGTATTTGTGTTCAGTGTGAAACCAAAAGTCAACAGAGACTGAATATTTTCCCTCAATCCATGTTTTTTTTTTTTTTTTTTTGAGTCATGGAGTTTCAGTCGTGACTTTATTTAAGGCTACCTGTGAAACTATTACTGATATATTCCTGCTGAGCAAAACATGGATTTAACTCACCAAAACAACATGTAAGGCCCCTCAGGTTTGGATAATATGGTTCAATAAAAATCAATAAAATAAAAAAAAAAGGTCAAGACACAGCACAACAAGATAAGATAAGATTAGATACTATTAGCTAAGATATGATAAAAACTAACATGATATGATAGAATACACTCATACTACACATTATGAAACAATACAACACAGTAAAAAACTGACATGGTACAATACAATACAACACAATATGATATAATACAAAACAGTAAAAAAAAAAAACACACAATATAATCTGAAACTAAATGATTTGATCCGATAAATGAATGACAGGACTTCGTAAAATAAGATGAGAAACAGAGCGATACAGTATGATGTACTTGCACATATTTTTGCTCCCAAATGTACGTCACTTTGGACTTAAGTGTCTGCTAAATAAAATCTTTACAATGCAATTAAAATGATTTTTATAACTGTTTGAAGCAGGAGCTTGGGATATTGAAATATACATTCTTTTGTTTCCTGTAGTATCCTGTATGTATTTTAAACAGTGCTAAATGAGCTGTATTTATCAGTAGAGCTCTATCATTAAGGAACTTCTTAAGGGTATATTCAGTAGTGCAAGAAAAGGGGCATCTTAATGGAAAAGTGCTAAAAAAAAACAAAAAAAAATACCGAGTAGAGTTCACACTTAGAGTGAGATAAGTTCTTGGGTTGAGGTTTCTCAAAATCAGCTGAACAACTTGGCAGTGTTGACCCTATCAGCAATGTGGCCTAGTTAGCCTGCTGGTTCTCCTGGCATTTTCCTATTGAAGAGGCTAAGCTGACCAGCATTCAGTGTGCTCAATACACTTATTAGTAACATGTAACCTATAAGAACCCATTTTAAAACGCAGGGCTCTCAAGTCTCACGCATTCAGCGTGTGCCACACGCATTCCCACCCGTTCACACGCCACACATTGTATTTCTCACGCATTTAAATGACCATGGTGATGTCCACAAGGTGCACCTCTTTAACTATGGAACAGGTAGAAATCAACTGAGTTCCTCCGAGAGTTCAGAAGCTGCGTGCCACGCGGCAGCCAATCAAATAAAGTATATCTACTGAAAAGCCAATAAAAAAGCAGCATTGCTGTATCCGGGTAGAGTTTGATATCTTGCGGTATGAGTACAGAAGAAGACAGACACTCGCCGTAATAGAGCAGGTTTTTATAAGGACGAGATAGACCCGATGATTACAGTAAGTCAGTAACCTACACATGCAGAGACCTCAACACCTCATGGCATATAAACTCATACGATAAACTAAAGCCCTATGCTATTGCTATTAACAGCTGTATTGACGGATTTAGCCTCTGTACAGCCATTTCCGGCCATTTCCCCCTCCACAAAAGCAGCATTTCTCATATATCTCGAATATAAGTTCTGATACTCATGACAGTGTAATGCTCATGTACCAAAGGATTAAGTATCTCCATGTTTGTGAAACCTATACTTAAGTACAATTCCTCTAAATGCTCCACAGTGCTGATTTTCACAACTCTCCTTCACAACAGGTAACTTTACGACTTAATACTTATATATTAATGACTTTATTCTCCCAAATAATAACTTTATTCTTTAAGATTTAAAAACGTTTTTTTTTCTAATTGTGCCCCTTACACCCCGTTGTATTTAAGAGATAATTATACTAATAATTATCTTCAATCAACCCCCCCCAAGGAAATCTCACTCTAAGCTTAGTTCAAAACTTGAGAGCCCTGAAAACGTCTTGAAATATCCCTTTAAAGGAGACTTATTGCCACCTTGCATTTTGTCACTTTGGGACACCTAGAGTAGCTTTGCACAATTAGCAGCTCAGAAAACTAATTTATCTCTCTTTAAAGTTTGACATAGCTTGTGGATGTTACTTTTTACACAGTTATGTTGTCTGAAAAAATGGTCTGATAGTTACTCCTTTACAGAAAACATCTGGGATAAGCCTTTAGCATCTAGTCATCCATGTAGCCATGTTAGCATATGTTAGCTGTTGTAACATTTGCTGCTGTCCTAATGATTCTCAAAGTGTAATGTCCTGAACCTTCATATGAAACCCGTTAAAAGGCAGTACATAACAGCTAATGTTTATCCTGCTGCATGTCTTATTTTGAGCCTGTTATCACTCCTGGAATTTTTAAATAGCTAAGGGAGCGATAAGAATGAATGTATTGTTGTGTGTCACGTTCATGTAGCGCATGTGCTACATGCTGTTAGACCCAAATGCTCCTGCAGCAGATTTCAGGCTGCAGGAACAGTATACCTAGATTTCTTCTACACTTTTAAGACACACCATGAGGACAGGCAGTTAAAATAAGTTTTGTAACAGTAGTTGTATGATATAATAACTTGCACAAGTAAGAAGGGAGCAAGTTACAATTTGCCTTTCAAATTAAGAGAGGCAACTGATGTAATCTTAATGTAAACAAAGTAGTCCAGCCAACTCAAATCTACAGGGAGCTGCAGTGATGACATTCAAACCTGTGCAGTACACGCAGGTTTTTGTTGTAGTTTCTTTGGTTTTTGCAGCAAAATAAAAACCTGATTTATATCCGAAAAATAAGTCCAGTTGCAATCTCAGCTTCTTAAAATGATGCTGAATATAAAGCTCAAAGCAGGGAGACACAAAGTAAACCAAATATTCTCGTATGTGAATGAAAATAGGTTCATGGCATACTTAAAGACAAGATCAGAAAAACTTTTTTGATCCTCAAAAGGAAATTCAATAAAAGCACATGTAAGGTTTTTTTTTTTTTTTTTTTTGTACATGAATGAAAAAGACTGAAGTTCATTTTTTTGCATTTTTATGACACACAAAAAGCAAAAAAGAACATCAGAAACAAGATAGATTTTTTTGTTTTGAGATGTTTAATAACTGAATACCTTTACCTGTGTGAGATGGTAGGTGTCAGCTAAGCAGCTGGAGAAACACATGGAATATTCATAACAACAAAAAAAAAGGAAACTGTCAGAAAAAGTCAAGATAAAAAGACTTCTTGTCATAAGATGCCTTTGAAGCATAAGACAAACAAAGTCTGCTTTTCCTCTTATTGGAGCTTTAAGTTAAAAGGTTTTCTATTTAACAGCACCTCGGGTTGTCTTTTGCTTTATTGCTTTATGTAGATTCTGCATGATCCCACCATGTCATACTAATGACAGGGTTAAGTTTGAGCACTGACTCAAACCTCATCTCTGTATTATAAGTTTATACAGTTCAGCAAGGATTCATTTAGGTGAGAGCAGAATTTAAATAATGATTTCCATTTTAAAAAATTGTGGACTCTTTTGTGTTGGTATAAACAGTTTCTGAATAATTTTTATCAACTCTTCTTTTGCAGCAAGAGTTGCTCGGTCAGGGCTGTCAGTCTTAAATGCATTGGTAAGTTACCGATTAAGCTGGTTACAAACAAACCACTGGAATCAGTCCATTTTTGATTAGAGAAATCTGTTGTCTATTTGTACCTTTTTCCGTGAGGGGGCTGAAAGGGAAACACATTAAAATATTTTCTCCTTCCCTAGATTGTGGTCAGAGTTCAGCAGCCCCCAGTTCTCGTATCGTTGGTGGCACTGAAGCGGTGAGAGGGGCTTGGCCATGGCAGGTCAGTCTCCAAATATTTAGTCAGCACGTTTGTGGAGGCTCCATCATCAGCCCTCACTGGATCCTCTCTGCTGCACACTGCTTTCAAGAGTGAGTCTCCACAACTTAGCGCCAGTCGCCTGTTTATTTTCAAATTTTGATATGCTGTCGGCAAAGACTATGGGATTTGAGTTCTCTGTGTTATTTTTTCCCTCATAGCTCAAACAACAATCCCAGACAGTGGAGGGTGTACTCTGGTGATGTCAGTCTGACGAGGCTGAGCTTTGGCACTGGCACGAGAGTTCGAAAAATCATCAACCATGAAAAATATGACTCTGACACCAATGACAATGACATCGCTCTGCTGAGGCTTGATTCACCTCTGACATTTTCAAGTAAGTTCTTGCAAGTCCAAACTCATGACTAATACCTTTTAAAGACAATGTGATCTCAAAGTTCATGCCTGCATTGATACCTTAAATGTACATGTGTGACTCAGGCTCAGTGAAGCCAGTGTGTCTGCCCAGTGCTGGAGTGGATCTCTCTCCAGAGCGTCAGGCCTGGGTTACAGGATGGGGGGCCTTACGCTCATCAGGTGAGCCAGTGATTTGCAATATTTTTTTCAAATTCATTGACCAGGGTCTCTATTGACTTTACCCACAGAAGATACCACACCTTTATTTGAGCCAGGCTTGTATTAGAGGCGGTGTATATTTCTAACCGCTCTGTCAAATAAAAACAGTCCATATTTTAGTTTTCCATGTTTTCACTCCCAAATTTTCAAACATGGCTGTGACGATTTAAACTACTGTGTGATGAGTCTCAGTGTATCACCAGTTTTTGGCATGCAGAGCTCCATGATCCAACAGAAGTAAGACTGAAAATTGTAGCGACTAATTTCAACTGACCCAAAGTTTGCCCCAGTGAGTCTGTAAGGGGTGAGCTTTGGAGCTGGTTTGGACATGTCTTTTTGTTTGACATACACACCTTATTACCCCGGTTACCATTGTCTTTTGATATCATGCTTGAGGTGAGAAAGTTAAATATTGTTATGGTGCGTTACATGTACCTCAAAGAAGAGATGTTGGAGCTAGGTACAGCATCACATTCAAGTTGACTGCTTTCCATTTACATATCATAAAGGTAGCCATTGATGTTGTTTGCATGGTTGGCTAATATAAGGTGATAACATACAATGTGAGGGTGTAATAGCATGTCTACAGATAGAACATGCACGATTGTTGTGGTTGATTTTATTGCATTAAACATGCCTGAATAGCTGTTTAACACTATTGAAGTTGCATTTTTTAATACTGTTGATGCAGGGACAACAATCTTGGATTTTAAGCAATGGATACCTGAGGTTACGTACCTGAGAATAAGCCTTAGTTTCATTGCTTTTTTATTTCTAACACTTAAATTCCTGGATCTTTTTAAATGAATTCTCCGTTTGTTGATCCAAGAAAGGAGTGTTTAAACATGAGTGAGATTTCTCATCCTGCTACAGGATCAGGGCTTATGAAATAAGAGTACGACTGCTGGTGTAATGGTTTACCGGGTGACTCTGTTTTAGAGGCAACTTTCAGTTAAATGCTTATATAGTTGCCATAGTGATATGCTGGAAGGCACTAGTTAGCAGGGTCACTAATTCAACACAAACATGCCTGTCCTTAGCAATTCTTAAAGCTCCCTTCGAAGACGCCTTGTTTGTGTCGGTTGTGGCGCCCCCTGTGGACTGAAAGGTCTTGCTTACCTTGTCTTCTGCCTAAGTATTTTTTGATAAAGGAATTAATTCTGCTGACTTTTTACAGTCAAATGTTTCATTGATAGTAAATATTTGACGTAACTGGGCAGTTTTGTTCTGATACCTACACCCTCACACAGGTTTTTTGGGCATTAAAAATCACTATAACTAAACTACTATAATCAATATAGATATGACTGTTCACGAGAAAGTGGCTGATGTCAGCTGTATTTTGTTGTTTTAACTTAAAATAGGTTTTGATCCCTCTCTGGGTTTATCTGTGTCGCTGCTTATCAATTTGGAGTTGAGAGATTATCTAAATTTGTCAGATTATTAAAGTTATATTATGACTGATGACCTGGAGCACAGTAATGTTATATGACGATGATATCATTCAATCAATCAATCAAATTTTATTTGTATTGCACCAATTCACAACAGTCGTCATCCCAAGACGCTTTTCAAAGAACAAGAGCAGGTCTAGACCACGCTCATTGTTTGATGATCAAGAACCAACCTAACCATCTCATCTAACATGAGTAGCAGTGGCAAGAAAAAACTTCCTTTTAACAGGCAGAAACTGATATATGAGTTTCCCACCCTGAGCATGATGACAGGAAGATGGCAGCTGTGGAGAAATGGACCGAGTAACTTATGGGTTTAGTTATTAATGTCAGATTGGCTGTTATTAGAGGGAATACTGTCTGTCAAACCTTTCATGTGTGCTTAAATTTGACAACATAAACCATATCAACTGAGAGCCCAGCTTACATAATATCATCCTTCCCATTGCTGCCTGTAGAGAATTTATTCAAGTCTTTAAGGGTCACTAATTTTGAAGGATAAAAGTAAGAGAAAAGTGTTTCTTGATGCATCACTGAGCTTACTCATATGACAGTCCAATCATTTATGTTTCAGGACCATCCCCTGACAAACTAAACCAGGCCCAGGTGACCATTTACAGCAGAGAGACCTGTAACCAACCACGGATTTTGGACGGAGCAATCACTGAGACGATGATCTGTGCTGGAAAACTGGAGGGAGGAGTTGATTCATGTCAGGTCAGTCTGATATTATTCTCTCTGTCTTTAAAACACATACAGATCACACCTTCACACTTTTGTAAGACATTATTCTCCTGTTTTCTACAGGGTGACAGCGGGGGACCCCTGGTGGTGAAGCAGGGAGGTCTATGGTGGCTGGCAGGGGACACCAGCTGGGGGATCGGATGTGCTTTGAGGAATAAGCCAGGAGTCTACGGCAATGTTACCCACTTTATAGACTGGGTTTATACACAAATGCAGGTACAGTATTCATGAAACAGAGACGTTTACTTTTTGGGCTGTAGGAACTTTTCTATTGCTAAAGGAACTGTCAGTAGCTAACCTTTTCCCTTTTTATTGATTCCACACCAGGAACTGAGCTATTTTAGTTCCTGGAATTATGTTCAGGGGAACCTTTTGAGCTCCTGCTTTAGAGTACATACTCTGCCAGCACTAGGGGGGCGTTAAGGAACAAAAATGTGCAAAGAGCATTGTGAATGGTCTAGAAGATAGTGTAAGACGGTTGGTGGAACAAAGTGCCACCAACCACCAACCCTAAATTCCACTGTGCACATACATCAGTCAGTAAAGTCTTTGTCAATTATTAAACACAGAAAAAAACACCAACAGTCAACTGGGCATGACATCCCCACTAACAACTCATAATATTCAACAGCACAAACATTATCAAGGCCATCTAAATATGTAAGCACAAGCAGAATCAATGAGGTCAGAGATAATGTCTGTCCAAGAGCATTACAGCTTATTAGACAGCCACACAAATAAAATCTGGAAGGAAACACTGCTGTTATAGGTCAGGAAGTACAAGTCCTGTATGTGATCCGATGTGAGTCTAACTGTTCGTTTTTTTTCCTCCATAGAATGATTGACAGCTGTCCCAAGGAACATGAAGGAGAAAATGTCTTATAAATCAGCGTTTTTTTACTTTATCAAAGACTTTGCACTTTAAAATCTGAAGCTCTGAGGAAAGTAAATGTTAAAAAAGGGTTTTTAAAAAAGGCAGAAAGAATGTACAAAAACACTAGATTTATCTTCTAATTATTGTTGTTTGCAAGTATGGTGAACATTTTTTAACAAATTAAGTCATTTATTTATGAGGAGATAAAAAATGTTGCACAAAGAGATTTCTTTGAAACACCTTCACCTTAATTATTCCTGGAAAAAAAGGACCAGGGAAGACAATTAGACTCCTGATGCAGCATTTATGGCACATATATTGCACAAACACATTTCCAGACCTTCCTTTTCAAGGTTTGACAACACATAACTTCCTGCATCCACCCATCAACTTGACGACAACTGATCAAACTCCACCAACTCCTGTGTGTCATACTTAGAGCTTAATGATACTAAAATGAAACTCTTGATGTTTACTACCATAACACTGGTTTGTAGGTCACCATGGCTCTGATAAGAAACAGTAGAACATGTGAGTCAGAGCTATCTGTGTCTGCACGTGATGTGAGATACAAGGAGGAAGGAGCTCACCTATGAGAAATGACCATCTTTAATAATACATATATGTTTTTTTGCGTTTGAGAATAAATTCCATGTTAGATGTGGGAAGTTATGTCTCTCATGCATCTATAAAGTCCTCTCTAGGGCTCAAAATGATATGAAATATGAATAGAGATCTTTAGTAATGAATAGGAGCTTTTGGAGTTATAGTCAGGCTTCTGCCTCATGGATCATTTTATCACCCTGATTGTCAGAGAGGTTGGGTTTGGACATGAATGATCTGGAGCTCACTTTTGTCCTGATTACTTTATGGGAAATTCCACTGAACCAACCTTATGAAGATAAAGACCTGCAGAGACAGTGGATGGGTAAATTATCTCCACAAGTGACAGCGATTCAAATTGGCAACACCATTGCAGAAGTGATGTTTTGAGACCATCTTAAAAGTTAAAAAACTTTATGCATTTTTTCCTCTAATTCAGTCTGAACCCGGTCTCTGTTAAAATCAGTATAATTTGGATCAAATGGACCAGAGTGGTCTCAGTTGCCTGATATTATACAGGTTTACAAACCGTCTTCCTTTCACAGCAGCCTGATAAGATTTGAACCCATTCAATAACCACCACCACCCCTCCCCCATACCTCTCTCTCTTTTTATAGATATATATATTTTTTTTTTGCTGTGTTTGTTTTGCTATCTCATGGCACTTTATTTCCTGATTATTTTGAAAACCCTCTGTGAAGTCATCTTCAAAGAAGTGCAGTATAAATCAAGTTAAACTTTAACAGATATAATGATTTACGGGATGTTTATGATCAGTTCTGAGTAACTGGTTTAAAACAAGGAAATACTGTTTATGTGGATGTGAAGAAGCAGCAATGATTATTCAGAAATGAGCACGTTGATGATTTGCTGAATCAGATGAAGATAGCTATATGTTTAACTTTGCCATTTTTTTAATGAGTGCTATCTTCTTAGTTCAGCTAAGAAATAATGTATAATTGTTGTTTGATATTTAACATTAAAGACTGTAATGGAATGAATGGTTGTTGGTCTATCAGCAAAGTGATAGTGTTTGATATTCAGCTGTGACAAACATGCAATGTCAAAGGTATACTGTATATACATATTGTGTTGCCATTGTTGACATTATTTCAGTAGACATCCATATCTCTTATATTCTATTCATTTTTCATGTTCATGCTACTGTACTATTTTATGAGCTGTGATAAAACAAAACTACAAAAAGGTTTTATATATACTGTATGTAAACATTTTTTTTTGTTTATTTCACAATGAGCAACTAACTGTCACACAAAAAAGCAAAGTTTATCTGTGGTGCTCGGTTAAACGGAATGATTTCTTTATTTAGATGATGATTGATGCAAATTTTCAAATACAATCAATAAATAAACAAAATTTATTATTAGCTATGTTGTACTGTTGTCCTCCTTTATGTCTCACTGCGGTTACCAATTTTTTCATGCCACCAATATTGAAATCATTTACATCATGTCACAAGGAAATATTAAGCTCATTGTCAGGCTTGTTCTTCTGATACCTCGGTATCAGCTTTGTAGGACTGAAAGTTTTAAAAATTATATATTTGTCTCAAATTGGTGTCTTTGAAAACCTTTATCTCAAACTCAGTCTCAAATGCATCTTTTCAGCAGTTCAAGAGCAAGCCGCCTCATACTGGGATTACTCTGACACACCTTTACCTCATAACTTAAATTTGCCTACATTTAGTATCAACCTTCACCAGTACAACTTTTGTTTATTTGTAAAATACTAAAAAAGGCTTTAAAAACCCTTTTAAAAGCTCCCATTAAGAAGTTCTGACTTGTTGTAAATTACACTGTATCAATACTGATGCCTGTTCATGAACTATAAAACAAAATAAAACCCGTATCAACAAGAGTGCTCATTTCAATACAGATATATGTCATGTCTATAACCAGTGGTGGAGTTAGGTGCTGGAAAACCAACCTACCTGGAGACAACCACCACGGCTTGTTCTTATATTTTTCCATGACTGAGATTAGTGTGATGGAGTCCAATGACTCATGCTCTTTTAGTGAACTGTTCATTTCGGCTCCAGTAAGGGTCAGCACAAGGCATCCAGGTATTAGCCCAGCTCGACAGGCAACTGTTTACACAGAAGAGGAAGCCACACATGCTTTACAGTCTAACAGTGACCTCTAGTGAATAATTACAGAAGGCCACACTTCAGTCTCATCACAATAATGAGAGCTACTGATTTCTCCACAGAGGGAGTTTTAATTTACACAAGCTGGAAAAAGCTGCTGCTTTGCACACTCCAACATCTTAGAAAACCAGGGCCGTGCAGAGACCTTTGAAGGAGCAGGTGCTCAGAGTTAGCACAAAAGGGCACATGGAGCAAAAATTTGAAATACCATACAGGAACATACCTTACAGTATAACTGATTGAATTGTTGCAAACCATATTCAAAAATAATGTCACATGAAATCACAACATACCATATCATTCACCGCCATAATTAAAGCCGTGCATTAATTTAACTGTGGCTACTCTTCCAGGAGTCTTTGCTTTTCCGTTTTAATAAGACTGGATGACAAAAATGGAACAATTCTGACACCTCTTATTTTAATTTCACAGCTTTATTTTTGTTGTTTTCTCAACTCATTAAAACCAAATACAACCAACAGTTTTGACACAAACATGACTTCAGTATGAAATGTTTCAATCTGTATTTATTGACAACATGTGTTCATAATGTATGAACTTGAAGGGGAACATTAATAATGGGAAAAGAAGAACTGAGGAAGGGTGTGAGTGTGCACGCCTGTGTGTCTTTCTGTGTTTGTCTGTGTCTCTGTGTGTTTTTTACATATCACAAAGTGGCATTTTTCTTTGTTGCAACTTCCTGTTGCCCGTGCTCAAAAAATTGTCAATGACTTCACAGCAGTTGATTGGAATATCCTGCTCAATTACCATTAAAAGAATCTGGGACAACCTCTACTCTTTACAAAGAGTAGCTACTAAGGGCTACTAATTTTCGTGCCTCGCCAGTGCGTGGTGTAGGCGTGGCACCAGTCAGGTCCACCACGCCAGAGCCAGCCCAAGGCATAGGCGAACAAAGCACCTGCTTAGGGCCCCGCAACCAGTAGGGGGCCCTCCCCAAAATCAATGTATGAGTGTACTGTATGAGTGACGTTTCTTTATGATCAAATACATATTATTGTAAAAATAAAATGAAGTAAAAACATTTTAGTGCTGCTGCTGATGTAGGCCTATTATTCTTACTGACGACATGTCAAAGCTCGGCTATCATTAAGCGCCTCCTGCTGTGCGATGTGCACTGAGCATCCAAAGTGCAGTTAATTGTGGGGCAAAACAATGTCGCAAAAAAGGACATATCCTACAGGTGCAGAGAAAAGAAAGAGGAAGAAGAGAAAAAACGCCAAGATAAAGGTATGTTTGCATGTCATGAAAGGTGAATCAAAGAGATTTGTGAAGGTGTGTAAATGATCAACAATCAATATTATTGGCAGAAATAGAGGGCCCCAAAATCAAATCTTGCTTAGGGCCCCACTGAGGCTTGACCGGCTCTGCACCATGCTGATGAGGCGTGCCCAAGCACAATTTGGTATTTTGGTGGAGGGTGCAGCCTGGCGTAATTATCCCGCCTCCCTAACTCAGCATTGATGTTGGCATGTAAAATAAAATTGGCTCACCAAACTGAATATCATGGTACTCGGATTGAATATTCACAGAATTTTAAGGATGTGAGAACATTATGGATAAACGTTTGTCATTTTGGATGCAAGTTTACTTTATTGTTGTGTTCAAATTTAAAAAATAAATAAGTCATCTGAAAATGAAAGTACATCATCTGGGGGACGAATTAAATATCTTGTTAACTTCAACATGTGTGACTGTTTTCTGGATATTTAATTTGATGCGGTTTCAGCTGTGTTAATTCGTTTAGGTCCAAACGCGCTCATCAGATAAGATCTCCATCTGAATACAAAGATATAGATGTAAGTGTGCGTGCCGACGTGACCTGGACGTTCCACGGTTGCCATGGTTTGTCTCCACGGTGCATCACTGAAAAAAAAATTCACATTTGATCTAAATCAAAACTTTGATGGTCAGATAGTACACAGCTCTCACGGATAGTTTGGAAAAGCACGTTTTTACAGCGAAAAAAACCTACAACTACAGGCGACTTTCTTTCTGCAGGACCCCGACGACAGACTTTAGACAGGACTTCTTCAAAAAAGTGAGAATTGAGCAGTTTTATCAAGTTGTGTCGAACATTTGTTTTGCTAACGTGACCAGAACGTGACCGATGTTAGCTTTAGCCTTGAGATGTTGTCATTTTATTAATAAAGTAATAACCAAAGACTACAGAAGTAAACCCACAGCTGCTGTAAGCACATGTTTTAACAAAATGAAACTATTTCTGGAATGATTTGCTGTCGAGTTTTTGTCATATGTAACCTGCAGTCATTTTAGTTGCTTACAATATGTTGGTGTCATACTGTCACATTGAAACTACAACTATTTAATTAAAAAACACATAACTTGCCAAACACAGTGTGTTTAGTACAATAAAATGTAATTTCATACCAATTGAACGCTATTTCTGGTACATTAATAGTTAAAATCTATATTTTCTTTGTACAAAATGAACAATTTTTTGGTTGCTGCCTTAACATTTTGAGGGTTTGTTTTGTTGAATCCAATCAAACCTACTGATCAGTCCCATATTTCACAGCAGCCCCAGCTGAACTATTTTCAAGTGAGAATTTCTTTCAAAACAAAGTCCATTAAAGTACTTTTATTTGACAGGACCGACAAAAGACCAGAGACCAGATACCAGATCCCAGGACAGGGCTTCCTCAGGGAAGAAAAGTGAGAATTGTGGACTTTTTTATTGCCCCATTGTGTGAAGAAAAGTAGAGATGATGTGAACCATTGAGCAGATAAAAGCAAATTGCTAACATTTGCCAGACTGTTTAATTATAAATAATTAAATGATCAAAATAATTGAAATAAAACCCCCTTGAAATGTTGGATTATCAATAAAGCATGGTAAAAAAGATGTAATAAAGACAAGCTTACACGTTAGGCTACATATTTCTAACTTTGTAACCTGATGAGTGCATGCTCACTATCATTTTTTTATATTGATTATTTAGAAAATGTGACACATCATTGATCTTGACAAAATAAGAATATAACTACATCATTTGCAAGTCAGTTTTAGCTGTTTTAAAGGCTCATAATAAGATGTTATTATGTTTTTGGTTTTTGCCTGCAGATGAAGCAGCGCTTCACCTGGGCTTCGGCTCCCGTCCCGGTTCCAGGTCAGCCCGGCAGCCAGCGGCTCATCCTCCGCAGGGTCCCGGCACAGACCCCCCGCAGCTGCCCCAGCACCATATCTGCCAGTCCCCCTGGCAGTCACGTGAGGTCACACACACAGTTTCCCTCCCACAATACCGATGAGGCCTCAAAGGAGCAACGCTGCAAGACCCTTGCAGCCCTCAGTGAGGTGGTGAAAGCCCGTCCTCCTAAGAGGGCACCCACTGAGGCTCCTGAAGCAGGCCCATCAACATCACTGTGTACTTCTAATAAACTCTGGTGTCAAGCTCTTTCAGGTTTCTCCCCAGAAGACGGTGTGGAATCGAGGCCAGGTGTGCAGGTGTGCTCCCCCAGACCAGCTGTGGCCCCACGCGCTGCTCCACAGCGATGCTCTCCGAAAGAAGCTCTGGTTCCTAGTGCAGCTGCAGGAGAGGGCCCTCAGAAAGCAACTCGTTAGTAATTTCAAACCCTGCTCAAACTTGACCAGGAAAACCTAGTAAACATTATCCCAAAAATGTAAACTCATTGTTAGCAGTATCACACTTTATTACCCGAAGTGATCTAACATGCTCTACATGGTGGTTATCATGTCTTCATTGTCCAAACCATTTAAGAAAATGTGGAAGAAAATATCATTATGAGTGCAGGCAATATTTTAATATCAAGATAAAAACATAAGGGCATTTGGACCGCAGGAACTGGGACCTAGTTCTGGGGTAGATCTTGAATATGAAAAGTAGTTATTTTCTGAGACAGGGAGAATTTAAAATTAAGGTCTGCCTCTCATAAAAGCCGGCTTCATATATAGGCCCATATATATATATATATATATATTCATATATAGAGCTACTTCAATTGCTAGAGAGAGACAGAGAGTGAGAGAGATAGAGACAGAGAGAGATAAAATCCAGATCCCATGATATTAATCCAACTGTTCAGACTGATCAGTGTTTCAGAAACTTGGAATTAAAATCTTTGTATACGAATCACACTGATCAGCATTTGGCAATAATGGCCAAATCCTTGAATACTCAAACGTCCAGCCTTCAGTGCACATAAGAGTAAGTATTGAGAATAAGTAGAGACCAAACTCATGTCTACTTTACCTTTGATCACTTTGATTGAAGAGAGCCCAAGAAAGAGAAGGAGGATCACCGTCACTGATGAAGACCACCTTGAGAACCCTGAAGTCTCATCAGCAGAGCCCAGCTATTCTGCCACAAGAGGTAAGATGGCAAAGAAATGACATTTTGACATATAGGCCTCATGAAATTAAATTTTGAGTATGTTTGATCTTTGGAGTATAATTTTTTAGGAGTAAGTAAGACTATTTTTAAAAAACAGTTTTTGTGTGTTTCTTGTTTTTGTAGCTGCCCTCCAAGCAAAATATACAGAGAGGGACCTGCTTGGACAAGGATCATTCGGGGCAGTCTATGCTGGATTCAGAAATAAGGACAATCTACCAGTAAGATTAAATGTTTCATACACTTATGTAGCAGTGCATACACACTTTTCACTTTGTACTTAGTGTGAGCTAACCATGTTTCTTCCTGTGTTTCCTCTAGGTTGCCATCAAACATATTTCTCAGTCAGGCGTTGAGCGCATATCGGTAAGTAAAGGACTGTGTCCACTAACAGCTGTTAATTTTTATAAGATGACAGCACACGATACCTTAGTTTCCTTAGTTGACCTTTTCACAACGTTACATCGTTTAAAAAAATATCCTCTGTCACTTCAGTTCCAGGACAAGTGACTGATTTTAGTCTGTGAGAAAATGCTCCATATGTTCTTATGCTATTTTATATTTTAAGATCCAAGAGGAAAACATCAACTCTGTCCCCCTGGAGGTGGTGATGATGCAGAAAGTGCAGTCAGGCACCCCACGAACCAGTGCAGCCGTGGCCCTGCTTGACTGGTATGATCTCGAAGAGGAGCTGATACTCGTCCTAGAGAGACCAGTGCCCTGCATGGACCTGTTGGAATATATGTTTCAGACAGAATCCCCCATGCCAGAGAGGGAGGCAAAAGTAAGTACTTGATGAAATGAGTTTTGCAGTGTTTTCTTTTTGCACTGTCTGTCTGCACTGTGATACTCAATCTGCATGTATCTCTCTTTCCACCTCAGATCCTGACAAAACAGCTGATAGATGCCCTCATAGAGATCCACTCAAAAGGAGTTTTCCACAATGACATCAAGGTGGACAACTTCCTGATTGAGTGTGGCTCTGCAGTCCCCCGTGTGAGAGTCATAGACTTTGGCTTCAGCACTTTTCTCACTGAGGGGACGTACCATTCAATGCAAGGTAGGCTGTCTCTCAATGAACATTGTTTTTGAAGGGCTTTCCACAAACATCAGGTAGTCAGTCAATGAGAAAATGTAGGCCACTTACAGGGTCAGCAGTCTCTGTATGAACTGAGTTTGAGGTTTTCAAATAGTAGATATAAGTAAGTTTTCAGTGGCCTGATTTGCCAACAGCAAGTGTATGTGGAAAGCCCTGGTCTCTTGATGAAACCTACCAAACAAATTTGCTGTGTCAGTCCACAACATCTATCCTTCATCTCCTTTTGTGTGTGTGTGTGTGTGTGTGTGTGTTTTGTAGGAACCCCTGAATTTAGCTCCCCTGAGTGGTTCCTCACTAAGAGCTACAGAGCTGAACCAGCCACAGTATGGCAGCTCGCTGTGGTGGTTTATACTTTGCTTCATGGGCGCTATCCTTTTGAAAACACCAAAGAAATCATTTCCAAAGAGCTGAAGTTCAAAAAAAGACTTTTCAACGGTGAATAATCACACCCACATAAAGTCAGATTAAGCACAGTTAGATCCACAGTAAGTGTTTGTATCCGACCCTTGACCATTTCTGTTTTGTCTCTCTAGACTGCCAGGATTTTCTATTCAAGAGTCTTTCCAAAAACCCAGAGACTAGACCAACCCTGGCAGTACTAAGGGACCACCCCTGGCTGGCGTAAAAAAACACCAAACAAACAAACAATATTTTGTTAACTTGATATTCTGTTTTACCCCTTTTGTATTTGTATTTTTTATTTTTATTTTTTCTCATTATTACTGTCATTACTGCCATATGTTTAATGTGTTTAATGTAGTTGCTGTTGTTTGAACATATATTTCCCCTGTACAATTAAATAAATGTGATTCTAATGTACCTGATCCATGTTATAAATGTAACAACCACCAGGGTACATTGTTTCACTATTTATGGAAATGTAAATAAATGCAAAAATTTTGGAGCTCTGTGTTAAAGTATATCTCTCAAATCACAACTTCCCTGGTACCTCTATGTCCTAAGCTATGCATTTTAGGCATTTATCCGGAGGACTGTCTTTTATCTGACAAAGAAAGGAAAATGGTTGACCTTTGTTTACTGCAGGCCAAACGTTGTATTGCGTTATGTTGGAAGAATGTTAGCTGCCCCTCTTTTAACCAATGGCTGAATAACTTTATAGTGTTGTGCTTGGCTCTTGAGAAGCTGACCTATTTTGTCAGAGGGAAGCTTTCTGAATTTTATGTCATTTGGAAGATGTTTCTAGAAATGTTTAAAGTAGGAGATACGGAGGTGGCAATGGGAAATAAATAACATTTATGGTACTGACAAGAGTATATATTTTTTAATTTCAATACTTTGTTGATGTAATTTATTCCTTTTTATTTTGTTAACTTGATATTCTGTTTTACCCCTTTTGTATTTGTATTTTTTATTTTTATTTTTTCTCATTATTACTTTCATTACTGCCATATGTTTAATGTGTTTGATGTAGTTGCTGTTGTTTGAACACAAAAAACACTAAAGATATGTTTAAAAAAAAAAAACAATAAATCGGTTCTGTTTTGAACTTTGGTGAGATGTGGTCTCCTATTTCTATCCCACCACAAATGGAGAAGATTGATGTCACTTGATTGTCTCATAGTCTCAAAAAAATAGAATTTTAGGCATCTCACATTATGCCTTTTCTTATCCATAACAAAAACTCAGGCTGTATACAATGAAATTATGTTTATTGCTACAAACGTTCTATCATTGAACATACAGGCTCAAAAGGACACTGAATTGATCAAGCGAATGTAGCATGGAGGCCACCATTAAGTGTAAAATCTCTGGTCAGATGCACACTGTAAAAAAGGTTTATATAATGCATGTCATTTTTACAGCACCTTACCTTAGATAGGTTTCCATGATCTGTGATCCGTGGTCACATGCTCTTAAGACACAAGCCGGGCACACTTGATCACCCCGGCTGGGTCCCCTGGGCGAGGGTGTCTGTTGCAAGACCCGAAACACCCAGTGAACCCAGGTGCCAACACTGATGATGTGTCTTAAGTTGCACCACAAGTGTATTTTAAAACTCATTTTTACAGCACCTTACCTTAGATAGGTTTCCATGAATGTCATTTTAACAGCAAAACAATGTTCACAAAACCCTTCTGACTTTATGATTTTAGGTTCAACTGGGCATTGAAAAAGAGAACTAATGGGGGCAGTTCTTTTATATAAGCTGATTTGCACAAGTGTTGAATATAATGGTTTTAATGCAAATGAACTTTGATTGTGGTTCACATGGATTTTGACGTACAAAAAAGTCCTGTGGTGATGTTATTAAATAACACCTTTTTAGTACTTTGAAACCCTGCTCAAATTTTACCAGGAAAACCTAGTGAACATTTTTCCAAAAATGTAAAACCATTGTTAGCAGGATCACACTTTATTACCCGAAGAGATCTAAACATATTTGCATGGTGGTTGTCATGTCTTCATTGTCCAAACCATTTAAGAAAATGTCATTATGAGTGCATGCAAAATTTAAAACAGCTCACTGCAACACACTTGGAAAACAAAGAAACAAAAAGCTTGGTTTTGTGCGATTAATACTATTTGTTTTGCTGATCTTGCTCTTTAGATTGATGTGCAAGTCCTTTCTTTGTCTAAAAATCTCATCTTTAAAGCCTCCAAAAGGTGCTTTTAAGCTCCCGTGAGCAACTTTTGTCTTGTGTCAGTTCTGGCACCTCCTTTAGGACAAAGAAGTCTGTTCTTATCTTGTACTCTAAATGCTTAAACACTGTGTTCTGACACAAATCTCATCCTGCTGACATTTAACTGTCAAATCTATCATTAGTGAACACTGAAAAAACAGGACTATTTCTTCAGCAGCTACGCTGACAACTGCCCACCCCCCCCATTCTGGGTTCAGGCATAAAATGATTATAATAACATCCAAAGATGCTTCTCCTTCATTCACTTTTGGTGAATGTAGCCTTGGCCAGGAGGAGTTGATGTCATCAGATAACAGTTAGAATGTGTTAAAAACATCAGAACTGATAAAAGCCACAGGGCAAATGCACCGAGGCTTTATTGTTATACTGTGGATTTTTTGTTACTCTACTTTTCACGACCTAAGTCCCTAAAAATTGCAGAGGAAATTATAAATCAACGGGAAAATCCAAAAAAAGAAACTAGCAATTATTGAAGTTTTTTAAACACCTACTGGCTTGGTATACTTTCACCTAGAGACTCCATGTAAACTTGTAAATGTAGACACAAGTCTTGTCCATTGGTGAATTAATCCATGTTTCCATTGGTATTGTCATCTTTGATCAACCACTGTCCAATGATCATGATCATTTTCAGAGACATTTTGAGATTATAACAGGTGTGTATTGCATGAAATATTTTAGCTAGAGTGGATGAGATCATTGGCTAGAGCAGTGGTTCTTAACCTTGTTTGAGGTACCGAACCCACCAGTTTCATATGCACTTTCACCGAACCCTTCTCGAATTTACATAATGAGTCAGGTGTGTCTTGACCTCCGTGGCAGAGGCTCCGCCGAACCCCTGAGACTGACTCACCGAACCCCTAGGGTTCGATAGAACCCTGGTTAAGAACCACTGGGCTAGAGTAAGAGAAGTTGTGTGAAATTGTCCACGCTCCTTCTGGCCACAAATTTCACTCTATATGCATATTTCCTTCCACAGTTATAGACACACTTGTTCTGTCTCTAACGATGTGTTCATCCAAGCAAAAAGACTCACAGAATTTAAACACTGAGCCTATAAGTGCAGCAATGTCTCTCTCTGCTCTTCATTGACGTTGATACAAAGATTTTCAGAGAGAGGCAGAAGGGACTCCTGTTTATAAATTGCAAGTATCTTCAAACTATTTACTGTAGAAACACCAAAATCATATCAAAGCATATAGGAAGTCCTTTTGATGACCACAGTCTGCTTTTTTTCCTGATAGGAGCTATTGTTTTGTCAGAATAAACACAAATGTGAGACTGCCTTAGCCTGTGGCGCTTATATTGTCGTGGCAACCTGTGAGCCTCAGGCCAGGTCCACAGCTGAGACCAATTGACTAATCAGGGACTGCTCTGATATCTCTGCATCATCGAATCACTTTTAGAGAAATTTGATTAATTATGTGAATTGTGGAAAAAATTGCACTAAAGTCAATGGAACAAGCCTATTAAAGAGCATGTACAGTGCCTTAAAAAAGTATTTATACCCCTTGAACTTTTTCACATTTTGTCACTCTGCAACCATAAACTTAATGTATTTTATTGAGATTTTTTGTCATAGAGCAACACAAAGTAGTACATAATTGTGAAGTGGAACAAAAATGATACATGGTTTTAAAAAATTTAAACAAATAAAAATCTGAAAAGTGTGGTGTGCATTTGTATTCAGCCCCACTGTGTCAATACTTTGTAGAGCCACCTTTCGTTGCAATTATAGCTGCAAGTCTTTTGGGCTATGTCTATACAAGCTTTCAACATCTAGAGACTGACATTTTTGCCCATTCTTCTTGGGCTCGAGCTCAACCAGATTGGATGGAGAGCATTTGTGAACAGCAATTTTGTAAGTCTTGCCACAGATGCTCAATGGGATTTAGATCTGGACATTGAATGAATGTTATTTGATCTAAACCATTCCTTTGTAGCTCTGGCTGTATGTTTAGGGTCATTGTCTTGCTGGAAGGTGAATCTCTTTTCCAGTATCAAGTCTTTTGCAGCCTCCAACAGGTTTTCTTCTAGGATTGCCCTGTATTTAGCTCCATCCATCCTCCCATCAACTCTGACCAGCTTCCCTGTCCCTGCTGAAGAAAAGCATCCCCATAGCATGAGGCTGCCGCCACCATGTTTCACAGTGGGGATGGTGTGTTCAGGGTGATGAGCAGTGTTACTTTTCTGTCACACATAGCGCTTTGCATTCAGGCCAAAAAGTTCAACTTTGGTCTCATCTGACCAGAGCACCGTCTTCCACATGTTTGCTGTGTCCCCTACATGGCATGTGGCAAACTGCAAACAGGACTTTTTATGTCTTTCTGTCAACAATGGTTTTCTTTTTGCCACTTTTCCATAAAGGCCAGATTTGTGGAGTACACGACTTATAGTTGTCCTGTGGACAGATTCTCCCACCTGAGCTGTGGATCTCTACAGCTCCTCCAGAGTGACCATGGGCCTCTTGGCTGCTTCTCTCACCAGTGCTCTCCTTGCTCAGTCTGTCAGTTTAGGTGGACAGCCATGTCTTGGTAGGTCAGCAGTCGTGGCATACTTCTTCCATTTTTGGATGATGGATTGAACAGTGCTCCCTGAGCTGCTTTAAACTTCTCCACAACTTTTTCCCTGATCTGACTGGTGAGTTCCTTGGTCTTCATGGTGCTCTTTGTTGACTAGTGTTCTCTAACAAAGAAGGCCTTCACACAACAGTTTATGCTGATACTAAATTACACACAGGTGGACTCGATTAACTATTTAGGTGGCTTCTGAAGGCAATTGATTGCACAGCATTTTATTTAGGGGCATCAGAGTACAGGGGGCTGAATACAAATGCACACCACACTCTTCAGATTTTATTTGTTAATTTTTTTAAAACCATGTATCATTTTCATTCCACTTCATAATTATGTGCTACTTTGTGTTGGTCTATGACAAAAAATCTAAATAAAACACTTTTAAGTTTTCAAGGCACTGTACCAGATAACAAAAGAAACCTGTCCAGTGTGTGCAGCATCTGTAGTATAATCCATGAGAATTGTAAAGGTTTTGCTTTCTTGGATTTCTTTTTGGATTACTCATTTGACTGCTATGGCCGAAGCTTTGATCTTATCATTCTGACTTCTGTTAGAGAGGAGTAAGATAAGAGGTTGTTTACCAGGTCCCTGCTTCTCTTTCAGGGTGTCCAGATGTTTTTATTGTTTTTTGTTATATTTGCTAAACAGCTCCACCAACTCTCGGAAATTACCCCAATTTTGGCTGACGGAGTTTCATCATCTCCGCTAAAAGGCATACCCTCTCTTGCCGGGCAAAGACTGATGGTTAAGCCGGACCGAATTTCTCTGTGTTGGTCACCCATTCCAGAAGCTGCCTCCAATGATTTCCTTTTGGAAGGTGTAAAGAGAGGTTTGACTGGCACCAAAACAAAGTGCATTAAAGTAATTGAGAAGAGTTGTGATAAAAGCATAATCTCGAATCCCAGAGAGTCACACCTGCTAGTAATCCATTAACAGTGGTTCCATAACAACGACACACCTCCACATTTGGTTAACCAAATGTTGCTCTGGCATGGATCAGCTGCTGCTTATTTAGGGACAGCAGCCTCTAGGTTGTGGATATATTGTTGTGTGATGCTTTTGTTGTTACAGCCACATCTTTGTTCAGTCACAATGTTTGAAAATATTTTTTGAACAAGGAATTTTGAAACATAATGAGTTTATAGGATCAATTTTACTTTAAGTGTTACGGTGTGTTAGTAAGGGAATATGACAAAGATTTTCTTGACTGGATAACATTTAAATCTAAAGTTAAATAGAGGACAGATCAGATTGTAACTGATAAATGT